CCCACTGCCTACCAAAAAGAATGTCGAAAGAGCAGACTAATTGGGAGCTTCCTTCGAAGTCGGAGTGCATCTGCCTGAGAGGCAAGGAACCAACAGCCTGTGTACAAATGAGTCAGATCTGTAAAACGGATGCATACGCAACACTCAGGTTCTGGAACAGGACTGCAGTCCAGAAGTGGACGAACAACCAAAACTTTCCACCGGAGTTTACAGCTGGTAAACGCGAAGAAGAGGATTTCTTATTGTATCTTTTCTTTTCACTTCTGCAGCCATTCTCACTTATCTCCTTTCCACGATTACTAATGTTCTTTCTATTTTACAAGGCTAAGTATCATTGGTTGATAAATAAACCAGCTAAGATGATGATGACACAGAGTTGCTAGCAGAAAGTCAACAGCAGTTACAAGGCCTAGGCCTATAATAATAATAATTATTATTATTATATAATAATAATAATTATTTAATAATAATAATAATTATTATATAATAATAATATTGATCAAAACTGGCTACTCGAAAAGCAACTGCCGTGAGACTATTCCATGCCATAAACCGAAGGCTTCTCAGCCAATAAGAAGTTGGCAAGAGGATGAAAATGGATGTTTACTGATCTACTTTACTGCCGGTCCTGACATACAGGTGTGAGTCATGGACAATGAAACCAACTTCAGACCTCAGAAAGGTGGTCCTAGTTACATGAAGTCCGCAGTCAGACAATACGTCAAGATCTTGATACCCAGTCCTAACAACTCGAGTGGATCAGTCACAGTTACGATGGTCTGGATATGTATGCAGAATGGGAGAAGATCGGCCACCATAACAGGCATGGGAGGTCTAGAACTAGGGAACCGGACCCCCGGCTGTGAAATCCAGTAGAAAGTGCTTGTTCCTCAATTTCTATAGTAGTCTTGTTCGACCAATCCGCACAAAGAAACATCTCATACAAAGCATATTTATTCCCATCCTGTGCTGTCAGTGCCAGACGTGGTCACTCACAGCAAAACATTTAAAATAAATTAGTAACCATGGAAACAAGGTGTCTGAGAAAGGCAGTAGGAGTGACCAGAAAAGATAAAACCAGGAATGAGGTCATACAAGATAAAGTCAGTACAGAACCAATTCTAAATTACATAGAAAGACAGCAAATCAAATGGTTTGCCTACTTGGAAAGAATGCGTTCTGTTGCTATTCCATTCAAGGCATATACCAAAAGAGAGGGACGTAGAGCAAGCGGTAGACCAAGAACAATATGGAAGGATTACATAAGAGAAACTCTCCAGCACCACGATGTTTCTTCGGTCGAAGCAGCCTGAAAAGCACGAAGCAGGACCTTGTATCTCCATCAACACCCGAAGCTGTAAAAGAGGACGTAAAGAAAGTCTTGTTCGAGACTGAGTTTTGCGTGCCCAGCTGTTTTACTGATGGGATTTTTTTTTTTACGTGCAGACTTTTAAGATCCCTTTTGACGCTTTAGGAGCATCGGGCATATGGGAAGAGCACCCATATTTTTACAGACCAATCGACACTGGGTGGGTAATGTGGTCAGCATTACACCGGCCGTCTGTACCCCAGGACATACATCCTGGTACCCATTTTAGTCTGGGTCGATCTGCGACACCCCGTACTATGATAAAAATCCATGCAGCCAGCAGTGGGTTTCGATCGCGGTACGTTGGAATTACGAGTCGGACTCGCAACGCCTTAGCCACAGACGCCGGGGTGTAGTTCTAAGTTTTTTTGTCTGGCGTACGTAACCTAGTCACAATCATAACCTAAAGCTTCCCCTTCAAGGACGCTGGTTAAACGTGACGGTAATGTTGGACAACAAAACACTTGCCTACCTCCAAGTACCTGTTATTATCGTTGTTGTAGATAAAGTAGTAGTAATCATGTGCCGTCTCTGCAATGAAGAATAACTGTCATATATCTCGAGCATTTTTGGACTTCGTCTTGTTTGTATTCTTGCTGTTCCATGTGTCGGTTCCAAAGCACCACTGGGGAGGGAGGTGAAAGGGGGTGTGGGGGTGGGACAGGCCCCTTGCCCTCCTAAGAAGCATGTTGTATAAGCTGATAAATTAGGGAAGTTTTCTTTGAAGTCGGAGTGCATTTGCGTGAGAAGCCAAGGGTTAACTACTTACTGCATGCAACTAAGAGTCCTGAAAATGACTACTGCAGTGTTGTTGCGATCAAAGGAGACAGGCCCAATTACTGATCCGAAGTCGTCTACCGGCTAACCAATAGGCGACCCGGTGGCCGATGAGTGCTGGTACCTTGACTTGTTGATAGATGCCTCTAGCACAGTGGCTCTCAACCTTCCCAACAATACAGTTCCCAACAATACAGTTCCCAGCAATACAATTATTTTTGTTGCTACTTGATAGCTTTAATAAATATGTGTTTTCCGATGGTCTTTAGCGATCCCTGTGAAAGGGCTGTTCGACCAACACCCCCCCCCCCCACTCAAAAGGGTTGTGACCTACAGTTTGAGAGCCGCTCCCTTAATGAGGGGAGGGTAAAGGTTACGGGGTGAAAGGTCCTGAACTGTTATCGCAGGTAAAGCTGCCGGCAGAAGAGTACAGTTATCGATATACAGTTCGCTGCTTGTTGGAGTTCAAGTTTCAGGTAAAAGTATACAAGTATTCTATCAGCAACGTCTAGCAGTACCTGCTTATACAACATAATCAAACAAAATATAAGACGATGTGTGAGAAAATGCTTACATAAGTCCACAGCGTCGTTCGTTTCGTCTACGAGGAGTGGGAGGGCGGTACATCCACGTCTGCTGGAATTTACTAACGACCAGTCTGTTTGTTGTTTTGGCTGTAACAAAACACATATCATTTGAATCATAATCTCTGCACTACCTATTTGTGATCTTTGCTTCAGCCACGCACCCTGCACTTTTGTTTTAGTTGTAACGAAACAGTGAAACTCGTATCATTCAAATTATCATCTCGTTCCCCACTCATATAATATGGAATATGATCTTTGATTCTGCCACTATATGTGGTTTTCAGACATGACAGGCACACAGTTGTGTTAGTTCTTCTAGAATACGTAACAGAAACAGTCGACCCAGAACCCGTTCTAAATTACAAACAAAGACCGCCTTAACATGCTATGCCTTACAAGTAAAGTGAAGGACCATTTTTCAAGCTTCAGGCAGCATATTGGGCAAATAGTATTGTAGACCTATATTTTATAGACCAGTTGGCACTTGGTGGGTGATGCCGGCCGCCTTTACTTTCAAGGACTTTACCTGATTCCCATTTAAGGCTTGTCTGCCCACTGAGCTTTCGAGAGCAGATTTCATCAGCAATTGTCAAACTATGCACCACAGGCCACTTGCCTAGTTTGTCGGAAGGGCTACCTTGTCTATCTTTCTTTTACATTTGGTCAGTATGGTGGATAGGCAGACTTACTGTGTTTAGCTGTGGCACTATTTTGCTTTTAATGATAGTTCGTAATTGCATTGTCCTCCATACAAAGGCTGAAAAAAATATAGCTCTGTCACCCAACTACTGAGTTATATGCTTGATGTGACACTGTGAGCTATGAATTTCATTTGAAATTCTGGCTTTTGAACATAAATGCTTAAGACGAATTTTATGAATTAACTATTTGTAACATAAAACTAACAAATTTGTAAAAGACAAACTAATTTGCACACAATCAGGAGCATCTTTTGGCAGTGGCAAGCCAGCTTGGTTTGTGCACATGGTGAGACATGATTCAGTTGCAAAATGTTCAAGGAACATTGCAGGGGTAGTCGAAGAAGAGGGGAGGAGAGAAGAATCTATAATGTCAAGAAATGGACAGGACTAAATTACTGTACACTTATTCAACAAGCCAAAGAAAGAGAAAGATGGTGGGTTTTTTGTGCAAGCGCTTTTATTGTTACACCTCTATGACCTTGATGGGTCAAGAGTTATGTGTGTATGTATGTATTCATCTGGAATTCTTTTTGACTGTGTCCAATTCTATACAGAAAATGGTTAGTGGCCTGTTACCAAAGATCTGGTGGTGCCTTATGTGATTAATTGTGTGTGCAGCTACTGATATTAATTGTGAGTGCAGCTACTGATATTAATTGTGTGTGCAGCTACTGATATTAATTGTGTGTGCAGCTACTGATATTAATTGTGTGTGCAGCTACTGATATTAATTGTGTGTGCAGCTACTGATATTAATTGTGTGTGCAGCTACTGATCTTAATTGTGTGTGCAGCTACTGATATTAATTGTGTGTGCGGCTACTGATATTAATTGTGTGTGCATCTACTGATATTAATTGTGTGTGCAGCTACTGATATTAATTGTGTGTGCAGCTACTGATATTAATTATGAGTGCAGCTACTGATATTAATTGTGAGTGCTGCTACTGATATTAATTGTGAGTGCAGCTACTGATATTAATTGTGAGTGCAGCTACTGATATTAATTGTGAGTGCAGCTACTGATATTAATTGTGTGTGCAGCTACTGATATTAATTGTGTGTGCAGCTACTGATATTAATTGTGTGTGCAGCTACTGATCTGTTGTAGCTGCTGCTTCCATCGATGATGAATTGCATTTCTCGTGTAGGACTGTTTGTGTTGGCACATGTGACAGCTGTCTTATGTATTTCATGCATGTAATTGTTATCGGCTTTGCAGAGACTGCAGTCTATGTCATTTTCTCCCTCATAGAACACTAATAGGCGTTCTATGTGATTATCTTTGGCACAGGAACCAAGCAAATATGGAGTGACCCATTTGATATAATGTTGAATCAGTTATTGCATGGTTAACTGATTTTTCTATTACAGATTAGGGAAGCTGGCCTCATGTGCAATGCTCCTCTCTTTTCTCGCAGGCTTGTGACCAACACTAGGAGATATTTCTGCCATTTCTCTTATATTCGCCATGATCTGTTTCACTTTATGCTATTTCTGTTTTATGTTTGATGTATTTAATTTTCTGTTATTTCTTCTGGAAAAGACAGATAACATTGGACAAGCCATGGACCATGTCCCATTTAAACACAAACGGACAACACTTGAAAGAGCTGAGAAATTTATTTCACCAGATTATTTCACAGACATCAATTTGAGAAGTCGGTGAGTAGAAATTGATAATTATCACCTTATGGTTCCGTGTTCGTGTATGGTTTTCTTTGTTGAGAGCAAGCTCAGTACTGCATTAAATATGACTTTTAAGCAGCTTTTTTTTTTCAGGCGCTGTGTAAAGGTACAAAGTACCAGCATCTTTTTTTTTTTTAAATTATGTTTTCCATTGCTACTGTAAATAACACTTTTTGCTTAGTACTGGCATCTTTTTTAGATATTTTGTGATGAGTACTGGCACCGCTTTTAGATGTTTTGTGATGAGTACTGGCACCTTTTTTAGATGTTTTGTGATGAGTACCGGCACCTTTTTTAGATGTTTTGTGATGAGTACTGGCACCATTTTTTAGATGTTTAGTGATGAGTACTGGCACCTTTCTTTCTAGGAAGCAAGCCCTGTTTTTACACCGCTGTGTGGGTTGCTGGGCCCTATGATACTCAGATTGTGAAACAAAACTTCAAAAGTCCAGAGATGGATGAACAATCAGAACTTTCCGCTGGAGTTTACAGTTGGTGAAGATGAAGAAGAAGAAATTCTTTCAGTATAAAATAACTCACTGTATGTATTTTGGTAATTCCGGTGATAATCTAAAGTCCTTGCTGTCTTCTTGCATGCTCAGATGTTATACAACCCTTTGTTGCCGTATTATTATTTTACAGAATACACTGCTATGGTTTTCAGGCCGTGGTGTGAGAGTCGCACTGTGGATGAGATTAGGGTATTATCACGTAATATGCCCAAAGACAGTAGTGCAGCGGTTCTCAACCTGTAGGTCGTTGCCCACCCCTGTCCCCCTTTGGGGGTCAAACGACCCTTACATAGTGGTCGCCTAAGATCTTGGACAGTGACCTTTACAAGATTTTGGACCGTGACCTTCTGATAAAAGAACATAAAATATGAAGATGATACTTTGTTATGTAGTGCTTTGGTATTAGATGTCATTTACTAGAAGATGTTAAGTGTGTCCAATCCGACTATGCTGGGGTTAGTTAGCATCTATACCAGTGATTTCTAAACTGTGCGCCGCGACACCCTGCGAAATATTGTAAAAGCTTCATAATTAATTTAGCCAAGAATAGTCATACTTTTACTTAGGTTAAGGCGTCGTGGAAAATTTTTAATTGAAAAAAGACACCGCGACCAAGACAAGTTTGGGAGACATTGATCTATACACTTCACTGTTGAAGGAGATGAAGCACTTATGAGCATGCCTGAGTGCTGTGACATCACTTCTATTAACCAGTGAGCAGGCCTGATGAGAAAGAGGGTGATGCCAGTATATTGATCTGAGGCCCATGGTGCTCAAATGGGGCCGGTAAGGAGGATTTTTTTTTTTTTTTTTTTTTAACAAAACCACACTGCAGTATGTAATGACATTGAAAAAGCAAATAATCTACTATATGAGGGAATCATGCTGATCTTTGTTGCCAGGTTGTACACAGACCAAGCTGGCCTGGAGAGCATTCAGCATTATGCAGCACCGGACAGGGTGCCTTATACCAAGGCCATGGAAGGCAAGTATCAGCCTGCACATCTTGGCCAGTCATTTGGACCAGTGTAAGTTCTCTCATTTAAAGAATTGCACACATAAGACTGTGCAGTTTCTCCTTCTTCTTCACTTCTTCTTTTACCACATTGAGTGTTGAGGGAGATATTAGGTTCTGCTTCTTGCTGTTCTGGCCACTTCAACCATGGACACATTGTGCTGTGGTTGAGTCTCATTGGTGTTATCTTCCATATTGTTCTGGGTCTACCTCTTGTTCTACATTCTTCTCCTCTTTTGGTGGATGACTTGTATCACAAGGCATTCTCTCTAAGTGAGAAACCATATTATTTGCTGTCTTTGTATCTAAATTAATATTTGTTCTGTGTCAAATTTTGTTTTGTTTATGACTTCATTTCTGATTTTATCTCATCTGGTTACTCCTGCAACTTTTCTTGGACTTCTCATTTCTAGATGATTCTTTTTGTTCATGAATCTATATGAAACATGCTGTTTCTTTTGAGGCTGTTGTATTTGATATTTTAGTTTGCAAATGAAAAAGAGAAAACTATAGTACATCATGATGTTAGGGAAGTTGGAGGGGAAAGAGGCAGAAGGAGACGGAGACAGAAGATGGTGGACAGTTTGACATATGGCATGGAAGATATAAGGTTGTGTTTATACATGGCTACCATCCTCACAAGGTATGGAAGATCATCTGTGTCATAACTGATGGAAAGTACGAGACAGAAGGTTATGGATAGATATGACTGCCATCGTCACAAGTTATGGAAGATCATCTGTGTCATAATTGATTGAAAGTACAGGAGACAGACAGGTGTGAATAGACAAGACTCCAATGCCACAAGGTATGGAAGATCATCGGTGTCAGAAGTGATTAAAATGCACAGGACAGAAAGTTATGGATAGACATATCTGCCAAGTGCCACATGGCATGAGCTGTAAAAATAAGAAGATGCATTTAACCGGATGTCAGCGGAAATGAGAAAGTAAAAAATTATGTGAAGCTGCAGAGATTTTGTTTTCTAGACAAATGATAAGAAAACCATGGACAAAAAAAATTTGTCATTAAGATCTTTTTCATTAATAGAATAGTTTACCGGGATCAGAAGAAGGCGGTTTACATTGTTTAAGCACGTTTTGAGAAGCAGACAATGGGAATGTTGTGTCAGTGGGAAAGATAGACAGGAGGAAATTTAGAGACAAGGTAGACATTCACAAGTGTATCAACAGTCAAACATTACATACAAATTGCATTTAAGGGCAAGAGGATCAGTCTCTTCACATCAGGTTTATTCTGTATGGCTCAGTCTCTCTCAGCAGTGCAGATGTTTACCCACCTAGAGTGTTGCACAAAATGTAAAACCCCATAGCTTCAGTGTCTCCCCCCCCCCCCCCCCCCCCCCACCGCCACCCACAGGGATCTTTGGAACATCTGCTCTTGCAGAATAAAAGCTGATGACTTAAATCAAACCCAGACCATTCAAAGCTGCTTGAACACTGAAAGAACAGAACCTCTGCTGGAGGAGACGTAACACTTGTTGGTTTGTCCTGTGTGCTGGCGTAGCAGTTCATAATACATGTTCTTCTCAACTTACGACTTATGCGATCTGCGGCCGGGTGACGAACTCCTTGTGGTCCGGGTTCACTCCCGGGGGTAGGCAGAAAAGCCACATTCCTCCCAGATTAACGGTACCTATAATGGAATCAAGGCCAAAGGGTTGCGATATCCATAGTACTGAGCCAAAGGGTTTACAACTCATGGTTTCTGGATACGTAAAAAAAAAAAAAAAAATTACCATCCACACCTAGAGCTACTATAATAACTAAATAAAAGTGGTAAAGAAAGAAAGATAACTGCATGGCTAGGCTTAGAAAGTTCCTGCAACTGATGCCTAGAGCGCAGCAGGGTCTGATTATCTGAACATAGATTAAATTATTATGTTTTGAGTACAATTTTTGTAGCCCGTTTGAATGAAAATAGTGTTGGAAAATATAAATTTTGACTTATGACCAGTTCGGGAGTCGCTAGACGCTCGCATGCGGATCGGAAGGTCGTGGGTTCGCCTCCTGGCGAAGCTGGACTTTTTTTCAAAAATTACCTTTACCCCCAGGTTGACCCAGCTTTGAGTGCATACCGGGTGTAGTCCCGGGAAGTAAAGGTGGCCGACATGATGCTGACCACATCACCCATCTTGTGCCATTTGGCATTTAAAAATAAAGGTCTAGCCCTCTATGCCATATACGTCTAAAAGGCGTGGAAAAGGGTCCTTTACTTTACTTATGACCAGTTCAACTTATGACCTGTTAGCTGGAGCAGAACTCAGTCCTAAGTCAAGGAGCCTGTGTAACCGGTAGGACTGTCCATGTGAGTATTTTGTTGGCCTGGATGTCCACAGCTGGAGCACACACTGGTTCAGGCTTGAGGTGGTGATCCCATCAAAATGGGTTGGCAAGGAAGTTCATCTCTTGTGGAACTCTGGATCGGAAGCACTGGTTTGGTGTCATGGGGAGCCTCGGCAGGTAAGGATGTGTGTGTGGTTCGTGTTTTCATCGATGATGCAGGTGTGTCTGATGGGTGGGTATCAGTACAGAGCTGATCAACAAGTCGACCCACCTTTAGGAAAATCATTGACTCTGACTAACGTATTCAACCTACTGTTAGATTAGCTATAGCATTCTAACACTGTTGGCATCTGGGTTTAGTCAGTATGAACGTGCTTCATAATCATGGCCTGCCGGGATTGATCCCAGCTGCAGGCAGTTTGGTAGCAGATTGCCTTTGCTTTGAGAGTGATATCGAGAGCGGACCGCCTAGAAAGCAGTGGCAAACAACTGAACGTAAAATTGTCTAATGAAATCAAAAAACAGCAAAAATAGGCTGGAGCTCTGCAGTGTCCTGTAAAGATGCACAGCTAACTTATACTAACACTAGCACAGAACTAACAGTAGCGATGAATTAAAGCCATCACATAATGACCACAAGCACATAATTAACATAGAGCTGCTGTAGTCTAGCTGCTAGATGTTTGCCTGCTGATCAGAAGGTCGTTGGTTCAAATCCGAACGGAGTCAGCTATGTCGTGCGGCCGCTTCATTGTGATGTGCGGCGTACCAACGATGAAATAGGGCGTCGTTAACGTAACAAATGGGGCATCAAATAAATTACAATGCCACCAGCCTAGTGTGACAGAACATGATGAATGTTAAAGGCTTCTAAACGCCATTAATGCTGAAGACTAGGGGAATAAGTAATGGGTGTATTGCTTGACAACTTGATCAATGATAAATGTGCAATAATCAAACTCCAGACTCACCCAAACACACCAACACAAGCAACCGCTCGTACATCAACTTACATCTTCTTTCTTTCAAATGCAGGTCGCAGTCCGACCTTGGAAGTCTGGACAGTCACATTGATCTCCTCTTCTGTAGTCTGAACAAGGCAGTGTCCCTCTTAATGGTTCGCCCTTAAGTATACCGGCTTCCTGCCGAGCGCAATAGACAATGTACCAGCTTTCTGCTGAGGTTTCTAGTGGAGTCCCGGGGTAGAGCGATCTCAAGGGTCCAACTTTATACAGCGAATGCTTTCCGTGGCATCCCGGGGTAAAACATCCTCAAGGATCCAACTTTATACAACGAATGCTTTCCATTGCATCCCGGGGTAAAACGTCCTCAAGGATCCAGCTTTATACAACGAATGATTTCCGTGGCATCCCGGGGAAAACGTCCTCAAGGATCCAACTTTATACAATGAATACTTTCCGTGGCATCCCGGGGTAAAACGTCCTCAAGGATCCAACTTTATACATCATCATCAGTTCTCGTTATGCCTAGTGGCACATGAGGCTTCAGAGAGGACTTTCCATGCTTTCCTGTCCTGTGCAATCTTCAGTGCAGTTTTCCATGTCAAAGATGCCGCACTCAGGTCACTTTCCATCGTTCGTCTCCATGTTGTTTTTGGGCGCCTCTGTTTTCTCTTTCCCTCTGGTGTCCATGTGAAAGCTGTTTTGGCAGGTATATCAGAAGTCATTCTCATAACGTGGCCAAGCCATTTCCATCTTCTCTTGGTAATCATACTGTATAAAGTTTCTTGGTTTATGGCCTGAAGTAGTTTAATGTTTGAGATTGTATCTGGCCAGAAAATGTTGATAATTCTACGTAGACATGTGTGGTGGAAGGTGGACAGCTTGTGTGCATCCTTTTTGATCATTCTCCAGCATTCCGCTCCATAAAGAAGAACTGGCAGAATGATGCTCTTGTAGAGTCGGAGTTTCGTTCCTCTGCAGTAATTGTTGGATTTCCAGATTTGCCTCATCCTTCCAAAAGTAGCTCTAGCTTTGTTCAGGCGTGACTGTATGTCTTCCTCTGTCCCTCCCATTAGGGACACCACACTGCCAAGATATGTGAAATGTTATACATTTTCAAGTGATTGGTTACTTATGGTCACTGGTTGTTGGTTTGGACTGTTTGTCATGATCTTAGTTTTCTTTGTATTTATTCTCAGTCCCACCATTTCTGCTGTGCAGTGTAGTCTGTTACTTTTCTCTTGTATATGTTCATGTTTATGTGATAGGAGTGCTATATCATCTGCAAAATCAAGGTCCTCAAGCATGGTGAATGGAGTCCATCGTATGCCTCTTAATGTCCTGTCTACTGTGTTCTTTAGTATCCAATCAATCACAAGGTTGAAGAGGAGAGATGACATAACACATCCCTGTCTTACACCTGTCCTTACTGGGAAAGATGTAATTTTTTATACTGCAGGAAAAGTCTTTATGGAAGAGAGCAATTATGTTGACTATTTTTTCTGGAATTCCATAATGTCGTAAAATTGTCCACAGACTGTCTCTATGGATGCTGTCAAAAGCTTTCTCAAAGTCCACAAAATTAATATATATACTTCTCTGCCATTCATTGCATTGTTCTAAAATGTTACGTAGGCATTTATCTACTCCTTTTTCAAGCCGCATTATGATGATTTTACAAAATATTTTGCTTGGTACTGAAAGTAGAGTAATTCCCCTCCAATTATTGCTGTCTGTTAAGTCTCCTATTTTGGGGATTTTGACTATTGTTCCTTCAGTCCAGTCAACTTTATACAACGAATGCTTTCCGTGGCATCCCGGGGGAAAACGTCCTCAAGGATCCAACTTTATACAATGAATATTTTCAGTGGCAACTCGGGGTAAAACGTCCTCAAGGATCCACAGGTCTGTCTCCTTCAGACTGTATACACCGAATACTTAGACAACAATTCCTTAACAACCTTACTTATTGTTTTGACGTCCTATTTGCTCACTCAGTACTGGTGCTTTCTAGTGCATATCCGCACGCAACATCAGCCTTTTTGTAAAAAAAAAAAAAAAAATTACCCTGACTTCCAGGTCAACCCAGCCTTAAATGGGTACCAAGTAAAGTCCTGGAAAGTAAAGGCGGCCACATTACCCATATAAAATCACTGAGTGTAAAATATAGGTCTTGCATGATGTGCTCAATTTGTCTTTTAGTGCTGTGGTCGTTTCTTGAATCAACTCACTCAACAACTCTGTATATTTTTCCAGTTGGTGTGTCTCATTGCATGACTGTATTTATGACTGTATGTTTGTATGTGTGTATGCCTGTATTACGTATGTATGTATGAATGTATGTATGTATGTATGCCTGTACGTTTGTATCTATGTATGTATGTTTGTGTGTATGTATGCCTGTGTGTATGCCTGTATGCATGTTTGTTTCTATGTATGTGTGTATGTATGTATGCCTGTATGTATGTATGTAATGTATGCATGCATGTATGCAAGTGAGTGAGTGAGCATGTGAATGTGGGTGTATGTATGCACGCGCGGGTTTTTGCATGCACTTTACAACTCATGCTTTTGTGTTCTTTTATAATATTCATAATATGCATAACATCATATGATCATAACATGCTTTATTAGTAAAATACAACTGCTGTGCGAAAGATGGTTGACTGGAAGCGCCGAATGTAAGACGGGCCTGCGTGCCCAATTTGTGACCCTTTGAAAATAAAGTTCGTTCGTTCGTTCGTTTTACTTTTTTAAGTAACACTAACAGATTTGGCACTTGTACAAAATTAATTCACCCTTTTATGAGGCTAGCACAGAACTAACACTGCCACATAATTAACACTAATCAAAAAACATAAATTATTATCATAAATTTAAGATCTTTGAGATGTTTTCAGTGAAGTTCTCTACTAGTCTCTGTCGACTTTAATAGTTCTGACCACAAGGGTGAAAGTGATAGCTCAGTTACAGTTTTAAAATCTTGCTCTGGTGATCAAACCAGCGGTTATTCCTTACTGTTCCATCATTTCATTCACAGTTTTGGCATTCTCATGTATTTAAATTTTCAATAACAACCAAAAAAAAAATGTATTTTTTCATTTAACTTTTTATTATTCTCCATTTTTTTCTTCCAGATGCTTCTTCTTGTTTTTTTCATTTTGTTATATAGCCCTTCGTATAGATATTTATTTCTTATTACGCATTTCTTGGTTTCGTGTTGACTGTTGGTTATTTACAAGCTCTGTTGTCTTGTCCATTGAGTTTTGTGACACAGATTATGTTTTACTTTGTATTCTATTGATAAATACTTTAGTCAAAATGTTTGGTTGTATTTGTTAGGTCTTTTCTATTTCCCCTCTTTGAGCTTTCTAATCACATTTTGCATTTTACTTTCTGTTGTCAACCTGACAGCAGTCACCCTCATTTATATCAAAAAAATTTGGCTGTGCTTGCTTCTGCAATGTCTTGTAAAGGATTGGCAACCAACTGGAATAATATACAAAGTTGTTGACTGAGTTGATTCAAGAAACGACCACAACACTCAGGGCATTCCATTAGGTGCTCTATCCTCTGATCTTCGAGTATTGGCCAGATCTGCTCATCACTCCCGGCTGCATCACTCTCACCAGATTGTGATGATCTATTTGCTCCTCCAAATTGTACACATTCTCCCACAAGGCACTAACCATGTCTGCCTTATCATCTATCATTTTTCCACCAAGTTGTGCAGAACCAGCCAGTCTGTCTGCCTGTTTATTTCCCAAAACACTGGCATAACCTGAAAAGAAGATCCACATATACAGAATGCTTTGTCTTCTTTGTGATTACAGGGTCTCAGTGGTGACAATAACAGAATCAGTTACATCATCTCATACAACCTTGATGCTGCTGATTTACAGTAAGTTCCCTTACATTGATAGTTATTAAACCTCTTACTGTGAGACACACAGTGTCTGTCTTATCTCCCTTTAGCCGGGTAAACTATTTATACAGAGATCTTCCTCTTCTTCATTACACAAAGAAAGCCTGATAAGCAGTCATCTGCCTATCCACCGTTTCGTCCTTTTAAGGACAAAATTTTTTGTTATTTGAAGCCCCACCATGGCTTTTACCAGGGAGCCGCAATATAGGCAGGCCATAAAAATGGCCAATTGTCTGAATGCGATTTCTGGGACCTCTTCACGGTGATCCTCATCCTCGTGATGGCACTTTGTGTCATCGGGTGTTTATCGCTTGTGTGACGTCCTGGTGGGGTAGAAAGTCAGTCAGTCAGTCAGTCTTCTTCATTGTTCACTGGTGGTAAACTCTGGTGGAAAATCTTGGTTATTCACCCATTTAGTCTTTGGCTTAGTGCCAGGGCCTGAGTTTTGTGTGTTGATCTGTTTTACTGGCTTATTTGTGTGCACTTGGTTGTTCCTTGCCGCTTGGAAAGGAAGTCCTCAGTTAGTCAACTGCAACGACATGCTTGTTGGGGAAGTGACAATAATACTGATAATAAATTAATGATAACATTCATGATATAATTTGATCTAAACTACTAACAGCATTGATAACAGTATTCATGATAAATTATTAACAGTAATTTTTGATGATAAATTTGATAAACTACTAATGAATTGATGATAAAGTGCTTAAAGAATTGATGATGAAATTGCTGAGGATATGTTCGGTGATGATGAGGATAATGACAATGGTGGTGATTATAACGTTTGACATTTGTGGTTTGTTCCCCAGACAAACAGTCTACATAGAGATGGCCTGCAACCACTTGTTTGGCATTGGCAACCTGGCCATCGTCAAAACAGATGATGAGAAGAAGACATTTACACTGTCCCAGGCAGAACTAGCAGTGTTTGATCGTGACGTCTTCGGCATGATTCTGGACATTGAAATCTTACATGACATAGCCAAGGTTAGAGCTTGTGTCTGCTGTCTTGTCTTTGGTGTCTGTGTTAGAGCTTGTGTCTGCTGTCTTGTCTTTGGTGTCTGTGTTAGAGCTTGTGTCTGCTGTCTTGTCTTTGGTGTCTGTGTTAGAGCTTATGTCTGCCCTTGTCTTTGATGTCTGTGTTGGAGCTTGTGTCTGCTGTCTTGTCTTTGGTGTCTGTGTTAAAACTTGTGTCTGCTGTCTTGTCTTTGGTGTCTGTATTAGAGCTTATGTCTGCTGTCTTGTCTTTGATGTCTGTGTTGGTGCTTGTGTCTGCTGTCTTGTCTTTGGTGTCTGTATTAGAGCTTGTGTCTGCTGTCTTGTCTTTGATGTCTGTGTTAGAGCTTGTGTCTACTGTCTTGTCTTTAGTGTCTGTATTAGAGCTTATGTCTGCTGTCTTGTCTTTGGTGTCTGTGTTAAAGCTTGTGTCTGCTGTCTTGTCTCTTGTTTGTGTTAAAGCTTATATCTTCTGTCTTGTCACTCATGTCTGTGTTAGATCTTGTGTCTGCTGTCTTATTCTATTTTGTCTGTTTTAGAGCTTGTGTCTGGTGTCTTGTCTCTCATGTCTGTGTTAAATCTTGTGTCTGCTGTCTTGTCTCTCATGTTTGTGTTAGAGCTTGAGTCTGTTGTCTTGTCTCTCATGTCTGTGTTAGAGCTTGAGTCTGCTGTCTTGTCTCTCATGTCTGTGTTAGAGCTTGAGTCTGCTGTCTTGTCTCTCATGTCTGTGTTAGAGCTTGAGTCTGCTGTCTTGTCTCCAGCCATATAATTCTAAAGGACAGTGCTTTCCGTGTGATTTACCATACAGTGAACAGGCGAATGCTGAGGCTGGCCGAAGCTTTTACAGTGAAATGCGTAACCTCCTCTTATGTAAGCAGACTGAATTCATTGTTGATTTGAAATTACCCTGTTATCATGAACGTCTGGTGATTAGACAAACACCATGCATAGAGAGCAATCATTTGTATTTCAGTGAAAATTTCTCAGTTTTATTACTTCATTATATGTTGATGTAACTCTGTAGTAATGGTGGTGATATATAGCACAATATGCCTGGCTGAGTTGAGATGAGTTGATTCAAGAACCGACATCACTTGCCACATTCCCATAGGTGCTTCGTCCCCATCTTCAGCAGCCAGTGCAGAGTTCCACTTCTAATGGTGCCAGTAGCATTCTGACTAAACGTCTGTCTTGATTATACCTGGCTGTTGTGACTGAAACTCAAGAAAGTGCACACACAAGTTAAGACACAGACAGCATGCTACAATGTCAATCTGTTAGGAGGGAAAGACATTGCCACTAAATTTGTGGTGGAAATCAAGAAAAGATTTCAAACCCTATCAGACAACCCAGACACTCCAACTATTATCAGCATTCAAGACAGATGGAACCAGATCAAAGAAATATATAAAACAACCAGCAACAACATATTAGGAACCAGGAAGCAACAACACAAAGAATGGATAAGCAGTCAAACCATGGACTATATTACCAAGCAAAAAAGGAAAAAGAGCCTCATAAATCACACTAAATCAGAACGTCAGAAAGACAAAGTTGGAATATAGCAAACTAAATAAAATGATAGAGAAAAGTGCCAGAACTGACGAGAGAAGATTTGTGAAAAATCTAGCAGAAACAGCAGAAAATGCTGCCAAAGCACATGATCTGCCAACCCTACATAAAATCACCCAACAAATTTGTGGAAGCATAAACAATTATCACAGCATACCCATCAGAGATAACCAAGGCAAATTGCTTACCACAGAACACAAACAAAACAAGCAGTGGTCTAAACACTTCTCTAACCTCTTAAATAGACCTGATCCTGAACATCCCCCGGATATTCAACTAGCTGTTCACACTTTAAAGAACATAGTTGACTTCTGGCATGATATGGAGGACTAGGCATGGCAGAAGTTCAGCTTTTTTTGCTTCTGACAGGGTTTTGCTATTGCAGTTTTCCAAGTATGTACGGAAGTCTTTGGTTTCGCTGCCTATGCTACTGAGTTTAGTGCTTGTTGCAGCACTGTGAGCTGTATTTTTAATCCATGATGCCTTTCATGTGTGCAGCGATTGAGTCATGGTATTCAATATGGCCGGCAGCCAGTTTACATGTGGTGATCTCGTGGTTGGGTGTAATCACTGAAACTCTGGAGTGTTTTTAATGAAATACATTTATGTGTGTATAGCCAGCTTATTGTGACCAACTACTTCCATCAACGACAAAATGCTTTTTTGGTGGCGACTGTTAGCTTTGGCACCTCTAGCAACTGCCTTATGCATTTACTGCCTGCACATTTTTTTCCATTGTGCCAAGACTTATTGTTTGTTCATCCATTTTTTAAATGGGACAGTGGGAGACATTTCATTTGATTTTCACTGGCACAGGAAATGAAGCATGTCTGGGTGACCTGATTGCAGTGAAGTTGAAACCTCGACTATGACAACGAATACGATAACTTTCCTAGTTGTACATCCCTAGAAACTACGGAAGCCAAAAGACATTGAAGATACATTGGCTATGAAAGCACACAGGGCTAGAGAATTGGCTGCAATCAGTTCTCCGACCATGTCTGCTTTCATAGACAATACATCTTCAATGTCCTAAAAAGAAAGAGAGACTTTCAGGTGTGCCATGAAGAGAGCGACATTCTCTAAAGGATATACTGACTGATTGATTCATCATATGTCATGTATTTCACAGAGCCCAGGAGATGGCAAAGACTGCTAAACTGTCAAATATACTGTCATTGTGTTACAGGAGTTTCCCGAAGACAGTCAGAGAGGGTATCAGGCTTTGTACGCAGTCAACGACATCATCAACCATCTGGATGTGAGGGATAGAAGCACATACAGGAGGTAGGTGGACATCTGGGTGTGAGGGATAGAAGCACATACAGAAGGTAGGTGGACATCTGGTTGTGAGGGATAGAAGCACATACAGGAGGTAGGTGGACATCTGGATGTGAGGGATAGAAGCACATACAGGAGGTAGGTGGACATCTGGGTGTGAGGGATAGAAGCACATACAGGAGGTAGGTGGACATTTGGATGTGAGGGATAGAAGCACATACAGGAGGTAGGTGGACATCTGGGTGTGAGGGATAGAAGCACATACAGGAGGTAGGTGGACATCTGGATGTGAGGGATAGAAGCACATACAGGAGGTAGGTGGACATCTGGATGTGAGGGATAGAAGCACATACAGGAGGTAAGTGGACATCTGGGTGTGAGGGATAGAAGCACATACAGGAGGTAGGTGGACATCTGGATGTGAGGGATAGAAGCACATACAGGAGGTAGGTGGACATCTGGGTGTGAGGGATAGAAGCACATACAGGAGGTAAGTGGACATCTGGATGTGAGGGATAGAAGCACATACAGGAGGTAGGTGGACATCTGGGTGTGAGGGATAGAAGCACATACAGGAGGTAAGTGGACATCTGGGTGTGAGGGATAGAAGCACATACAGGAGGTAGGTGGACATCTGGGTGTGAGGGATAGAAGCACATACAGGAGGTAGGTGGACATCTGGGTGTGAGGGATAGAAGCACATACAGGAGGTAGTTGGACATCTGGATGTGAGGGATAGAAGCACATACAGGAGGTAGGTGGACATCTGGGTGTGAGGGATAGAAGCACATACAGGAGGTAGGTGGACATCTGGGTGTGAGGGATAGAAGCACATACAGGAGGTAGGTGGACATCTGGATGTGAGGGATAGAAGCACATACAGGAGGTAGGTGGACATCTGGGTGTGAGGGATAGAAGTACGTACAGGAGGTAGGTGGACATCTGGATGTGAGGGATAGAAGCACATACAGGAGGTAGGTGGACATCTGGGTGTGAGGGATAGAAGCACGTACAGGAGGTAGGTGGACATCTGGGTGTTGGAGGTAGAACCACATATAAAAGATCATGTCTCTGTGTGTCTTGTCTTGTTTGCTACGTCTTCATGACATGTCTTTTGCATCCGTGTGTCGTGTCTTGTTTGCTGCTTCTTAATGACATGTCTTTTATGTCTGTATGTCTTGTCTTTTGTGTCTAAGTGACATGTCTGTTGTACCTGTGGGTCACATTTTATATGTTGTGTCTGTATGACATATCTTGCCTGTTGTGTCTGTTTAGTATGATGTGTCCAGTATCTTGGTAGTATATGTTTTTGTGTGTCTGTATGGTATGTCAGTAACAACATAAAGCAGTGTACTCACTTACTCTGACAATCTAAAAGATTGCTGGAGGTTGAGATGCTCAGCTATGTGGATGTGGAAAGGAAAAGGGGGGGGGGGGGGGGTCTACCACATTGTACATCCCTAGAAACTACGGAAGCCAAAAGACATTGAAGATACATTGGCTATGAAAGCACACAGGGCTAGAGAATTGGCTGCAATCAGTTCTCCGACCATGTCTGCTTTCATAGACAATACATCTTCAATGTCCTAAAAAGAAAGAGAGACTTTCAGGTGTGCCATGAAGAGAGCGACATTCTTTAAAGGATATACTGACTGATTGATTGATCATATGTCATGTATTTCACAGAGCCCAGGAGATGGCGAAGACTTTCTTCCATGAGAGAAATGGACAGAGCCAGCACACACTCTATGCCATGGGACATGCCCACATTGACACTGGTATGTTTCTGTCTCTTCCATCTCAACCCTTCTGTACTGCTTCACCATGTCTTGATGTTAAGAACAAGACTGGCCTAATTTAAGTAAGACCTTTAGGTACCTGCCTGGAGGGGAACAAACAGAACACACTCTTCAGATTCATCACCGCCTTCAGGGGACTGAGTAGTGTCAAGGTATGGTGTCTGCCTCAAGTGCTGGAGTTCTTGGGTTCAAGCCTGGGTGAAGGCTGGGATTTTTTTCACGTGGACTTTAATACCCCCTGGTCTCTGGGTAATAAGACCGGACGCCCGTGTCCGATCTTTGACCTTTGGCAGTTGGAAATTGAATAGAGTAGCTTAACGCCACTGCCCGGGCAAAAATGTGGAGTTGAAAATCGACCCAAAGTACTTCAGGATCCTCACCGCTGCAACGAAGTCCGTGCACTGCGCTGAGATATTTCAGACTTGAGTTAGAAGTAGAAACGGAGCACTTAGAGGTTACACCCGTGTGCCGTGAAGTTGATCCGTTGAATAAACATAAGCATCACCTCCTCCATACCCCTGAAGTGAAGTTTAACCCAACTTGGATCATACCCCGAGTGATTAACACCCGGTGACTCAAGGTACAAACTCCAGAAACCTGTTCACTTGTAAGGTTAAATTGCGTCCTCTCATGGTCACAAAGTAACCTGATAACCAAACAGGGTAAGGCATGGTGATTTTAAAAAAAAATATGGAAAGCTTCACGAATTTGCAATGTTATGCTTACGCAGGGACCATGCTAATCTTCTCTGTATTGTTCTGCTGTTAGTAAATGTCATCCCCATCTTTTCTCAGGGAAAGGGGGGAAGGGGACAAATCATTTGTGCCAGAATTGCTGGCAATCAGTTGTTTTTTTTCACTCTTTTTCTGACTTCAATTCCTGTTAGTTGAGGGGATTATTTTACTAGGCAGATGTGACATGAATGGATTTTAAAAAAAATAGTTCCATTCATTGACAAGTTCAGAGGATTGTGTCCCCTTAATTATTGGGGTATTTCAGGAAGTTAACAAACAAAAGAGTTAATGAAACAGGTGGGGTTGTGTCCCATTGTCTTGGTATGATAAGTAAAGGGAAAGTATTCTAACAATCCTGTTGCGTTGTTATTCGTCATACAGGATTACAGGGTAATGAACAGTAAATGAACATCTTATTAAATTGTGCAAGAATTTATTTGTGAACAGTTAATGTGCAGTTAGAACAAGTACATGAATGTGTGAAAAGTTCTACATTAGAATTGCAGTGAGACAGGTGTGCGTTCTATCACCACTTATGTTCATCACATACGTCAACCAGATTTGCAAGTCAGCTAACATCAGCGAGCATCCCTTTGTGGGATGCAATTTTTTGCGTTATTTTGAAGCCCCACCCTGGCTTTTGCTAGGAGCCGCAATAAAGCCCGGCCATAAACATGGCCTAATGGCTGAACGCGGTTTCCGGGACCTCTCCCACAGGTGATCCTGATCCATGTGGTGTCACTTTGTGTCGTCGGGTTTTTATCGCTTGTGTGATGTCCTGGTGGGGTAAAATGTACTACTATTACTTCATCAGCAAGGGGAGCTATGACCAGGCAATCCTAGTACCAGCAGCAGTGTAGCTACAAGAAAATTTCAATAGATTCCACTCAGAATGTGACAGCTATGATATTAAGATCAGCATAGACAAAACAAAAGTGATGACATTTTCCAGAAAAGAAAGAACCACCAATATCAAAATTGATGAACAAAAGTTGAAGCAGTCGAAGGATTTTACATACTTGGGAGCATTTTTTCAGAAGACTGAAGAATCATTTAAGAAATCCAACAAAGATGCAATAAAGCCAATCAAGTTTTAGGCCAAGTAGTACCAATTTTGAAATGCAAGCATGTGAATATGAACAGTAAAAGAACACTGTTCAACACAATATTCATATCAATGCTATGCGATCAATGTCAAACATGGACACTGTCTTCAGAAGACAGAAGGAAAATAGTCATGACAGAAATAAAATGTTTACGTACTGTGCTATGTGTGAAAGGAAAAATCAACTTAGGAACAATGATATCAGAAGGAGAGTTGGCACAGAACCAGCCAGTACTGAACTTTGTAGATAACATATCAAATGGTTTGGCCATGTAACAAGACTGGTATCAGACAGAGCACCACAGAGAGCAGTGTCATACAGATTCAATGGTAACAGAGCCAGAGATCGACCACGCAAAATATGGACCGCTCAGTTATCAGAGACACTGAAAAGTACTACATACAAAGCAAACAAAAAGGCCCATTCCAGAGGATTCTTCCTGTCCTGACACTGCGAGGTATTCCAGGAGTAGAAAAAAGAAGTAGAAGATGAGCTCAGAGTTTATTCTGCTACTCTGTTCTGTTCTGTGCAATTATTTCTATATCATAATGGATGGAATCCATCCAGTCCAACAGTTTTGGCCTCTCTTATAATTTGTCTTAGAGCTTCCTTTGGCATTCTTGATCGCTCGGTCTATTTGTTTTCCATTTAAGAGCCTGTGTGATGTATTTTTTTTGTACCTGGTTTCAGCTTGGCTATGGCCGTATGCTGAGACAATTAGAAAATGTGCAAGGTCATGGTCATGTACCCTGAGGTTAATGGAAAAATACCCAGAGTTCATTTTTACTTGCTCTCAGGTAAAACATATTAGCTGTGATAGTTCTCTTGTATAGGTAGGTTAGTGAGAGAGGGAGACAGATTGAGAGAAACACAGTGAGAGAAGGAGAAAGAGTGAGAGAAACACAGTGAGAGAAGGAGAAAGACAGAGTGCCTAGAAGTTTTGTGTGTGTATATATACGTGTGGTTGTTTGGGATGCTGAGAGACATGGCGGTGTCATTGTAAATAAATGTCAACTGACTGCAACGATTCAGCTGTTTGGAATTGCAAGTGCAAGATACTGATCTAAACGAAATCTACAGTCAATAAGGTAATTTACATCTAGATTCGAATTGTGATGTTGTTGAAGCAGTATGTATAACTGGACGAGTGTATCATCAACGAGAATACAGACAGCGACCGGACAGTGCAACAGTTGGATCGGCGAATAAAATCGATCACTGCCGATGGGCGTGTTTGTCGTCTGATGTGTTCTTACTAACTTTTTATAACAAAGAACAAAATTACAGTATTGTGCTGAGCCCAGACAAACCCTAGAGGGAGCCACATTGCATTAGTTTAGCATGTGCTCCACACCAGCAAGCAGCATTGTTGGTCAAGAGCACTTGCATACATCATAGCATTTGAGACATTCCCATAAGTGCCGCATCCCTATCTTCAGCAGCAAGTGCAGAGTTTCAGTGACACCAGTCTTCTTCTTCTTCTTCAAGTTCACCAGCTGTAAACTCTGGCAGAAAGCTCTGGTTGTTTGTCCACCTCTGGTCTTTAGTCTTGTTTCAGAACTTAAGTGTTGTGTGCACATCTCTTTTATGTGTGTTTGGAAATAAACAGGCAGATAGACTAGCTTGATTTGCACCACTTGGTGGGGAATTGATGCATGACAAACTGGATGTTGTAAGGGTGCTTTGAACAGTGTGGAGGCACAGAAGATCAAGGTCTGAGGAGAATGTGTCCTGCGAGGAGTCACCATGTGATCTGGTCGAGGCTCAGTGCTCAAGGAAAAGGCAAGATGTATATACAAGCAGACTGCTACTTGCCTGTATGGGTTCCAGGGCTGTATGATGGGGAAAATAAGAATAGAACCACTGCTCACTCAATAAGCATGTCGTAAGAGTCGACTAATTAGAGGCATTCCTCGAAGCTAGAGTGCATCTGCCAGAGAGGCAAGGAACAAAGAGTCTGCATACAAACTAGCCAGATCTGTAGAACAGATCTGCACATGAAACTTAAGTTGGCGAACAAGACTACTGTCCAGAAGTGGAATTTTCTGTTAGAGTTTACAAACTGGTGAACGAGAAGGGGAAGAAGAAGAAGATAATGAATGTATAAGCATATATCATTACATGTTTTCCACCATTGTCAGTCCCAAACCCACATGAGAAAGGAGGAGGGTTGGATATGGAGCCCACTCTCTATTAAACAATCCTGCTACAGTGGCTAGCAAAAAAGGCTTAGGCTGTCATTGATGAGAGAAGCTAAAGGTACTGGACTAGATTCCTTCCCCAGGGAGGCTAGTCTGGGGCAGCAAATGCCTGTGGAATCTGGGTGTCTTGGAAGGAAGGTGCAAATATCATAGCCTTGCTGTAAAACAGCACAACACATTTACATCTTCGGATGAACGCAGAAGGAGTAGAAGAAGAAGAAGAAGATTCGATCCATGATCTTAGAAAGACTGCATAGGATCGGAAAATTTGGAGGAGTAGATTTCAAGCCTCATATAAATAAACAAAACACGAAAGGATGAAGGTTAGGATTATATTACATAACCAGATTCCTGGAAATGTAATTCAGCAGGGTAATCTAACCTTTGACTTTTGTATCTAGGCTCAGCAGTATGCCTGGGTGAAAGAACACTACCCCACACTGTGGCAGGAAATCTGTTTGTTTATACAGAAGGGACAGTTTGTGCCAGTTGGGGGCACTTGGGTAGAAATGGTAAGTGCGACTTGTGTTGGCACTGTGTTATGTATACTTTTTTATTGTGTTGTATTTTTTCTTTTTAAGGTGGTACCTTATGCAATTAATTGCATGTACAACTACTGATCTGTTGTAATTGCTGCTTCCATGATGGACTGCATTAAAAGTGTCAACTGTTTTTGTTGGAGCTTCTGGCAGGCATCTTATGCATATAGTGTGTGTGTGTGTATTGGCTGTTGGCTTTGCTGATACTGCAGTCTTTGTCAGTTTTTTTACAAGGGCCAGTTTTGGACATTCTGATCTGGCAGCCTTTGCAGCCTGCTTTGTTCCATGCTCCTTTGGAGTAAACAAGGCAGGTTGAAGAGGGATCATGTTGCATGGGCAACACCATATGGTCTCTACATTATTTCCCAGGCTTTGTGTTATGGAGAGGATGAAATTCATCTCTAACTGTAACTGATACAGATATTGAGGTGGACTCTTGGGTACAAAATGCCGTGGACCGTGTTGTGTCGAGGGGGCACATCAGGAAGGGATTGAGAATGAAGGAAGAAATGATTTTAGAAAGGATGAGAACTGAGAGTATGAAAAGAATCACACTAAACACAAATGTTGACAACAGCGGACCTGAAATCCCATGCTGTAATTCTGAAAGACTTTTCTTAACGCGGGCGGGTCTTGATAGTCAAACACCATCACCGTGGGCTGTTGAGTTCCATGCCTCCTCATAGCACAATATATAACACTGTTGTCTGGAAAGGCGGAAAGCTGCCAATCAATCTAAGTGTGGTGTTTGTTGGCACAGGAGCTGAGCAATATGGGGTGACCAATTTGCTATAAGTTGTAATTGCAATTATCTTATCTTGTTTTTTTTTTCTTTAATTTTTTTAAATTATTGTACATTATGAAGAGAAACCAGGTAGGTAGGTAGGAAGGTAGTTGTACCCCACCAGGACATCACACAAGCGTTAAACACCTGGTGACACAAAGTGCCACCATGCGGATGAGGATCACCCGTGGAGAGGTCCCAGAAACCACTTTTACCTGTTAAGCCATATCTGTGCCCCCGCTATATTCAGGGCGCCCGGCAGAATCCAGGGTGGGGCTTCAAAAATAAAAAAATTGCATCTTACATGGGGATGACCTTGAGCAATAAAGAGAAACCAGAGTGACAATTTTTTTTTTATTGTTGTTAACTGATTAAGGAATTTTGCCTCACAATTTTATGTTTGTTGTGTCTGTAATTTTGTATAACTGGTCTCTACGTTATGTCTTCTTATATATGGCTTAGGCTGTATCACGTTCATTAGGTGTTTTTTTTTTTAATGTGAAAGGTGTAACATAGGCATAAATTTGGTGTGCTTTTATCTGAAAAGTGTAACTTAGGCATATGTTTGGTGTGTTGTTATGTGAAAGATGTAACATAGTCATACATTTGGTGTGTTGTTGTGTGAAAGATGTAACATAGTCATACATTTGGTGTGTTGTTATGTGAAAGATGTAACATAGTCATACATTTGTGTGTTGTTATGTGAAAGATGTAACTAGTCAACATTTGGTGTGTTGTTGTATGAATAGTCATACATTTGTCATACATTTGGTGTGTTGTTGTGTGAAAGTTGTAAGATATACATTTGGTTTGATTTTTTTGTGAAAGGTGTAACATAGGCATACACATTTGTTGTATTTTTATGTGAAAAATGTAACATATTTATAAATTTGTTGTGTTTTTATGTGAAAGATGTAACACAGGCATACGTTTGTATGTGTTTTTATGTGAAAGGTGTAACCTGTTCATAAATTTGGTGTGGTTTTGTCTGGTGGTGGCATGCATGACATGTGGGTTACAGATTGTGCATGGTTGGTGATGAAAACCATAAAGTTGTAATTGCAATTATCTTATCTTGATTTTTTTCTTTAATTTTTTTAAATTATTGTACATTATGAAGAGAAAACCAGGTAGGTAGGTAGGAAGGTAGTTGTACCCCACCAGGACATCACACAAGCGTTAAACACCTGGTGCAATTTTTTTTATTGGTTAACTTTTACAATTTTGTTTGTTGTGTCTGTAATTTTGTATAACTGGTCTTTACGTTATGTCTTCTTATATGGCTTAGGCTGTATCACGTTCATTAGGTGTTTTTTTTTTATGTGAAAGGTGTAACATAGGCATAAATTTGGTGTGCTTTTATCTGAAAAGTGTAACTTAGGCATATGTTTGGTATGTTATGTGAAAGATGTAACATAGTCATACATTTGGTGTGTTGTTATGTGAAAGATGTTACAGTCATACATTTGGTGTGTTGTTATGTGAAAGATGCAACATAGTCATACATTTGGTGTGTTGTTATGTGAAAGATGTAACATAGTCATACATTTGGTGTGTTGTTGTATGAAAGGTGTAACATAGTCATACATTTGGTGTGTTGTTGTGTGAAAGTTGTAAGATATACATTTGGTTTGATTTTTTTGTGAAAGGTGTAACATAGGCATACACATTTGTTGTATTTTTATGTGAAAAATGTAACATATTTATAAATTTGTTGTGTTTTTATGTGAAAGATGTAACACAGGCATACGTTTGTATGTGTTTTTATGTGAAAGGTGTAACCTGTTCATAAATTTGGTGTGGTTTTGTCTGGTGGTGGCATGCATGACATGTGGGTTACAGATTGTGCATGGTTGGTGATGAAAACCATAAATTGAATGTTTTGGAATGTGCATGTTGTATTTAGGTGAAGTGGATTGTGTAGTAATGGGAAGACTTTGTGGTAAAATATTTAAGTGAGGTTGACTGTGTTGTAAATGAGGAGACTGTGTGGTAAAAATATCTGTCAGCTTTTTGACAAAAGCAAACTCTTTGTTTCTGCATTACCCACAAAGTGCTGATTGCTCTATAAAACATAGATCTAGCCCTGTATGCCAGGCATGGAAAAGGGTCGTTTACTTGAGTTCTGATCTCTTGTTTCTGAGCCTTGCTTACTTTTCTGTAGCCTAGTGGTCACTGTGGGTGTTGAATATTACCTATTCAGTACCATTGTCACATGACACTCCAGATATCTTGTCTCATTCTTCTCCTCCTCTCCCCCTCCTCTTATTCTCCTCCCCTCCTCCTCCTCCTCTTCCTTCTATTTCTTTGACTTCTTCATTCACCCTCCACAAGACCCCATCAGCAAACCCAAGAGAAATCAATATACAACAGTTTTCGATCTACAAAGAGAACACTGCAGGCTCAACAAATACATGCATAAAATAAAGATTGTACAGTCCCCACAGTGTGCCTGTCAAACAGGACCACAAACACCTGAGCACATTCTGCAGACCTGCACACTCTACCTACAACTTCAAAAAGACACCTGGCTTCAAGAGTAAAGTGTGCTGAGCAAGCGGTAGGAAACCATGAATGACCTGCTACTGACATGTGAGTTCATAGAGGCAACCCACCTGATGGTCTGATCTGAGCATATGAAAACGAACGCAAAGAAGAAGAAGAAGAAGACATTCACCCTCAAAGGGTAACTGGCACATTGTTTTGTTGGAATGTCTTCATTGTTGGATTGCTGCAGCTTGTAACTGGTCTGTATATTTCCTCATGTCTTAGGATGGAAATATTCCCAGTTGTGAAGCTTGTATTCGACAGTTCTTATATGGACAGAACTTTTTCCTCAAGGAGTTTGGCTGCAGATGCAAGGAGGTATGTTTTATTGTCACTGCCTCAGTTTGAATAATTCTATCACATCTGAGTATTACATCATATAAATCAGTACTATTGTATGGGGCGGAAACATGGAGAACAACCAAGGCAATTAGTAATAAATTACAGACATTCATTAACTGGTGCCTGCGCAGAATAGAGGGAATAAAATGGTATGATAGAATAACTAATGTAGAACTTTGGGAGAGAACTAAACAGGCTCCAGTGGATCAGGAAGTGAGGAAAAGACGCTGGCGTTGGATAGGGCACACACTGAGAAAACAGGAGAACAGCATAACTAGAATGTCTTTGCATTGGAACCCACAGGGGCATAGGAATAAAGGAAGGCCAAAAAACACATGGAGAAGAGAGCTGGAGAACGAGGATAGAAAGATTGGGAGGACATGGGGAGAGCTCCATGCAATGGCGAAGGATAGAACGACTTGGCGTGAGTTGGTTGAGGGCCTATGCTCCATTGGGGGATAGAAAGGCAGAAGAAGAAAAGAAGAAGTGACAACACATCACTTTTTAAGTTCTTTATTTTTGTTCATCCAGGAATATAATTGCCTTCTTCTTCTTATCTTCTTCCTCTTCCTCCTCCTGCCTTCTTCTTCTTCTTCTCCTTCTTTTTCTTCTTCAGTATTCCAGGCCCTTGAGGTTCTTTGCTGCAGATATTACCCACTTTCATTCATCTGTGTGATTAGTCCTCTCTTTCTAGTTGACGACTGCAAGTGTTTGGAGGTCTGCTTGTATATTATCTCTCCACTGTCTTCTTGGTCTGTCTCATGGTCTGCAACCATTTAACTGCCTTTTGTGTGCACAGTTTTTACCTCTCTGTCATCTGACATTCTGTCAATATGCCCCAACTATTTAGGTCTATTAGCTCTCATGATACCAGTGATAAGTGTTGATTTAAACAGATTATGAATTTCCTTGTTGCTTCTCTCTCTCCTTTCCCCGCTGTTTGCATCTTTGATGAGCCCAAAAATATGTAATAAGGCTTCATCTATTTTAGCTGCGCTCCGAGTGTTAGAGCCATATAAAATGACTGTTCTTATTAACGTTTTATATACTTTGATCCTATTATTACAATATAGACCTTTTTAGCAGATGTTGTAGTGCATAATATACTTTATTTCCAGATTGTATTCTAGATTGTATGTCTTCTCTTAGTATGTTGGAGTAGTTGAAATTTGCACCCAAGACATTTGTTTCCCTTAGTTTGATTTTCATATTATCAATTTGTATGTGGCCAGAGTTATTTTTCCTGCCCTTATCTTGTTATTACCACATATTCTGTCTTATCTAGATTTGTTTAGGTGCTTCCTTTATGAGAGTCAATGTTTTATTGTCTCTAGTTTATTTTATCCAGCGATATCAGTGTCATCTGCATAACCAAGTATTCTTGTAGTTTCTCATGTAGTACCATCTTCTTTCTGTTTCCTTATAATTTTCTATAGGGCCAAGCTGAAAAGAAGTGAGGACGGACGGAGCATTACATTGCTTTAAGCTAGATTTATTTGAAAATTGATTAAATGCCTAGTGCCCATTAACATGGCTGTGATGTTTGGGCCTTTAGCAGACACCAAATAGCACCACTTTTGAGGCGTCAAATAATCAACATGCACACACAAAAGCAGTTGATAAGTGTGCTATTCAGAAACATAATATGATATTAATAACAAGCTATGCAACTAGCAAAAGACAGGAAGCTACATGTAATTCCTCTCTGCAAGGCCTCAAGGTATAAGCTGTAGGACGAAAAAAGCAGGAGAAGCAGACATATATGAATTTTTTTCAGGTTTTTATTGCCTATTTAGCTGTCCAGGACATCCTAATTAAACCCAGCTGTGTCAGATTACATTATCACATAACACCACCCCATTGAAGTATTACAACACCCTACTATGTCACAGTATAATATCACAGCACATTATCACATCATAGTACAATGTCACACTGTCAAGTATAACTTCACAATATCCCATTGAAGTATTACATCACAGTAACCCATTGCAGTTTAACATCACACTATCACATTGAAGTATCACATCACACTATCACATTGAAGCTAATACATGTGATAGTGTCAACGCTATCACATTGAAATATAACATCACACTACAATGTTACAGTGATATATCAGAGCACACTATAACAAGACACTATAACATCACACTTGAAGTATTACATCACACTATAATATCACGCGGCGTCCGTGGCTAAGGCGTTGCGAGTCCGACTCGTAAGCCAGCATACCGCGATCGAAATCCACTGCAGGCTGCGTGGATTTTTGTCGTGGTATGGGGAAGTCGTAGGTCGACCCAGCCTAAAATGGGTACCAGGATGAGCTGTCCTGGGAAAGTAAAGACAGCCGGCGTAATGCTGACCACATTACCCACAGAGTGCTGATGGTCTGTAAAAATATGGGACGCTCTGCCCATATGCCCGAAGCGCCGAAAGGCGTGAAATGGGATCTTTACTTTTTTTTTTTTACTATATCACAGGACACTGTCCCATCACAGTATAACAGTTTGACATCAGCTGTTAATTATTTATATTTTCACACCTACCCTGAGGGATTTTTAACATAGGAATTATGAACACATTACATCATAGTTTATCATTACGCTTTTATAGTACACTAAACAGTCACATCAGACTATCACATTAAACTGTAATATTACATTATCTCATACAATGTGAAGATATCTCATAAAAATATGACAGTATCCCATGAAAAAATATGACAGTATCCCATACAAAACATATCATGACATTATCTCATCACAATGTTTCCAGTGAAAGTAATTCTTGACACTGATGCCCAAGGAAACATATATCACTATGAAGATAGAAGTGTCTTATTTGTCTTCCAGTTCTGGCTCCCAGACACGTTCGGCTACTCAGCACAGTTCCCCCAGATACTGCGACATTGTGGTATTACCAGATTCCTCACACAGAAGCTCAGTTGGAGTTTGGTCAACAAGTTCCCTGTAAGTTGTGGTCACCTTCGTTGTTGTTCTCTTGCTTCAACAGACTTTATATAGTGTTGGCTGTTGGTTTATTGATCAGGCTTAAGGATTATCTAATATTAGCACAAGAATCAGGAAGAGTACAGAGTCTAAACCTTTGATACACAAGAAAATTAGATTAGATAATTATAGAACTTTGATATGTGAGGAAAGTAGAGTAGAGAATCTAGAACGTTGTATGAGAGGAAAGTAGAATAAAGAGTTCTAGAACTGATGCACAAGGAAGGTCCATTAGAAGTTCTACAAATTTTACTCTTGAGAAAGGGAGAGTGGAGAGTTTTAGAACTTTGGCACACAAGGAAAACCGAGTAGAGAGTTCTAGAATTTTTACACATGAGGAAGGTAGAGTCGAGAGTTGTAGAACTTGGACACACAAGGAACATTGAGGAGAGTTCTAGAATAGAGAGAGAAAGATAGAGAAAGAGTGAGAATGAGAAAGGAAATGTTACTTGTGTGAAATTGTGTATCCTGTTTTGCTGTCACCAGCACCACACTTTTCACTGGGAGGGAATCGATGGATCCTCCGTGCTGGCTCACTTCCCACCTGGGGACAGCTATGAGATGAAAGGGCGTGTTGGCGAGGTACTGTAAACATGTTTTTTTTCCCCCAGTATAATGTTTGTTACTTCTATCGCCCTATGGGTTCCAGTGCAAAGACAGTCTAGTTATCTTGGTCTCAGGGGTTCTCAGCGTGTGTCCTATCCAACGCTAGAGTCTTTTCTTCACCTTGTGGTCCACTGGAACTTGTTTAGTTCTCTCCCAAAGCTCAACATTAGTGGTTATGTCATACCATTTTTTTAAAACACTGGCACAATATTTATATGTGATCAATAATTCTGTCAGTGGTGAAACATTGACATTATCCCTGTGTGTGTTTGTAGTAGTGCGGGGGAGAATGTATCCACTGCCTCTCTCTTCCACCCCTTACAGATCTTTAAAAAAAGGATTTCCTCCCTCCCCCGTCCCCTTTTTTTTTTTAAATGTATAACTCAACTCTTCCAGGGCAACATTTTTTCTGGGGTTTGGGCAGAATTAATTTTGGGCTGAATTTTTTTTTAATTGCAACATGACAAAGCTAAAACCTTCCTGAAGAAAACTATTGGCTGTATAGGGGCATATAGTATATCGTTGAAGAGAAATGAGTGCAGAATAATTCTAAACTATTTAAGAATCAGCATTACAAAAACAAAATTCTTAAAATCCCACAATATTCAAAGAAGTTAGACACATATGAAGATTATTTACTCATAAAATGTGCTTACCTTTCTTTTTTACTTGTTAAAAACACTGCTATCAATTTCTAAGAATTCACTTGCCTCCTCTTTTTGATTGTGCATCAGCTAGTCTGTATTTGAAACAATTAATATAAGTACTTTGGATTTTATGAAGATTTTTATATGACATGTCAAATTTCACAACAACCGAATTCCTGAAACAGCTCATCAAAACAGGGATGATCCGATTGACATATTTTTTCAACTTCATTCTAACTTATATTATTGGCAATAAGTTTGGCACATGCATTATCTGTCATAATATCAAGACTGTTGTCACTCTGTATCTGAGATTCCTTAACGAAAGAGTAGAATGTACAGTTATAGATCTTTTCCCTAATCATTTGGTATAGAAAAATCATGTAAAATTTTATCACATCTAACAAATTTTTTAAAAACCAGAAAGTTATCCAAAAGGACTTGCTAATTCTAGTTTTTCAAAACATGTTTATACTAATTTGTTTTCCCAGCAAACAAAAAAACATATTAGAGTGTCTATGGGTGGAGCCACTTAAATGATGATATGTCCCAACATGTTGAATTCAGAAGCCATTACAGTGGCCATACGTCCACAAAGAGTTAAAAAAGCAAAGGCATCCTTATGTCTCTAAAACTCTGCTAAAAAAAAAAAAGAAACTAGAAGAAGAGAAGAAGAAGTTGAAGAAATGTGAAGTCTTGGTCAGGTATTGACAGGAGCCACAGCAGTCGACCTGTCATCCTGAATGTCTTGGATTCGAATCTGTATTGAAGCAGATTTTTGTCAAAATCTGCCTTGGCTCCCAAGTTAACCTAGCCTAACATTAGTGTAAGGAAATTACTGGGAAGTAAAAGTGGTCAGTTTAATGTTGACCTTATCACCTGTCAGGGGCCGCTGTGATGGAGTGGCTAAACACTTGCCTGTGGATCAGAAGGTCACGGTTCAGGTCCTGATAGAGCTAGACTTTTTTTCAAAAATGAACTTGGCTCCCAGGTCGACCCAGCGTTGAGTGGGTACTAGGAAGAGTCCCAGGAAGTAAAGGCAGTCGGCCTGATGCTGACCACATCACACACTGAGTGCAGATTCATCTGTAAAACATAGATCTAGCCCTATATGCCCAATACACTGGAAGGCATGGAAAAGGGTCCTTTACTTTGTCTTTTTTAAATTTAAATCACCTGTGGAGTGCTGATTGGCCTATACAAATATGTCAAGCATTGTATGCAGGACCCCTTGCTCTGGTGTCCACAATGGCATCAAGAGATGACCATTCAGAGAGCAGAGGCAAACTATTGAATGTAAATTTGCCTAGAAATACCACAACAGAATAAAAAAATTGCTGGGGTTGGCTCTGCAAGTTCTGTAAGTGACATGCAACTAGCCAGTATATACGCTTCATGTATCTTCTTCTTCTTCTGCCTTTCTATCCCCCAATGGAGCATAGGCCCTCAACCAACTCACGCCAAGTCATTCTATCCTTCGCCATTGCATGGAGCTCTCCCCATGTCCTCCCCATCTTTCTAACTTCATTTTCCAGCTCTCTTCTCCGTGTGTTTTTTGGCCTTCCTTTATTCCTATGCCCCTGTGGGTTCCAATGCAAAGACATTCTAGTTATGCTGTTCTGTTTTCTCAGTGTGTGTCCTATCCGACGCCAGCGTCTTATCCTCACCTCTTGGTCCACTGGAGCCTGTTTAGTTCTTTCCCAAAGCTCTACATTAGTTATTCTATCATACCATTTAATTCCTTCTATTCTGCGCAGGCACCAGTTAATGAATGTTTGTAGTTTATTAGTAATTGCCTTAGTAGTTCTCCATGTTTCCGCCCCATACAAGAGTACTGATTTGACATGAGAATTACAAATTTTTAGTTTAGTATTTTTTAAAATTTGTTTTGACCTCCACAAATTCCCTAGTGCTATGAAAGCCCCTCTTGCCTTTTGTATTCTTATTTTAATATCTCTATCAGTTCCTCCATCTTTATCTACATTACTGCCCAAATAGGTGTACGACTCCACCTCTTGGAATGGGGTGCCATTAAGGGAAACCACATTACTATTTGCCGGATTTATTCTCATTATCATGGTTGGTTGGTTTTTGTGGCTATGGCTTTTACAGGATGAGGTAGCCAACCTCAAGCCCAACCCTACCCTTAGTCGCCTCTTACGACATGCCTGGTAGGGTGCAGTGTCACTATTCGGCTCTACTGGCAAATCCGGACGAAGAATAAACAGACTTGGACGACTTAGTCAGAGTTATCTCCCGTCGCCGCACTCCGAACAGTTACGACACACTTACCTATCATCCTGCGGTTGCGTGTAGGGCTGCAGTGCGTGAGACACATCGTTCATCATATATTTTTGCGTTCACAGTGCGTACGGTTGCGTGAGGCACTGTGAATGAGTCATCATCATGCGGTTGTTGGATTAGAGTTAGGGTAGGGTTAGGGTTAGGGTTAAAGGGGTAGGGTTAGGGGTAGGGGTAGGGTTAGGGGTAGGGTTAGGGGTAGGGTTAGGGGTAGGGTTAGGGTTAGATGTGAAAATTTTGACGTAGGATTTCGAATACTGGCCGACAATATGATGTTTGTGGGAGTGGCGCCACTGAAACTCTGCCAAATATGACGCCAATAGCGTGCGGCTGGTGCCCCCATCGTTGGCGAATTGTGCGTGTGACCAGCATCCAGAGGCCCCTCGATTGTTTGTTGTGTATGGGACTGTGCGCGATTATAGGGAACTCCGGCATCTTGTCAAATCTAACGCTGCTACCCTAATCTTATCCTATGCAAATTTATCGATCATTAAAGCATACAAATCGGCAAACTTGTCCTGGTGCAGCGTCGAAAAAAAACCCAGATCTGGGGGAAACACCAAGCATTGGCAGCCCTGATGTCGACGTGTGTCTTCTTTGTTTCGTTGTGGCTTTTTCCGATCACTGTTTGGAGTACGGGAAGCAATATGACTAAGTCGTCTAAGGCTGTTTATTCTTCGTCCGGATTTGCCAGTAGAGCCCACTATTCTTTGCTTCCGGTGAGGGCCCCGGTGACACACAGCGGTTTCATGTATCACTGGTGTAAAAATGGTCCTTCTGTCTGTGTATTAAAGCATTGCACATTATTTCTATGCCCCAGACATCATCGTAGAGCAGGTACTTTGCAGAACTTCACTGTCATCTTCTGCCTAATAGAAACTCAATCTCTTACATGTGTACTTCATTTTCTTACCCAATATGTCACTTATATCCTGTGTCTATCTTCATGTTGGTCGAACCTGGCCCCACTTTCCTGGTGGCATCCCTTCTGCTTTTATTCTTTCCGATCCACCAGTGCGCTTGATATGTCTTCTTCTTCGCATTCACCAGCTGTAAACTCATGTGGAAAGTTGTGGTTTTTCGTCCACTTCGGGACTGCAGTCCTGCTCCAGAACTTGAGTGTTGCATGTGCATCCATTTGACAGATCTGACTAGTTTGTATGCAGACTTTTGGTTCCTCGCCTCTCAGGCAAATGCACTCTGACTTGGAAGGAAACTCCCAGTTAGTTGACTCTTATGTTTTGGGTAGGCAGTGGGTTTTTTCTTGTTTTCCCTATAACAGGGTCCTGGATCCCACACTGGGAGTCCTTGATATGGCCAAAATTGTTCAGTTTCTGAGATCAATGCTGTTTACTAACTAATCTGTGATGTTTAGATTGTTAAGAATGTCTTTTTGTGATGCCTCAGACATCAACACAAAATTCCTGCCAGTATGGTCAGATACTGACATAACATAACTGTTGTTTGCAGATGTTGAAAACTGTGAAAAACTTCAAGGACAAAGGTCGGTCCAACCGTTCTGCCTTTCTGTTTGGATATGGAGATGGAGGCCATGGACCAAGGTTCTTGTTTGTTCATACATCTCCTGTTTCCTATGGGATGTTTGTTCTACTGTCTTGTATTATGCACCTTTAAAGCACTTGTGTGATGTAAAGTACTGCTGTCCTGTCACATGAGTGATGTATAGTCCTACTGTCCTGTCACTTGAGTGATGTATAGTCTTACTGTCCTGTCACTTGAGTGATGTATAGTATCATCCAGATGTCCCTGTATCCCTTGTTTCTGATGTCATATATATAGTACTCAGGTCCTTATCATACATCTATAGAGCACTCGTGTCCAGTGGGATAAATCTCGCTCCCAAATAATATAACTGCATAGCCGTCATGTCAGGGGTAGTATAAAGTCCTCATGTTCTAGGTCGGTTACTCATAAAACCATTTGTCCTTTGTGATATATACGTTTCATCTTTTATGTCATGTTAGCACATAAACTTTGTGACTTGTGTAATATAAAGTCTGAGTTATTCATACCAACTTTGTGTTATCAGTGTCGAACTTGGACAGCCCTAGAAAAACATAAACACAAAAATGACAACATGTGAAATGAGATGTATTAGAAATGTGGTGGGACAAACGAAGAGACAGAGTCTTCTTCTTCTTCTTCTTCACTTCCTCTTTTACCGCTGTGGGTGTCGAGGGAGATATAAGGTTCTGTTTCTAGCTCTTCTGGCTGCCTCGACCATAGGCACATCGTACTGTTGTAGAGTTTCTCTGATGTTATCCTTCCATCTTGTTCTTGGTCTACCCCGTGCTCTACATCCTTCTTCTCTTCCCATGTACGCTTTGTATGGTATGGTGTCACAAGGCATTCTCTCTAAGTGGGCAAACCATTTCACTTGCTGTCTTTGTATGTAATCCAGAATTGGTTCTGTGCCGACCTGTTCTCTTATGATCTCATTTCTGATCTTATCTCTTATGGTCACTCCTACAGCCCTTCTCAGACATCTCATTTCCATGGTTACTAATTTTATTTTATGGTTTGTTGTGAGTGACCATGTCTGGCATTGGTAGCACAGAGTTGGAATAAATATGCTTTGAATAAGATGTCTCTTTGTGCTGATTGGGATTGTCTTATGCTGTAAGAGGGGGGCTAGCTGTCCCAATACTTTGTTTGCTTTACTGCATCTAATGACAGAGTCACCACTGGAAAACTAAGAACAGTAGTAAACTTGGTACCATTAACTGATTTCATAAAACATCAGAGAATAAAATGGTTTGGTCAACTGGTCAGAATAGAGCAAAATCAACCAGCAGCTGGAGCCTACTTCATGAGAAAAGCAGGCTACAAGGCAAGGGGCTGACTAAGAAAGATTTGGGTGGATTGAGTAAAAGAGACACTACAGAAACACAGTATGACAGACATTATTACAAGCTAAGCAACTAGCAAAAGACAGGAAACTACATATAACTCTTATCTGTGATGCTTTGTGGTATAAGCAATAAGGATAGAAGAAAAGCAATATACAGTCTTAATGTCCTGTTTAATGTACAGTCCTCATGTCCTGTGTCTGGTAACTACAATGTCCTGTCTAGTAACCTTGATGTCCTGGCAAGTAATCAAGGTGTCCTGTAAGATGTTCTGCTTAAATTGTTGACTTTGTTGCCTCAGTGAGGACTTTGAAAGGTCTGCTCTGGTTGTCCTTCTTTCAGTGAAGGCTTTTTATCATGTATAGCAGATTTAACAGAACAACCAATCATGATATGTACAGAAAACCCAAACTCAAAACAAGCAATAGACTTCAAGTGTCTGGGAGTATGATATCATCTTCCTTTTATTTCTTCTCCTACTCCTTTTCCTTCTCCTCCTTTTTCTTCTCCTCCTACTTTTTCTTCTCCTCCTACTTTTTCTTCTCCTCCTCCTTTTTCTTCTCCTCCTCCTTTTTCTTCTCCTCCTCCTTTTTCTTCTCCTCCTCCTTTTCCTTCTCCTCCTCCTTTTTCTTCTCCTCCTACTTTTCCTTCTCCTACTCCTTTTCCTTCTCCTCCTCCTTTTTTCTTCTCCTCCTCTCTTTTTCTTCTTCTTTTTCTTCTCCTTTTCCTTCTCCTGAGTTTTTCTTCTCCTCCTTTTTTTTCTCCTTTTTCTTCTCCTCCTACTTTTTCTCCTCCTCCTTTTTCTTCTCCTTTTTCTTCTCCTCCTACTTTTTCTCCTCCTCCTTTTTCTTCTCCTTTTTCTTCTCCTCCTACTTTTTCTCCTCCTCCTCTTTTTTTCTTCTCCTTTTCCTTCTCCTCCTCCTTTTCCTTCTCCTTTTTTCTTCTCCTCCTCCTTTTTCTTCTCCTTTTTCTTCTCCTACTTTTTCTTCTCCTCCTCCTTTTCCTTCTCCTCCTCCTTTTTTCTTCTCATTTTTCTTCTCCTTTTTCTTCTCCTTCTCCTCCTACTTCTCCTCCTTCTCCTCTTCCTTCTTCTTCTCCTCCTCCTCCTCCCCCTCTTTCTCCTTCTCCTCTTCCTCTTTCTTCTGTTTCTCCTCCTCCTTCTGTTTTCTCCTTCTTCTTCTCCTCCTTCTTCTTTTTGTTTTCCTTTTTTTCCTCCTCCTCCTCTTTCTCCTTCTTCTTCTCCTCCTTCTTCTTCTTCTGCCCTTTATCTCAAATTGAGCATATGCCTTCAACCAACCCATGCCACGTTGTCCTATCCTTTGCTTTTGCTTGCATCCCACCCCATGTCCCCCCTATCTTTTCAACTTCACTCTCTAAAGTAAAGTATCATGCAAAGAAATGAAAAAAATATACACAGAATATTGTTGGAATAAAGGAAATCAAATTATTGGACAGATCTCACCAATATTGCAGAACACATATGTGTCCTTGTTGTTTCAGTGAGGACATGTTGGAGAGACTGCAGCGACTGCAAGATTGTGATGGACTACCCAAGTAAGATTCTCAACGTTAAATGTATAACAGATGTTTCTCTTATCTGCATGCACACATAGATGGTCTAAGTGTACAGTCATAGGTTGACGGACAGGTGCCAGACAGGTTGACCGGTAGGTAGATAGACAGGTGTGCCAACATCTGGGCAGGTTGACAAACAGTTTAACGCACAGGTGGGCTGACAGTTTGACAGGTGACCAGAAAGTTTAACAGACAGTTGGGCAAACAGGTTAACAGACAGTTGGCCAAACAGGTTAACAGACAGTTGGCCAAACAGGTTAACAGTCAGTTGGGCACACAGATTAACAGACAGTTGGCCAAACAGCTTGGCAGACAGATTAATACAGATGGGCAAACAGGTTGAAAGACAGGTGGGTAGACAGACAGGTTAACATGTGGATAGACGGGTTAACAGCCATGTGGTCAGACATGTTGAAAGCTGGGCAGACAGACAGTGAGATGCACACAGTTTGATATACAGGTGTTAAGACAGCCAGATGGATACACATATTGGTAAACAGGTGGGCTGATGGATGCAGAGAAAGAGACAGATCACAAGAAGAATGAGAGAATCATGTCTGTTTGACATTGGGCAGTCATGCTGGTGTGTTGATCTCACTCAACATATTACCTGCAGGGTGAAGCTGGCCAGCCCTGATGAGTTCTTCTCTTCCATTGAACGGGAAAACACAAACTTGCTGTGTCGCTGGAGGGGCGAGCTGTACCTGGAGCTGCACAATGGCACATACACCACGTGGGCCAAGGTAGGTGGTGCTAGCAGTAACTGTGTCTGTTGAGTGGGTCAGAATGTGATTTAGTGCACAGCTGTGGTGGTGTAACTAAAATCGTACAGTGCACAGCTGTTATGGTGTAGTTTAAGATTGTACAGTGCACAGCTGTGGTATTGTAATTTAAGTAATTGCAACATTGTTCAGTGCACAGCTGTGGCAGTGTAACCATAAGATTATCATAAGATTGTACAGTGCACAGCTGCTATATTGTAACCATATGATTCTTCAGTGCACAGCTATATCATTGTAACCATAAGATTGTACAGTGCACAGCTAGATGTTGTAATTACTAAATTGTACAGTGCACAGCTGTGGCATCATACCATAAGACTGTACAGTGCACAGCTGTGGCATCATACCATAACAATGAACAGTGCACAGCTGTGGAATTGAAACCATAAGATTGTACAGTGCACAGCTTGGGATTGTAACCATTAGATTGTACAGTGCACAGCTGTGGTATTGTAACCATACAATTGTACAGTGCACAGCTGTGGAATTGTAACCATAAGATCGTACAGTGCACAGCTATAGCATTGAAGCCATAAGATTTTACAGTGCACAGCTTGGTATTGTAACCATTAGATTGTACAGTGCACAGCTGTGGTATTGTAACCATAGAATTGTACACTGCACAGCTGCAGAATTGTAACCATAAGATCATACAGTGCACAGATATAGCATTGAAGCCATAAGATTTTACAGTGCATAGTTTGGTATTGTAACCATTAGATTGTACAGTGCACAGCTGTGGCATTGTAACCATTAGATTGTACAGTGCATACAGTGTGGCATTGTAACCATAAGATTGTTCAGTGCATAGCTGTGAAATTGTAACCATAAGATTGCACAGTGCACAGCTGGGTATTGTAGCTATCAAATGTGTACATTAACAAAGATTAAGTGTAGCCTGTTGACCTGTACACAGGTGAAGAAGTACAACCGCCAGTGTGAGGTGCTGCTGCAGGAACTAGAGGCTGTAGCCACCATGGCCTGTGTGAGGGTGCCAGACTTCCCGTACCCACACGAGGAGCTGGACAGACTGTGGAAGTTGTTGTTGTTGAACCAGTTCCATGATGTTTTACCTGGCAGTTCCATTAACCAGGTGGGTTGTTATTGCAGTTAGTATAGGGTAAGTTCCGTTTAACTAATGTTTTTCTACTTCCATTTAACTAATGTTTTTCTAACGAGTGTAGAGTTAGTTCCATTAACCAGGTGGGTTATTATAACCAGCATAATGTTATTTCCATTTATCTCATGTTATTACAACCAGTTTAGGGTGAGTTCCTTTAATTGGATGGGGTATTGTAACCAGTGCAAGGTTAGTTCCAATAGTGTGATGAGGTATTGTAACCAGTGCAAGGTTAGTTCCAATAATGTGATGAGGTACTGTAATTAGTGTAGGATTAGTTCCATTAATGTGTTGAGTTATTGTAATTAGTGCAGGAAAAGTTCCTTTAATGTGATGAGTTATAATAATTAGTATAGGATTAGTTCCATTATTGTGATGAAACAGGTTCTAATAATGTGATGAGGTATTGTAATTAGTGTAGGATTAGTTCCATTAATGTGATGACTTATTTTACCAGTGTAGGGTTAGTTCTATTAATCAGTTGACTTACCATAACCGGAAAATAACCGGAAAAGGGGGGGGGGGGGGGGGGGGGCAGCCATTAATAAGTTTACTTATCATAACCAAGGGGGGTAAATTTGCTTTAATTTGCACCACCAGGTTGAAGAGGACTGATGTGAGATAAAATATGTAGGTGTTCTCACATGTTAGGATTCTGTGTTCGTTAAAAATTTTAAACCTTTACCTCACCTATTTACAGGTGTTTCAAGATGCTGTCGGTTACTATCAAGGTGAATATATTAAAACATTTGCCGTCTTTTTTAGGATTAAATTTTTGTTATTTGAAGCCCTACCCTGGCTCTTGCCAGGAGCCACAGCCAGGCCATAAATATGGTCTAATGGCTGAACGCAGTTTCTGGATCTCTCCACGGTGATCCTCATCCACATGGTGACACTTTGTGTCATCAGATGTTTATTGCTTGTGTGATGTCCTGGTGGGGTAGAAAGTCAGTCATCAAGGTGAGTCTGTGATGTGACCTTACGGTTGTATCTAACTGGATGGCTGTATGTGTATGGATTGTTATATATTTTATCCATTTGTATCATTACTGTATGGCAAACTAGTGGAGGTAAATTTGCCTAGAGAAACCACACAACAGCCAGGGGCTGCTGTGGTTGGTTCTGCAACATCCTGTAGAGGATACGCAACTAACTAACTAATTATTACTGTTACATTAAATTCTGTAATCTTCCTCATCTTGTGCTCTCTATCACCCAGTGGAGCATAGGCCCTCAACCAACTCATGCCATGTTGTCCTATCATTTGCTATCGCATGCAGTTCACCCCATACCCTCCACATCTTACTAACTTCATTATCTAGTTCCTTCTGCATGGGGTGGGGAGGGCCTGCCTTCTTGTTACATTATCAGATTTTGTCAGTTTCTGTCCTAGTTGTATCAGAAGTTAGTTGTGCATCCTTTATAGGATGTTGCAGAACCAACCCCAGCATTTCTGGACGGTTTGTTGTATCACTAGGCAATTTTATATCTAGTAGTTTAAGGAATGGCTGGTTGAGAGGAGCGGCTGGCCGTACAGTTAAGTATGCTAGTCTGTCATGCAGGAGACCCAAGTTTAGAATCCTCAGTAAAGTTATGGATTTTATCTGTCAGGGGGGCCCAAAAATAAAATCTCAACCTGCGCAGTCTGTGGCAACAGCACTAACCATATGGCCCTAAATCCTCAGGCTCAGAAGACCCCCTGCCTACACCACAAAAGTGGTAAACAGAGACAGAATTGGCAGTTTGCTACTACTTCTGAATGGACAGCTCTTGATACTACTATTGAAACCAACGCAAGGCAATCTACAGTTAGATAGTCCACAAATCTATCCCAGCACCATAGAATTATTTAACGTGTTCACAGAGCCTAAGCACTGTCTGAAAGGTGTGGTCATGCCTGGCACTGCAGCCAGAAGTGTTGGGGGCAACTAGCTTTCCTAGGAGGGTGAAAAGTGAAAATAAGTAGCCTGCTGCTGTCCCGTGATTGCACAAGCTAAACCCATCATCCTGTGGAGCAGACTGGAAACTGTATCCATGAGGATACAGACTAACGGGGAAATGGCCACCAAGAGAGAAGTGGGCCCTGCCAGGGTTGAAATACTGCCCGTGATGCACCATGCTGTTGACAAACAGAGGGTTGAAATACTGCCGGCGATGCACCATGCTGTTGACAAACAGAGGGTTGAAATACTGCCCGTGATGCACCATGCTGTTGACAAACAGAGGGTTGAAATACTGCCCGTGATGCACCATGCTGTTGACAAACAGAGGGTTGAAATACTGCCGGCGATGCACCATGCTGTTGACAAACAGAGGGTTGAAATACTGCCCGTGATGCACCATGCTGTTGACAAACAGAGGGTTGAAATACTGCCGGCGATGCACCATGCTGTTGACAAACAGAGGGTTAAAATACTGCCCGTGATGCACCATGCTGTTGACAAACAGAGGGTTGAAATACTGCCCGTGATGCACCATGCTGTTGACAAACAGAGGGTTGAAATACTGCCCGTGATGCACCATGCTGTTGACAAACAGAGGGTTGAAATACTGCCCGTGATGCACCATGCTGTTGACAAACAGAGGGTTGAAATACTGCCCGTGATGCACCATGCTGTTGACAAACAGAGGGTTGAAATACTGCCCGTGATGCACCATGCTGTTGACAAACAGAGGGTTGAAATACTGCCCGTGATGCACCATGCTGTTGACAAACAGAGGGTTGAAATACTGCCGGCGATGCACCATGCTGTTGACAAACAGATCATTGAAAGAAACATACAAGTATTAGAAATGTGATGTTTTAGAAAAATTCTTGGCATATCATACAGAGACCACATTACAAACGAAGAGGTTCACCATGAAATTATACAGCACATTGGCAACTATGAACTCTCTTTTAACTACAGTGAAAAGGCGAAAAATGCAATGGTATGGACATGTAATAAGATTTAACGGCCTCTCAAAAGCAATACTGTAGGGCTCAGTAGAGGGAAAGAGAGATGAGACAGACCGAGAGAGAAATGGTTACAGAACCTGACTGACTGGACAGGCCTCAGGCATGCAACCATGAAGTCCATCGCAGCTGACCGCCAAAGGTGGAGAGAGCTGATCAGACAGTCAACAGAAACTGGTGACCCAATGATACGTAGTGTTACGGGATGATGATGATGATGAGTGTCTAAGCCACAGACGCCGATCCTAGTTGTATATTCTTTCGCTTGTAATGTTCATGCACTTGTGTATTCAGAGACATTAGTCAGTCTCTTTTGCCGTCATCTACAGATATAGAGAGGTCAGCAAATGCACTGATCAACAAAGCTGTAGCCTGCTGTGCCCACAGCCAGGTAAATTATGCTTGTCTTTGTGGATGTCCTTTGTTAGTCAGGCGGTCACTGCTGCCACTTCCCCTTCACAGGACCTATTTGGAAAGAAAAGGGAAGAGGGAGGGGGAGGGGGGGGGGGGGCATTAGACCCATTACTCTTGTTCTTCTTTTATTTCTTCTTCTTCTCTTCCACCTTGTACCTCATCGAAGTGTCAGGGGGAGATGTAGCATTTGTTGATGAGCTCTGTCAAGAGCACTATTAAGACTGATGCTTATTTCTGTAAGGCTGTTCTTAACGCCATCACTTCATATTTTTCTAGGTCTTCCACTCGCTCTGTACCCATTGTAACGTTTTAATGTGCCTCGCTGTGGCGGATAGTACCAGGGCATTCTTGTTAGGTGTGCAAACCACTTCATTTGTTGTTCTTTGATGACTTGTAAGACTGGATTTATTCCTAGCATTTGTCTGATTTCATGATTTCGTATTCTCTTTCCTTGAAATTCCTGCAGCTCTTCTAAGGCATTTCATCTCTGTTGTCACAATTTTACGTTCATTGTAGGATGTAAGTGTCCATGTTTGGCACTGATAGCATAGTATTGGCCAAAAAATAGTTCTGAGAAGATTCACTTACTCAAGGCGGCTAATTACGGGTGTTTTCTTCAAAGTTTAAGTGCATTTGCCTGAGTAGCAAGGAACCAGCAGTCTGCATATAAATAAGCCAGCTCTGTGGAATATATTAGTCATGCCCTTGTGGGATGTAATTTTTCATTATTCGCAGCCCCCACCCTGGCTTTTGCCGGGGGCCCTGAATATAGCCAGGCCATAAATATGGCTTAACGGCTGAAAGAGGTTTCTGGGACCTCTCTACGGGTGATCCTTATCCACATGGTGGCACTTTGTGTCACCAGGTGTTTATCGCTTGTGTGATGTCCTGTGGGGTACAACAAGAGAGAGAGAGAGAGAAAAACATGGATGTGCATGGGGAAGGCAAGTTCTGTAACAAGACCACAGTCCAAAAAGACGAACAACCAGAACTTTCCATCAAAGTTTACAGCCGGTGAATGCTAAGACAAACATTGTTCTTTGGTCACATAATGAAAAGAGAGACATTGGAAGACATCATGACAACTGGAAAGATCAGTGGAAATAGGGGTAGAGGCAGACCAAGACAGATAATGCTGGATGGGCTGAAACAATGGCAGGGAGAGATATCATCAAGAGAGCTGTTCTGGGCAACCAGAGATTGGGATCTGTGGAGATGCATGAGCACCTGTGCCAGTTGGCATGGTATGTGATGATGATGATAAATGCTAAGAAGAGGAAGAAGAGATGTCAATGCTTTTTTATGTGAAGAAGGAAGAGAATATGGTGTAAATATTTGTTATGTGTGTTTATCTTGCATAATTGTATGTGGACGTACGTCTTATATAACTTTGCATAACTTTATGCACATGTGTGTACATTTTATTTAGTTGTGTGTACTTTTCATCCATTTGTGCCTACAGGTCATCTAGTTGTATATTTATCTGCCATCTAGTTATGTCTACACAGTCTAGTTATATGTGTACCTGACATCTAGTTGTGTCTACACAGTCTAGATATATGTGTACCTGACATCTAGTTGTGTCTACACAGTCTAGATATATGTGTACCAGACATCTAGTTATGTCTACACAGTCTAGATATATGTGTACCAGACATCTAGTTGTGTCTACACAGTCTAGTTATATGTGAACCTGACATCTAGTTGTGTCTACACAGTCTAGATATATGTGTACCAGACATCTAGTTATGTCTACACAGTCTAGTTATATGTGTACCTGACATCTGGTTGTGTCTACACAGTCTAGTTATATGTGTACCTGACATCTAGTTGTGTCTACAGTCTAATTATATGTGTACCTGACATCTAGTTGTGTCTACACAGTCTAGATATATGTGTACCTGACATCTAGTTGTGTCTACACAGTCTAATTATATGTGTACCTGACATCTAGTTGTGTCTACACAGTCTAATTATATGTGTACCTGACATCTAGTTGTGTCTACACAGTCTAGTTATATGTGTACCTGACATCTGGTTGTGTCTACACAGTCTAGATATATGTGTACCTGACATCTAGTTGTGTCTACACAGTCTAATTATAAGTGTACCTGACATCTAGTTGTGTCTACACAGTCTAATTATATGTGTACCTGACATCTAGTTGTGTCTACACAGTCTAGTTATATGTGTACCTGACATCTGGTTGTGTCTACACAGTCTAGATATATGTGTACCTGACATCTAGTTGTGTCTACAGTCTAATTATATGTGTACCTGACATCTAGTTGTGTCTACACAGTCTAATTATATGTGTACCTGACATCTAGTTGTGTCTACACAGTCTAATTATATGTGTACCTGACATCTGGTTGTGTCTACACAGTCTAGATATATGTGTACCTGACATCTAGTTGTGTCTACACAGTCTAGTTATATGTGTACCTGACATCTAGTTGTGTCTACACAGTCTAGATATATGTGTACCTGACATCTAGTTGTGTCTACACAGTCTAGTTATATGTGTACCTGACATCTAGTTGTGTCTACACAGTCTAGTTATAAGTGTACCTGACATCTAGTTGTGTCTACACAGTCTAGTTATATGTGTACCAAACATCTAGTTATGTCTACACAGTCTAGATATATGTGTACCTGACATCTAGTTGTGTCTACACAGTCTAGTAATATGTGTACCTGACATCTAGTTGTGTCTACACAGTCTAGTAATATGTGTACCTGACATCTAGTTGTGTCTACACAGTCTAGTTAAATGTGTACCAGATATCTAGTTGTGTCTACACAGTCTAGTTATATGTGTACCTGACATCTGGTTGTGTCTACACAGTCTAATTATATGTGTACCTGACATCTAGTTGTGTCTACACAGTCTAGTTAAATGTGTACCAGACATCTAGTTGTGTCTACACAGTCTAGTTATATGTGTACCTGACATCTAGTTGTGTCTACACAGTCTAGATATATGTGTACCAGACATCTAGTTATGTCTACACAGTCTAGATATATGTGTACCAGTCATCTAGTTGTGTCTACACAGTCTAGTTATATGTGAACCTGACATCTAGTTGTGTCTACACAGTCTAGATATATGTGTACCAGACATCTAGTTATGACTACACAGTCTAGTTATATGTGTACCTGACATCTGGTTGTGTCTACACAGTCTAGTTATATGTGTACCTGACATCTAGTTGTGTCTACAGTCTAATTATATGTGTACCTGACATCTAGTTGTGTCTACACAGTCTAATTATAAGTGTACCTGACATCTAGTTGTGTCTACACAGTCTAATTATATGTGTACCTGACATCTAGTTATGTCTACACAGTCTAGTTATATGTGTACCTGACATCTAGTTGTGTCTACACAGTCTAGATATATGTGTACCAGACATCTAGTTATGTCTACACAGTCTAGATATATGTGTACCAGTCATCTAGTTGTGTCTACACAGTCTAGTTATATGTGAACCTGACATCTAGTTGTGTCTACACAGTCTAGATATATGTGTACCAGACATCTAGTTATGACTACACAGTCTAGTTATATGTGTACCTGACATCTGGTTGTGTCTACACAGTCTAGTTATATGTGTACCTGACATCTAGTTGTGTCTACAGTCTAATTATATGTGTACCTGACATCTAGTTGTGTCTACACAGTCTAGATATATGTGTACCTGACATCTAGTTGTGTCTACACAGTCTAATTATATGTGTACCTGACATCTAGTTGTGTCTACACAGTCTAATCATATGTGTACCTCACATCTAGTTGTGTCTACACAGTCTAGTTATATGTGTACCTGACATCTGGTTGTGTCTACACAGTCTAGATATATGTGTACCTGACATCTAGTTGTGTCTACACAGTCTAATTATAAGTGTACCTGACATCTAGTTGTGTCTACACAGTCTAATTATATGTGTACCTGACATCTAGTTATGTCTACACAGTCTAGTTATATGTGTACCTGACATCTAGTTGTGTCTACACAGTCTAGATATATGTGTACCTGACATTTAGTTGTGTCTACAGTCTAATTATATGTGTACCTGACATCTAGTTGTGTCTACACAGTCTAATTATATGTGTACCTGACATCTAGCTGTGTCTACACAGTCTAATTATATGTGTACCTGACATCTGGTTGTGTCTACACAGTCTAGATATATGTGTACCTGACATCTAGTTGTGTCTACACAGTCTAATTATATGTGTACCTGACATCTAGTTGTGTCTACATAGTCTAGTTATATGTGTACCTGACATCTGGTTGTGTCTACAGTCTAGTTATATGTGTACCTGACATCTAGTTGTGTCTACACAGTCTAATTATATGTGTACCTGACATCTAGTTGTGTCTACACAGTCTAGTTATATGTGTACCTGACATCTAGTTGTGTCTACACAGTCTAGTTATATGTGTACCTGACATCTAGTTGTGTCTACACAGTCTAGTTATATGTGTACCTGACATCTAGTTGTGTCTACACAGTCTAGTTATATGTGTACCTGACATCTAGTTGTGTCTACACAGTCTAGTTATATGTGTACCTGACATCTAGTTGTGTCTACACAGTCTAGTTATATGTGTACCTGACATCTAGTTGTGTCTACACAGTCTAGTTATGTGTGTACCTGACATCTAGTTGTGTCTACACAGTCTAATTATATGTGTACCTGACATCTAGTTGTGTCTACACAGTCTAGTTATATGTGTACCTGACATCTGGTTGTGTCTACACAGTCTAGATATATATGTACCTGACATCTAGTTGTGTCTACAGTCTAATTATATGTGTACCTGACATCTAGTTGTGTCTACACAGTCTAGTTATGTGTGTACCTGACATCTAGTTGTGTCTACACAGTCTAGTTATATGTGTACCTGACATCTAGTTGTGTCTACACAGTCTAGTCATATGTGTACCTGACATCTAGTTGTGTCTACACAGTCTAGTTATATGTGTACCTGACATCTAGTTGTGTCTACACAGTCTAGTTATATGTGTACCTAACATCTGGTTGTGTCTACACAGTTTAGTTATAAGTGTACCTGACATCTAGTTGTGTCTACACAGTCTAGTTATATGTGAACCTGACATCTAGTTGTGTCTACACAGTCTAGTTATAAGTGTACCTGACATCTAGTTGTGTCTACACAGTCTAGTTATATGTGAACCTGACATCTAGTTGTGTCTACACAGTCTAGTTATAAGTGTACCTGACATCTAGTTGTGTCTACACAGTCTAGTTATATGTGAACCTGACATCTAGTTGTGTCTACACAGTCTAGTTATATGTGTACCTGACATCTAGTTGTGTCTACACAGTCTAGTTATAAGTGTACCTGACATCTAGTTATGTCTACACAGTCTAGTTATAAGTGTACCTGACATCTAGTTGTGTCTACACAGTCTAGTTAAATGTGTACCTGACATCTAGCTGTGTACATTTCATCTGCTTGTTTGTATGCATTTCATTTAGTTATATCTACATTTAATCTAATTATGTATACTGTAATCTAGGTGTGAACATGTAATCTAATTGTATGTGTACACTTCATCTGCTTTTGTGTACATCACATCTAGTTGTCTGTGTACATCCCCAGGCCAGCGAACAGCATGAAATGTATGTTGTAAACACACAAGGGTATGCCAGACACGAGCTTGTAGAGTTACCTGCCAGCGAGCTGGCCGCACCAGCACACAAGAAACGGAGGGCCCAGACAAACAGCCAACTCCTTGATGGTTCGCATCTAGGTTAGTTTGATGAAATCATGGACAGTGGTGTCTAGATTCACTTTGACTGAGTCATTGGTTGCTGGGATCTAATTTAGAATTGACTGAATCAATGACTGCTTGTGTCCCAACTAACTTTTTATGATGTGTAAGCATGAGTGTGTCTGTATATATGAGTGTGTGTGTGTGTGTGTAGTATAAGTGTGCCTGTCTATATAAGTGTGTGTGTGCATGTGTGTGTGTGTCTGCTTATATGAGTGAGTGTGTGTGTAGTATGAGTGTGTATGTATGTATGTATGTATGTATGTATGTATGTATGTATGTATGTATGTATGTATGTATGTATGTATGTATGTATGTATGTATGTATGTATGTATGTATGTATGTATGTATGTATGTATGTATGTATGTATGTATGTGTGTATGTATGAGTGTGTGAGTATATGCATATAAAAGTGATGTGTATATAATAGAGTCTGCATGAATGTATATGTATTTCACTGTATTTGTTAATGTTGCTTGCTGTCATGTATGGGTTAATATAAGCTTGCTATCATGTAGGGGTTATTATAAGCTTGCTGTCCTGTGGGGGTTAATATGAGCTTGCTATCATGTGGGGGGTTAATATAAGCTTGCTGTCATGTAGGCGTTATTATTAGTTTGGTTCTGTAAATATAATGTGTAGTATAAGTGTGCCTGTCTATATAAGTGTGTGTCTGTGTGTGTCTGTCTGTGTTTATATGAGTGAGTGTGTGTGTAGTATGAGTGTGTATGTATGTATGTATATGTGTATGTATGAGTGTTTGAGTATATGCATATAAAAGTGATGTGTATATAATAGTGTCTGCATGGATGTATATGAATTTCACTGTATTTGCTAATGTTGCTTGCTGTCATGTATGGGTTAATATAAGCTTGCTATCATGTAGGGGTTATATAAGCTTGCTGTCCTGTGGGGGTTAATATGAGCTTGCTGTCATGTAGGAGTTATTATTAGTTTGGTTCTGTAAATGTATGTGTAGTTCATCATCATCAAGTACCTTGCCGACTGGTGTGGGTGATCATGCCGTTTCACAATCTGTGATTCACAACTGAATGTATCAGTTCATGTGTTGACACCCCTCCATGCTATGACAAAAGACTTCAAGAATCTTCTCACGCTGTCTTCCTCGGTCTCTCTTTCCACAAATCTTTCCAGCCGTTACAACGTGTTCCATTTTTCCTCTTCTCATAACAAGACCAAAAAATGATGATGACTTCTCTTTCTGATGTTAATGAGCCTCTACGAGCACCTGCCTTTTTCAAAACATTTAGGCACTATTCTTTTCTTGGAAATCACTGTTACTTCTGTCTTCCCATTATTCAAACTGAGGCCCATTTTATCACTTTCTACCACCAACACATACGCCCATTTTATCTCTTTCTACCACCAACATATACGCCCATTTTATCACTTTCTACCACCAACATATATGCCCATTTTATCACTTTCTACCACCACCATATATAATCCCATTTTATCACTTTATACCATCAACACATACGCCCATTTTATCACTTTATACCATCAACATATACGCCCATTTTATTACTTTATACCATCAACATATACGCCCATTTTATCACTTTATACCATCAACATATACGCCCATTTTATCACTTTATACCATCAACACATATGCCCATTTTATCACTTTATACCATCAACACATACGCCCATTTTATCACTTTATACCATCAACATATACGCCCATTTTATCACTTTATACCATCAACATATACGCCCATTTTATCACTTTCTACCATCAACATATACGCCCATTTTATCACTTTATACCATCAACACATACGCCCATTTTATCACTTTATACCATCAACATATACGCCCATTTTATCACTTTCTACCATCAACATATACGCCCATTTTATCACTTTCTACCATCAACATATACGCCCATTTTATCACTTTATACCATCAGCACATACGCCCATTTTATCACTTTATACCATCAACACATACACCCATTTTATCACTTTATACCGTCAACATATACGCCCATTTTATCACTTTCTACCATCAACATATACGCCCATTTTATCACTTTCTACCATCAACATATACGCCCATTTTATCACTTTATACCATCAACATATACGCCCATTTTATCACTTTCTACCATCAACATATACGCCCATTTTATCACTTTCTACCATCAACATATACGCCCATTTTATGACTTTCTACCATCAACATACACGCCCATTTTATCACTTTATACCACCAACATATATGCCCATTTTATCACTTTCTGCCACCAACATATATGCCCATTTTATCACTTTCTGCCACCAACATATATGCCCATTTTATCACTTTCTACTACCAACATAAACGCCCATTTTATCACTTTCTGCCACCAACATATATGCCCATTTTATCACTTTCTACTACCAACATAAACGCCCATTTTATCACTTTATACCACCAACATAAATGCCCATTTTATCACTTTATACCACCAACATAAATGCCCATTTTATCACTTTCTACCACCAACATATATGCCCATTTTATCACTTTCTACCACCAACATAAATGCCCATTTTATCACTTTATACCACCAACATAAATGCCCATTTTATCACTTTCTACCACCAACATAAACGCCCATTTTATCACTTTCTACCACCAACATAAACGCCCATTTTATCACTTTCTACCATCAACATAAACGCCCATTTTATTACTTTCTACCACCAACATAAACGCCCATTTTATTACTTTCTACCACCAACATAAACGCCCATTTTATCACTTTCTACCACCAACATATATGCCCATTTTATCACTTTCTACCACCAACATATACGCCCATTTTATCACTTTATACCACCAACATATACGCCTATTTTATCACTTTCTACCACCAACATATCTATTAATTCCTCTAGTTCTTTCTGACTTGTCACTATCAAGACAGTGTCATCAGCACAACGTAGGCAATGACCACCAGCCACAGTTTCTAGCATATTCGTGATAGATCTCATTATATATTCACTGTACAATGTGTGGCTATTTTTAGTGAGGTAAATGTTGGTAGCAGTATTCTTCTTCTTTCTCATCTGCCTCTTCTTCCCTTCATCTTTTACCACTTCAGGTGTCAAGGAAGATAAAAGTTTCTGCTTCATGCTCTTCTGGCTGACTCAACCACAGACACATTGTGCTGTTGAAGTTTCTCTGATTTTATCTTTACATCATGTTCTTGGACTGTCTTGTACTATACGTCCTTCTCCTCTCTTGGTATATGTCTTGTGTGATATGCTGTCACAGGGCAATCTCTCTAAGTGGCCAAACCATTTAATGTGCTGTCTGTGTATGAAACTTAGAATTGATTCTGCACCAGCTTTTTCTCTGATTTGATCTCTTCTGGTCATTCCTGCAGCCCATCTCAAACATCTTGTTCCTGGGGTTACTAATTAGCAGCCTGCTGTCATATAATTGTTTTGGTCTCCCAGTTGAGGTGCAGGTGCCGCCACTGTGTATCAAGCCCATCAGTCAGTGCCTTGTCAAGCAGACAGAAGAAGACCTTTGCAGTCAGCTCCGTCTCTACAAAGAGGTAATCACCGACTAATTGTCAATGTGATTTTCTCTTCCAAATTTTTTTTAATTTGCTTGTCAGATGGCTTCTTAAAATTAAAGTCGAGAGGTTTGACTTTATTGCGCCAGGCTCAACATATATATGGCTTGGTCTCTCTCGGTGGAGTGGCTAGCCGCCTGCAGAGAGTGTAGCACAAAACACAAACTCCTTAGCTCCTGCGACATTTACCATGGTGAACTGAACAGCACAGCCGTAAAATGTACCCAATGACCGTGGCTTGACCATTTCATCACCGAGACTCCCAAAATGGTTTCTTGAGCCAGGCAGTGCAAGATCTAGAACTTGACTCAGACATAGATCAGGTAGTGCAAGTACATGGATCAGGCACAGAAAGGATGTGTGCAGGCAGACCAGTCACACCCCAGTGCACCATGACATCTCTTTACCTGCAGAGGTAGGGGAAGTCAAAAAAGAGGGGGACAAAGAGGAACATGAATGATATCCCAAAATAATTGGCAGGACTAAATTATTATACACTTGTTTAACAAGCAGAAGACAAAGAAAGATGGCAGGATTTGTGTGCTTGTACCTCCATTGATACACCTCCCCGACCTTAACGGGTCAAGGGTTAAGCTATTTTATGTTAAGCACATGTTATTCTCACTAGACTTGACTATCATGACCATATCTATCTCAGCTTCGTTGTCTTCTGCTTCTTTTTCCACTTCATGTTAACCAGCTTTAAACTCCGGTGGAAGGTTCTGGTTGTTTGACCACTTCTGGACCTCAGTCTTGTTCCAGATCTTGAGTTTTGCATGCACTTGTGGCACAGTCGTGCCTATACATCCCCCAAGAAATAGATGTGCCTAAGTCGGCCAAGTTGAATGAATATGGTTCGTATCTCTCTTCAATCGTACTCAAGAACAAGGCCAGTGATGTAATCAATTACGTAAGAGCTGGTTTATTCATAATATTCTTGTCACACACATTTCATAAATTCAATAAGCAATAGTATATGAACACTCCTTATTACTGGCTATTCGTATGCCTCTACGAGTTCCTTAACCACTGTTCTGGCTAAATTCCAAGTTTAACATATACCTTCTAAACGAAGTAAAGCACTAGTTTTCTCCTAACCGGTCTTTCCAGCGGTTCAGCCCTAACCTGTCCTATCAAGCGGTTCCGTGGCTAACTCTCTGTTCTAGTTAAACTCCAAGTTTAACATATCCTTCTAAACGAAGTACAGCACTGGTGTTCTCAACTGGTCTCTCAAGCTGTATGGTCCTAACTGTCCTCTCCAGCGGTTCCGGGGCTAACTTTATTCTCCCGCTTTCGCGCTCTTTCTGGCGTACCTTCTTAATCACCCCCCTGTCACCTGTCTTTGGTGGTCACGTTTGGATGAACGTATCTCTTCGGCTGGTCACAGTGCATGTGCTCGCTCACGGGCACTCGTCGAATGTTTCATCCCTCACTGTCAGATGTCATGGCGGTTATCATGAAGATGTTCTGCATAGTTGGCTAGGCCATGGCTTTCTAATCACCCATTTCTGTCATTTCACACAGTGATGGATTAGTACGCCGTGTGGTGGTCTGAAATGTATGCTTTGTTCATTTAACCCCTTTCTGCTTATACTTCATTACACACTTGCATTTCACAGATCTAACTTATATGTATGCAGACTGCTGGTTCCTCGGGCAGATGCACTCAGACTTCAAAGGAAACACCCCTAAATAGTCGACTTTTATGACATGCTTGTTGTGTGGGCAGTTGGCTTGTTCTTTATTTCCCCTTACATGGGGCCCTCGGGAGCCACAGGATGTAGGAGACTGCAAGATGAGGAGAAGCATCATCGCCATTGAGCCAGTTGGCATGACACATGCTGATGATAACATAGTTATGTATTTCTGCTTTATGCATGAGAATGAACCTGTTTCCCAGGTCGAACCAGCCTTAAACGAGTACCAGGTAATGTCCTGGGAAGTAAAGGCGACTGGCTTGATGGCTTACCATATCACATACACCGAGTGCCGTTTGTTCTTTAAAATATAGGTCTAGCCCTATATTCCCTATACGCTTAAAGGAGTGGAAAAGAGTCCTCTACTTTACTTTTGTGTGAGTAGTTCCATATGTTTGAGGTGCTTGATTTCACTACAGACGGGTTGCCACATAACTGCCTCATTCCTGTGTCAGTCCCAGCAAAATCGTGAAGCTTGCACATGCAAAGGGCAGCTGTCAGATGTGCCAGCACTAACATTCCCACACCATATTGCAGATCACTCATGCAAGCAGTCACTTATGAAAACCAGCTATACATGCCATACTGCAAAAACATAATCAACTACTCTGTATTTTAAATGCAATTCACTGCAGTGTCATCAGATGTACAACAGAAAAAAAAAGAAAGTATTCCACTTGAAATCCACAACTCACAGTGACACACTAACTATTCAGCTCAGTAGGTGGGCAATGGAACCTTTAGACTGACAGTCCAGAAAAGGGGAATATGCATCAGTAAGTCGTGGCTAGAAATAAATGGCTTTTCAGAGCGTCAGCCGCATACCATATTCAACCAGAAATTCAAAGGCTCCTTAACTCTTATTTATGTATTGCTGTTGTTTGCTTACAAGATGTCATTCATCTTACGGTGTATATTTTTTAAATTAAGCATGTGCTGTCTTTCTTATGCACAGGATGACCACTTTGTCCTGAGTAATGGTCAAGTGAGGGCAGAGTTGGATTCCTTAGGTCGCCTTGTATCACTGACTTGCTTTGATAAAAGAACAAACAGGTACAGACATATCAGTTACAGCAAACAGCATCTCTTTTTATAACCTTTTATTAAGTTCACTTTGTTTTATTTCTTGTCTGTCTGTATGTTTTATGTGAGCCTCGGTAACACTCACCTGCCAGCCTGAAGATCTTGTGTTTGAATCCTCACTGGGTCGGTTTCAACAGTAAAAGTTGACCTTGGCTTCTAAGTTGACATAGCTTAGAAATAGAAACCAGAATGTTACAATAAGTTACAAATAGTCGAATCACATGAGTCTTGCATCATTTGCCCAATGCTTCACTAGCATCATCTTTTTCTTTTCGTTCATCTTGAGTGAGGTAACTGCATTGTGCCTGTTTACAGCAGAGCTGCGATATTTGCACCTTTTGACCGATACATCCGACTTGATCAATCATTTGTTGACTGGATAGTTTCCGGAGACACGACGTGTCCTTGTTTGTGTGGTGTTCTCTGTTTTTCCCATTTTCTACAGGTATTACCCCTGAAGCCCCTCTCCAGGGCATCTATGCATAGACAGTTAGGCCCTCAAGGGAAGGCAGGGGCAGATCATGGGCATTCCCCGCCATCCAAGAAGAGTACCATGAGTGCAGAGTTGACACATGACACTGTGGTCCTGGGCTCACCGAAGAAATTATCAAGTCCTGCACACAAGACTGCTTAACCTCGCATCCTTATATTGAGCATCCCATTTGTCACAGGTTGCGTCCTTTGGCAACCCACAGGTCCAGGATTTTGATGACCACACATATAGGCTCATCCTTCTTCACATGAGACACTTTAACGTTGTTTCTTCTGGACACTTAGCACGACAATGTGAATAGAGCATGACTCCGACGTGGCTTCCCCTACTTGATCCTGACAATTTGGTGAGTGGGGCTAGTGATAATGGACATCTGAACCTTTCTGCCAACCAGTAGGACTTTTGATGGTCAGACATGAAAGACTTTCCTATGATGCTATGGAACTCGTATCTGACAGACATTTGGGCCTAATCAGCAGAATGACAGTGGCAGATTTTTGTCATGTGTTTCAACTCAGTGCCAACAGTGTTGAGGATCGACAAGGGATGTGCAAAGACAACACTTTACCACGAAAAACCGCCCACAGGAGATGTTGATCTTCTAAGCTGCAGGGCAAATCTCTTGGTCGTCTAGGGCTGAGTCTCAGCAGTTCTTTCACTCATCAGACGTTTTAACCAAAAGTTTTCATTTGGCAGTAAATCTTACTAGCAATATGTCAGATTTGGCAAGTGGACTGTCAATGGTTATATTTTGCGACAAGTGGACTGTGAATGGTTATATTTTGCGACAAGTGGACTGTGAATGGTTATATTTTGCGACAAGTGGACTGTGAATGGTTATATTTTGCGACAAGTGGACTGTGAATGGTTATATTTTGCGACAAGTGGACTGTGAATGGTTATATTTTGCGACAAGTGGACTGTGAAATGGTTATATTTTGCGACAAGTGGACTGTGAATGGTTATATTTTGCGACAAGTGGACTGTGAATGGTTATATTTTGCGACAAGTGGACTGTGAATGGTTATATTTTGCGACAAGTGGACTGTGAATGGTTATATTTTGCGACAAGTGAACTGTGAATGGTTATATTTTGCGACAAGTGGACTGTGAATGGTTGAATTGTGTGGCAGGTGACTAGGGTGACAAATGGTGTCTGTATTGTGTGACAAGAGGCTTATGAATAGCTATTTTGTGTGAGAAGTGACTAGTATTGTGTGAAAAGTGGCTTTTGAATATCTATATTGTGAAGAAGTGACTAGTATTGTATGTCAAGTGGTTTATAAATAGCTATATTGTGTGACAAGTGACTAGTAGTATGTGACAGGTGGCTTGTGAATGGTGTTATATTGTGTGTAATAAATGGTCCACTGTGTGACCTGACTATATTTGTTTCCAGATGGTCCAAGGAAGCCATTGACAGCCAGCATCCAGCAACCAGTTCATCCTGTATGATGATGTACCCCTCTACTGGGACGCCTGGGATGTGATGGACTACCATCTAGAGACCAGGTCAGTTTGTCCACCTGCAAGTATCTTCTGGATATATTACCCAGGCAATGTAGGCATGTTTGGGAATGTTTAGGCCTGACTGGCCCTTTAGTTGGGCGATGTACTGCAGCTGCACAAAACAGAAGTGATCTCTCACCTCTAAGGTGAGGTAACAAGTAAAATGGAAGATATTGAAACCCCACACCTAGAGAGAATGTTGCAGTGGAAAGTGCTTGAGATCTTTTGGTGCTACTGAAGACTCGGAAGAATAGAAGTATGTATAGTTAACCAGATGACAGTAGATACTATCAGTATGGAAAGTCTTTGCTGGCCGTTGAGGAGAGTTAGTTAGTTGTGTATCCTTTTCAGGACATTGCAGAACCAACACAGCATTTTTTGGCTGTTGTTTTTCTAGGCAAATTTTACATTCAATAGTTTGTCAGTGCTTTCTTAACAGTCAGCTCTCGGTACCACAGTCAAAACCAACAGAAGACAAATTGTCCGCAGCTGGGATCGAACCCGGCACCCTGGCATTACAAAGTGAGTTCACAATGCCTAAGCCACAGATGCCGATGTTGAGGAGAGAGATGGTGCTTAAACAGGCCTGTCCTGAACGATTTGATGTTGAATCTTTACCTAGATAAACCCAGAATGTATCCTCTTCTTTCTTCAGCATGTTGTGCGAGTAACATCTACCTGCATCTTCTTGTTCAGCATGTTGTGCGAGCAACATCTACCTGCATCTTCTTGTTCAGCATGTTGTGCGAGCAACATCTACCTGCATCTTCTTGTTCAGCATGTTGTGCGAGTAACATCTACCTGCATCTTCTTGTTCAGCATGTTGTGCGAGTAACATCTACCTGCATCTTCTTGTTCAGCATGTTGTGCGAAGCAACATCTACCTGCATCTCTTGTTCAGCATGTTGTGCGAGCAACATCTACCTGCATCTTCTTGTTCAGCATGTTGGTGCGAGTAACATCTACCCTGCATCTTCTTGTTCAGCATGTTGTGTGAGGAACATCTACCTGCATCTTCTTGTTCAGCATGTTGTGCGAGTAACTCTACCTGCATCTTCTTGTTCAGCATGTTGTGCGAGTAACATCTACCTGCATCTTCTTGTTCAGCATGTTGTGCGAGTAACATCTACCTGCATCTTCTTGTTCAGCATGTTGTGCGAGCAACATCTACCTGCATCTTCTTGTTCAGCATGTTGTGCGAGTAACATCTACCTGCATCTTCTTGTTCAGCATGTTGTGCGAGTAACATCTACCTGCATCTTCTTGTTCAGCATGTTGTGCGAGTAACATCTACCTGCATCTTCTTGTTCAGCATGTTGTGCGAGTAACATCTACCTGCATCTTCTTGTTCAGCATGTTGTGCCAGTAACATCTACCTGCATCTTCTTTCTTCAGCATGGCAAGCCCTTCAGGTTCATTGCTGCAGATATCACCCACCTCTGTTGATTTCTGTGGCTGGCCTTCTCTTTCCAGCTGGTGACTCCATGTGTTTGTATGGGATGACAGTTGATTATATTTAGGGCAGGTGGTAACATATTTGATCTTGTGAAATATAAAAACGTAGTTAATCATATTTGTGTCAGGATGATTAATAACATTTATGAAAAGTAATAACATTTTTATTTGTGATCTTTGCTGAAGATCCCCTCTTGTGTTAATTTCTTTGACTGGTCTTCTCTTTCCAGCTGCGGTATTTGTTTGTCTTTCTGTTTATTATCTCTCCACAGTCTTTTTGGTCTGCCTCATTGTCTACTCACATCAAAACTCTTGTGTACACAGTTTTGCTCTTTGTTATCGGCCATTCTCTCTATCTATATGTCACAACTGCTGTGGTCTATTAGTCCTTCTGATGTCAGTTGTTGATTTAAACATATTGTGCTTTATTTATTTATTTTTAATTTTTTTTTAATATTCCGGTGTGTATCATTTTGTTTCTGTATATTCATAAAATATTATGCCCTAAACAGGCATATTTAATAAGTTAATCGGAATTGGAACTCTTCACTTGCTGCTGAAGATAGGGACAGAGCGCTTATGGGGGTGCCCCGAGTGCTGTGATGTCGATTCTTAATTCAACATTTAATAAGTTAAATGTTTTGTTCGTGACACACTCTTCACATGCATGATTCACAAACCCCAGCAAGATTTTTAAAAAAAAGCTAAAGTTGGGAGATGTGAACCAGAGTCATTGCACACAGTTATAAATTAGTGCTCTGCCACCAGTACGGACAGCTGATAAGAAGCTTTCTGCCTGTGTCGCTGCAGTGACGTTCCTCCATTTACCCCAGAGTGTTAACTCTGGTACCAATTTCCTAGAGGCTGGGTGGACCCCAGGAACTGCCCAGTTTTGAACATGGGCTGTGGGCTGCAGCGAGTCGCAGCTGGATTTGAAAGTGAGTCTCCTATCGACTGCGCTAACGCTGCCCAGCAAGATTTAGACAGTCACAAACATGCAGTGGGTATCAAACATAATGGGATCACATTATGTTGACAGGCAGCCTATTGTTACAGCCATTGAGAGGACACGGGTAATAAGTGATTCAAGCAATGCCAGAGTTAGCCTTGAGGTAAGACCTCATGTTTAGATTAGTCATTCATGTTAGTTTATTATGCGTCTCAATCATTCATGTTTGTTTATTGTGTGTCTCAATCATTCATGTTAGTTTATTGTATGTCTCAATCATTCATGTTAGTTTATTGTGTGTCTCAATCATTTTTGTTAGTTTATTGTATGTCTCAATCATCCATGTTTGTTTATTATGTGTCTCAGTCAGCTATGTTTGTTTATTATGTGTCTCAATCATTCATTTTAATTTATTATGTGTCTCAATCATTCATGTTAGTTTATTATGTGTCTCAGTCATCTATGTTTGTTTATTGTGTGTCTCAATCATTCATTTTAATTTATTATGTGTCTCAATCATTCATGTTAGTTTATTATGTGACTCTATCACCCATGTTAGTTTATTATATCTCAATCATTCCTGTTAGTTTTGTTATTTTATTATGTGTCTCAATCATCCACGTTAGTTTATTATGTGTCTCAATCATTCATGTTAGTTTATTATGTATCTCAATCATCTATGTTTGTTTATTGTGTGTCTCAGTCATTCATTTTAATTTATTATGTGTCTCAATCATTCATGTTAGTTTATTATGTGTCTCAATCTTTCATGTTAGTTTATTATGTGTCTCAATCTTTCATGTTAGTTTATTATGTGTCTCAATCATTCATGTTAGTTTATTATATCTCAATCGTTCCTGTTAGTCCTGTTAGTTTATTATGTGTCTCAATCATCTTCCCTATGTTTCAGTTTATTATGTGTCTCAATCATTCATGTTAGTTTATTATGTTTCTCAATCTTCCATGTTAGTTTATTATGTGCCTCAATCATTCATGTTAGTTTATTATGTGTCTCAATCATTCATGTTAGTTTATTATATCTCAATCGTTCCTGTTAGTCCTGTTAGTTTATTATGTGTCTCAATCTTCCATGTTAGTTTATTATGTGTCTCAATCATTCATGTTAGTTTATTATGTGTCTCAATCTTCCATGTTAGTTTATTATGTGCCTCAATCATTCATGTTAATTTATTATGTGTCTCGATCATTCATGTTAATATATTGTGCATCCTAATCATTCATGTTAGTTTATTATGTGACTCAATCATTCATGTTAGTTTATTATGTGTCTCAATCATTCATGTTAATTTATTATGCATCTCAATCATTCATGTTAGTTTATTATGTGTCTCAATTATCCATGTTAGTTTATTATATGTCTCAATCATTCATTTTAGTTTATTATGTGAATCAATCATCCATGTTAGTTTATTATAAGTCTCAGTCATTCCTGTTAGTCCTGTTTATTATGTGTCTCAGTCATTCATGTTAGTTTATTATGTGTCTCAGTCATTCATGTTAGTTTATTATGTGTCTCAGTCATTCATGGTAATTTATTATATCTCAATCATTCATGTTAGTTTATTATGTGTCTCAATCATTCCTGTTAGTTTATTATGTGATTCAATCATTCTTGTTAGTTTATTATGTGTCTCAATCATTCCTGTTAGTTTATTGTGTCTCAATCATTCTTGTTAGTTTATTATGTGTTTCAATCATTCATGTTAGTCCTGTTAGTTTATTATGTGTCTCTATCATTCATGTTTGTTTATTATGCCTCTCAATCATCCATTTAGTTTATTATGTGTCTCAATCATTCATGTTAGTTTATTATGTGTCTCAGTCATTCATGTTAGTTAGTATGTGTTATATTTGACTGTGACATGTGCTATATTTGACTGTGACATCTGCTATATTTGACTGTGGCAAATGCTATATTTGACTGTGTCATGATATATTAAACTGGCATGTGCTATATTTGACTGTTAAATGTGTTATATTTGGCTGTGACATATGCTTTATTTGGCTGTGACATATGATTTATTTGACTGATAAATGCTATATTTGACTGTGACGTGTGCTGTATTTTACTGTGAAATGTTATATGTGACTGTTACATGTGCTATATTTGACTTTGACATGTGCTATATTTGACTGGCAAATGCTATATTTGACTGTGACATATGCTATATTTGTCTGTGACATATGCTATATTTGACTGTGGCATATGCTATAGTTGAATGTGACATGATAAATTAAACTGGCATGTGCTATATTTGACTGTTACATGTGTTATATTTGGCTGTGACATATGCTTTATTTGACTGATAAATGCTATATTTGACTGTGACGTGTGCTGTATTTTACTGTGAAATGTTATATGTGACTGTTACATGTGCTATATTTGACTTTGACATATGCTATATTTGACTGTGGCAAATGCTATATTTGACTGTGACATATGCTATATTTGTCTGTGACATATGCTATATTTGACTGTGGCATATGCTATAGTTGAATGTGACATGATATATTAAACTGGGATGTGCTATATTTGACTGTTACATGTGTTATATTTGGCTGTGACATATGCTTTATTTGACTGATAAATGCTATATTTGACTGTGACGTGTGCTGTATTTTACTGTGAATGTTATATGTGACTGTTACATGTGCTATATTTGACTTTGACATGTGCTATATTTGGTTGTAACACCTGCTGCCCTTGACTGTGGGTTTACAGTGGACATTTTCTCACATGAATGTGATATTATTGTCTCTCTCATAGTTTAGCTTGAAAATAAGTGAAGAGAGCTACCTGAGACAAGAGATATTCTTGGATGCCTGCAGTCCATATGTGGGATTTAACACTGAGGTGAGGGATGTTATGTTGATTTTAACACTGAGGTGAGGGATGTTACGTTGAATTTAACACTGAGTTGAGGGATGTTATGTTGATTTTAACACTGAGGTGAGAGATATTATGTTGATTTTAACACTGAGATGAGGGATGTTATGTTGATTTTAACATTGGGGTGAGAGATATTATGTTGATTTTAACACTGAGATGAGAGATATTATGTTGATTTTAACACTGAGATGAGGGATGTTATGTTGATTTTAACACTGAGATAAGGGACTTTATGTTGATTTTAACATTGAGGTGAGGAATGTTATGTTAATATTAACATTGGGGTGAGGGATGTTATGTTTATTTTAACACTGGAAAGAGGAATATTATGTTGATTTTAACACTGAAGAGAGGAATGTAATGTTGATTTTAATGCTGAGGAGAGGAATATGTTGATTTTAACACTGAGGTGAGGGATGTTAATGTTGATTTTAACACTGAGGAGAGGAATAGTATGTTGATTTTAACACTGAGGTGAGGAATGTTATGTTGATTTTAACATTGAGGTGAGAGATGTTATGTTGATTTAAACACTGAGATAAAAGATGTTATGTTGATTTTTACCCAGAGGTGAGGAATATGTTGATTTTAACACAGAGGAGAGAAATGCTTTGTCGATTTTAACACAGAGGAGAGGAATGCTATGTTGATTTTAACATTGTGGTAAGAAATATGTTGATTTTAACACTGAGGTGAGGAATATGTTGATTTTAACACTGAGGTGAGGGATGTGATAAAACTGATACTTTAGCCATGACAAGTCTGCTGACATCATGTGCTATGTTAGCTCAGTGACAGTTGTTTCTTATTCTCAGGTGACCTGGCGAGAGAATCGCAAGTTCCTCAAGGTGGAGTTCCCGACAACCGTCCACACAACCCAGGCCTCCTATGACATCCAGAGTGGTTTCCTACAACGACCTAATCATTACAACACTTCCTGGGACAGTGCCCGATTCGAGGTGTGTATCATTATATCTGCTCACATTATCCTCTATGACTGTCCCAAATGCGGCCAAGAGAAACACCAGTGGAAGCCAAACTTTATGGGTTGCTAAGTAAAAAACTATAATGAAAGGCAATATTGAGGGCAAGAGAGCAAGGGGTAAACAATAATACAAGCGGGAGGGCAACATCGAGAGATGGACGAACAGCAGTCTGAGGGAGTGTACAACCAAGATGAGATAGAGGGTGTTGGAGATCCATTGCAGCCAACAATCAATGTGGAAATGGTACCTGATTGAATGATTGATTGATTGATAGTGAATTACTACAGACGGTGAAGTTGATGCTAGAGACAGTGTTGCAGATATAGACAAACTACTTCAAGCAAACAAAAGAAGAAGAAAAATTATTTCTGCTTTGAAGAAGACTACCCATGTCAACATGGCAGGAAGGTTGTTTATCACCAGTGACCTATGGGTTGGAGGCGCCGTTTGGGAGGGAAAAAAGGGGAAGGTGGGGGGGGGGGGAGAGAAAGATCCACTGCTCCTTAGCAAACATGTGATAAAAGATGATTAATTAAGGATTTGCTGAAATCAGATATGTTTGACTGGTAGGTGCAGATATCACAGCCTAGCTGTAAACCACACCTGCCCTATTAATGGTGACTACAGAAGAAGAAGAAGAAGAAGCGTGGCATGGAAATTGTTTACAGCCCGCTTCATCTTCTTCTTTGTTCTTCACCTTCACCAGCTGTAAACTCTGGCGAAAACTTCTGGTTGTTCGTCCATTTCTGGCACATTTTGCGGATAGAACTTATTTTTGAATGTAGTTGCACTTTAACTTCTCAAGAAAAACCATGAATTTTTTGTTTCCTCCGACATGATTGTTAAAGGAGCAGTGTGCTTATTCTCTCTCTCCCCCCCCCCCCCAAAGGCCTGGAACCCAGATGAGGATACAGCCTCCTGATGAGTTTTGAGTTGGGTTATCTTTCACAGCACTCTAGACATCTGGTAATCTGGTAATCCTAGTTTCAGATTACCAGATGTCTAGAGTGCTGTGAAAGATAACCCAACTCAAAACTCTAGACATGTCTATGGCTGCTCAGATTCTCCTGATCCTCTCCTGATCCTAGTCTGATCCTCGGCCAACCGTTCAGGAACCTGAGACACTGACCAACATCTGTCAGCTGTTCAATGATCCGCTGGCCACTTGCTACCCCTCCGCGGGCCAAAGTTAGTCCATAGGCCGCCAGTTAAATTGCCGTGATGTCGGAATTGGGTTTTTTTTTCTTGTTCTTGGTTCGCGGGATCGTCAGACTTCACCCAGTAATCTTCCCAAAGACAGCGGTGAGTGCCCCTGTGTCCAGCCTTCATTGTGGAGACGGCACATCATTTCAATAAATGTCATGTGCTCTTCTATCTGCCAGGTGTGTGGGCACAAGTGGGCTGACCTGTCCGAACACAACTTTGGTGTGGCTGTCATTAACAACTGCAAGTATGGATACTCCGCAGTGGATAGAGTGCTGCGACTGTCTTTGTAAGTCTTTCTCTGTCTTTCTGGATCCGCTGTTTCTTGTAGATGTTTTGTTGCTGTCTTAATAGTATATCTGTCTACTTAAGTGTCTTAATGGAAAAACTGTCTTGTTGTTATAACTGCTTAGTGACATGACTTTTGTCACTGTAACTGTACTAATGGTGTATGTCTTGTTGTCTTAATGGAATTAACTGTCTTGTTGGTATAAATGTCTTAATGGAATAATATCTTACTGGTAAAACTGTACTAATGGTATAATTGTCTTAATGGAATTAACTGTCTTGTCTTAATGGAATTAACTGTCTTGTCTTAATGGAATTAACTGTCTTGTCTTAATGGAATTAACTGTCTTGTCTTAATGGAATTAATGTCTTTCTTAATGGAAATTAACTGTCTTGTCTTAATGGAATTAACTGTCTTGTCTTAATGGAATTAACTGTCTTGTCTTAATGGAATTAACTGTCTTGTCTTAATGGAATTAACTGTCTTGTCTTAATGGAATTAACTGTCTTGTCTTAATGGAATTAACTGTCTTGTCTTAATGGAATTAACTGTCTTGTCTTAATGGAATTAACTGTCTTGTTGGTATAACTGCACTAATGGTATGACTTTTGTCAGTATAACTGTACTAATGGTATAAATGCCTTAATGGCATAACTGTCTTGTTGGTATAACTGCACTAATGGTATAACTGTCTTGTTGTCTTAATGGAATTAACTTTCTTGTTGTCTTAATGGAATTAACTGTCTTGTTGTCTTAATGGAATTACTGTCTCGCTGGTATAATTCCTTTAATGATATAACTAACATTGTTTAATTAAATAACTTTATTGTTGGTATAACTGTCTCATTGTCTTAATAATATATCTTTCCTGTTGATACTTGTTATATTTCAGACTTCGCTCACCAAAATCACCAGATCCACAAGCAGACATGGGTGTACACACCTTCTCGTATGCAATCATGCCACACTCAGGTGAGTTGTAGTATTTGCAGGTAAGTTGTTATTTAATTCACAGGTGAGCTGTTATATAATTGTAGGTGGTGTTAAATCTTCCTTTTTTCCCCTTCTTTTTCAAGTTCACTAGCTGTAAACAACTGAAAGCCATGGCAAACTACTGAACATAAAATTGCCTAGAAAAACCACAACAGCCAAAAAATGCTAGGGTTGGTTCTGCAACGTCCTGTAAAAGATATGCAAGGCTGTAAATTCCAGCAGAAATATCTTGTTGTTTGTCCCCTTATGGACTTTAGTTTGTAACTTGGGCTTTGTGTGCCTGTCTGTTTTACAGATATGGCTTACTTGTTTGCACACTGTGGTTTCTCCCCTCTCAGGCAGATGCACTCTGACTTCAAAGGAAATACCCCTACCATGTGCTTGTTATAGAGAGCAGACAGTCTATTCTCTCCCCCCCCCCCCCCCCCCCCCCCCCCCCTCCAACCCTATTAAGTTGGGCCCCAGAACTCACTTGGTGTATGTGTTAAATAATTGAGAGTTGAGGTGTTGTAGGATTTGCAGAAAGGCTGTTAAGTAATTTACAAGTGAGGTGTACTATATTGAAAATGATTCATTCCAGAAATGTGATGATCTGAAAGAAACATCTGGACATCCACTAGTATCAACAGTTAGAAGGCAACAACAAATCCCTCTGTGGGTTTCAGGTTTCTCATTGTCGGGAAACAAAGAAAAGACCCACTGCGTCCCCAACAAGCATGTCGTAGGTGTCGACTAATTGGGAGCTCCTTTGAAGTTTAAATGCATCTGCCTCAGAGGCAAGGAACAAGGAAGTGCACACACAAAAAAATCCAGTATAATGAATGTACGCCTAAAACTCTAGCCCTGTCACAAAACCACAGTCCATATGGACAAATTACCAGGAATTTCTGCTGGAGCTCACATCTAGAGAACAAAGAAGAAGTAGAAGAAGATAGTGCCAAAAACAAAAAGATAGTGTATTAGACATGCAGCGTATGTAAAATTGACAGGCATAATTTTAAAATGAAAATATTGTTATCAGTGAATCCGTTCCAACTTCACAGCAAATGGGTCAGCCTGTAGCTGCTCTGTTCATTCTTCTTCTTTGTCAGCATTCTGAGTCCTTGAGGTTCACTACTGCAGATATCACCCGCCTCCACTCATCTCTCTGGTTGGCCTTCTCTTTCCAATTGGTGGCACCAAATGTTTGCAGGTCTGTGTGGGTGTTATCTCTCCATCATCTTCATGGTCTGCCTCATGGTCTATGACCATTCAGCTCCCTTGTGTATACAGTTTTTGCCTTTCTATCATCTGACATTCTCTCAATATGCCCCAACCATTTCAGTCTACTAGCCATCATGATGCCAGTGATCAGTGTTGAGTTGAACAGATTATGAATTTCATTGTTGCTTCTCACTCTCCATTCCCTGCTGTTTGCATCTCTGGGTCCAAAAATCCCTTTCTGTGCCAGCAGAAACCACTTAAGACCCCATAGTTACAGCATCAGAGATTACAGGAGTCTGGTGTTAACACAATACAGTACATGTTCAGGAGAAAACTAGACCACTTTTAAGTATGCCTGATCTGTAGTGAAGTTCTTGTAAAGAACAATGAACACAAAAATGCAATTTCTCAGCTATACTTCTTCTTCTTCTTAAGGTTCACTCGCTGTAAACTGTGGCAGAAGGTTCTGGTAGTTCATCCACTCCTGGACTTTGGCCTTGATCCGGACGTTGAGTTTTGGGTGCACATCCATTTTACAGATCTAGATTGTATTCAGACGGTTGGTTCCTTGCCTCTCAGGCAGATGCACTGCGGCTATGAAGAAACACCCACTAATTAGCCGCCTCCTACGACATGCTTTGTTAGGGGGAGCAGTGGCTCTTGACAAGAACAAAACGGAGTTCCAGAACCCACAAGGAGACTTCAGCCTATAGATATTATCAGAGATAAAAGTTAAAAGTGAAGAAGCTAGGAGAAAACTAAGACTGAGAATATTCACTCGATTCATTAAAGTGCAGTAGATGAGGTGGTTTGGCCATCTCACAAGAATGCCCTGGTGCCAGTAGCCCCAGAGAGGTAAGAAAAAATATAATAAACACTGAGCAAAGGGATGACCCACAATAGATGTAAGGATGGTATCAAGAACAGACTGAAAGAAAAGATCAACTTATCCAATCATTAGAAAGGACACACAGATGACCTTCCCATTTCCCCCCAGCACTTCTATGTAGTAAATAGAGAAAGTCTCTTCTTCTTCCCCACATTAACCGGCTGTAAACTCTGGCAGAAAGTTATGGTTGTTCGTACACTTCCTGACTTCAGTCCTGCTCCAGAACTTGAATCTTGCATGCACATTCGTTTTACAGATATGCTTATTTGTAAGCAGACTGTTGGTTCCTCTTATCTCAGGCAGATGTGCTTCAACTTCAGAGAAACAACCCCAGCTATCCTCCGAATAACGGGCACAAAAGATGGCGGCCAAAAAGAGGGCCTCAGGCACGTGTCAATTGCGCACTTCCGGCGACCTAATTTGCGGTTTTCCGGCGACTACCGCCACCGCCGAGAGTAGCCCTGGGACTCACGCGCAGCAGCTTCCGCATCTCCTGCAGCTTTACTTGTGAGTCCTAGCCATCTAGTTTAGCCCCAATCCATGCCACGTGAGCGGCATGGGGGATACTCTCGGCGGTGGCGGTAGTCGCCGGAAAACCGCAAATTAGGTCGGCGGAAGTTCGCAATTGTCACGTGACTGAGGCTCTGTTAGGGTGTTATTGCGGCTGCCATCTTTTGTGCCCATTATTCGGAGGATAGCCAAAATCCCTAATAGTCACCTTTTACGGCATGCCTGATGGGAACACAGTAGGTCTATTCTTTCCCACCTTCCAACCTCCAAATATAGGCCCCTGGAACCCATACAAGGCAATGGAGGAAGAGAAGAAGAAGACAAGAGACAGACATTGTAGAATTGTGTTTTATTTTGTCCAGGAAATTTGCAAGAAGCCGGAGTTATCCATGCAGCACAGAGCTTCAACTGTCCCCTGCGTGTGGTCACTAGCGGTGCAGATGACCTCATCAGTCCAGCCCTGTTTGTGCTGGACACTAGGCAGGTCCTGGTGCAGGCTGTAAAAATGGTAAGTGGCATGGATGGTTGCTCACACTCCACTGACGTTTAACCACTTCTCAGTAGGACACTGGTTACACTTGAGTGGTATTATGTGTGTACATACATTTTACAGATCAGGCTTATTTGTATGACTCATTGACTAGAGTGAGAGACTCACTGACTAAAGCTAGAGACTCATTGACTAAAGTGAGAGACTCACTGACTAAAGTGAGAGACTCATTGACTAAAGCTAGAGACTCATTGACTATAGTGAGAGACTCATTGACTAAAGCTAGAGACTCATTGACTATAGTGAGAGACTCATTGACTAAAGCTAGAGACTCATTGACTATAGTGAGAGACTCATTGACTAAAGCTAGAGACTCATTGACTATAGGGAGAGACTCATTGACTAAAGCTAGAGACTCATTGACTAAAGTGAGAGACTCATTGACTAGAGCTAGAGACTCATTGACTAAAGTGAGAGACTCATTGACTAAAATAAGAGACTGACTGACTAAAGTAAGAGACTCACTGACTTCATGGAGGGACTCACTGACTAAAAGGAGAGACTCAACTAGTGAGAGACTAACTGGCACAGGCACCTATGTAGCACATACCAAGGCTCTCACCTGATGCCTCTTACAAACACTGAAAGGCAATATGGGACCAGAGAAAGACAAAGAAGGTTTGGCTGTTTAATGGGAATCTTCTTTGCGTTCACCAGCTGTAAACTTCAGCGGAAAGTTCTGGTTGTTCATCCACTTCTGGACTCTAGTCCTATTCCAGAATTTGAGTATTGTGTGCATATCCGTTTCACAGATCTGATTCATTTGTATGCAGATTGTTGGTTCCTTTCCTCTCAGGCAGATTTACTCCGACTTTAAAGGAAGCTCCAATTAGTTGACTCTTATGACATGATTGTTGGGGAGGCAGTGGGTCTGTTTTTTTCTTCCCCACAATGGGGCCCTGAAACCCACTAGGGAAATCCAACAGTATAGCACAGTAATATTCATCATCAATCAATAAGGTGCCGGTAATTTAAAATGTTTAATGGGAATGAGTCCAGTGATGCCAGCCACTTTATACCAAATACACGTAAGGGCGTGGGGGAAAAGGGTCTTTGGCTTACTTCTGCTCCATTACAAAACCAGGTGTGTTATCATTCGTCACAAATATTCACTTGTCACAAAAATAATAATTTATGTTATCTTACTTAACTTACTTAGTCGCTCCTCTTCTATCTTGGGGTGTAGAGGTTTGCCAGAGATCGCCATACTTCTCTATCAGCAGTTTTTTTTTTCTGCCTTTGTTCTATTGAAGTCCTTTATCAGTCAGGGACTGTTGAAGGTTGTCTTCCCAGCAAACCCTGGGTCACTCTGATGGTCTGGTTCCCTGGTTCTTAGCCTCTCATGCCTGTCATGGTGGCCTATTGTTCCCATTCTGCATACATGTCCAAACCATCGTAACTTACTGATCCACTCAAGTTTGTAAGGCTGATTGTGAACTTTGTTTCGTCTTATCACTAGAACCACCTTTCTCAGATATCTCATTTCTGAGGCCTGAAGCTGGCTTCTGAGAGCTATTGTCATTGTCCATGACTCACACCTGTAGATCAGGACTGGCATAGGTAGAGTGGTAAACAGCTATTTTCATCCTCTTGCTAATTTCTCTTTTGCAAAGAAACCCTCGGTTTATGGCCTAGAAAAGTCTCCCAGCAGCTGCTTTTCGAGCAGGTCTTAATGCTCCCATTTCAGTCTGTTACAATTCCAAGGTATTTGAACTATTTATGTTTTCATTTGTCACAAATATTTACCAGGCTGAAGACCGCAGTCGGACCATTATCCTCCGAGTACACGAAGCTTACGGTGGCAGCACCAAGGTCAAGGTCACCACACCGCTGCCCCTACTGGCGGTCCATCCTTGTAATGGCCTGGAGGAGGCTCTGCACGACTGGGACCAAGACGTTGGCATCCACTTTGTCCATGGGGACCAGCAGTGTCAGTTTGAGTTCACACTGACAGCCTTTCAGATCATTTCCTTGAGATGTGTCATGTAGTTGTCAGTCAGATGTTTCATGCAGATCATTTCCTTGAGATGTGTCATGTAGATGTCAGTCAGATGTTTCATGCAGATCATTTCCTTGAGATGTGTCATGTAGATGTCAGTCAGATGTTTCATGCATCATGAATAGAGATCTGTATTTGTGATTTATTGATTACACTAAAGCTTTTGATTATTAGAATTTTGGAACCTTAAACATTTAAAGTAAAGATCTGAGAATAATAAAAGACATATACTGGCAACAAGAAGCAGCCATAAGGATTGACAAGCAAGTTGGAACTTTTCAAAACAACAACAGACAGAAATGTGTACTATCACCCGATTTATTGAGCTTGTTCAGTGACATAATAATCAGATCCATACATGGTATACCAGGAATAGCGGTTGATGGGCATACTGTTACCAACCTGCGATATGCTGGCTATATAGTTTTGATGGCTGAAAATGAAACACAACTGCAAGAAATGACGGGGTATAATTGTAACAGAAAGTTATGTGATGTTGATTACAAAGAAAACTGACCTTCCAAAATACATCATCAAAGTATGTGGGACAAACCTCAAGCAAGTTGATATGTTTTATGTTTAAGTGCTTGACTACCCTGATAGCATCAGATGGAAGATGTATTAAAGAAGTTAACTGTCCAATAGTTCAAGCAAAGGCAGCTTGTTACAAAATGAAGAATATTTTATGTAATCTTTCTTCGTCAATTGAGACAAGAAAGTGAATTCTTTAAAGCTATTTAAATCATATCTTGATATATGGAAGTGAATCATGGACAGTTGGTAAATTAGTGAAAACTTATTTGGAAGCTGCTGAGATGTGGTTCTCTAGACGATTGATAAGAATACCCTGGACAAATTTAAAAAAAAAGAGTAATGAGGAAGTCTTGAAAGAAACGGACTCATGAAGAAAATTGATTGCCCACATCAGAAAGAGACAATTTACATTCTTTGATCATGTGATGAGAAAGAGAAAATTGGAGTACATCGTGACAGTAGGAAAGTTGGAGGGGAGGGGAGGCAGAGGGAGACCGAAAGAAAAGATGCTGGACAGTTTGACGTTATGGCATGGAGGATCATCTGTGTCAGAGCTGATTGAAAGTACACGAGACTGAAGGTTGTGGATAGACATGACTACCAACGCCACACAGCATGGTCTTTAAAAAGAAGAATGTAGATGAGAGATGTGTAATATAGATATGAAAATATCGTTTTAAAAATGAGATATTTTTTGTTCTTTGTGAATGTAAAATCATGTAACAGTAATAGGATACTAGAGAACGTTTAAAGTCGCAATTCTACTTGAAGTCGCAACCCCATTTGAAGTTGCAGAGAATTTTATGTGGGGTTGTTGGGCAGTGATGTAAAAGGACCCTTCTCCATACCTTCAAGCGTATTGGGCATATAAGGCAAAACCTATATTTTATAAATCAATCTACAAATGGTGGGTGATGTGTCCAGCATCACAAAAGCCGCTTTTACTTCCCAGCACTTTACCTGGTAAACACTCAAGGCTGGATAAGATTTTTTTTTTAAAAAGTCCGGCTCTGTTCGTATTTGAACTCATAACCTACTGACCTGCAGGTGAGCGTCTAGCCGCTACACAGTGGTGGCTACCTGGGTCTTGATGAGATCAATTTTAAAAGGGAAATTTTTGTTTTATTAAAAATCAGCACGTCTTGTACACAAATTTGTGGAATGTGAGCACTGCTCAGCTTGTCATTGGTCAATTCTTAGTGATACATGTACATTGAGTACCAGCCTTGTTTCTTGATGGCGCCAGGTTCAATATCAGTGAATTCTGCTAAATATAATAAATCATATCCACAAATCAGTTGCAAAACTGTAAAATTGTAAATGAGTTGCAGTTTCAATTGTCACTTTAAAAAAGCTGTAGGTTAAAATTATTTTGAATTATATTATTCCAAAAAAATCTATTTCAGCTGATTTTATTTACTTAATTAAAAAAAAAATATTTTATCATGGGACCATGCACTTTTCCTTTATATAATGGGGTTGCGACTAGCAGAAAGTTGAGAACCTCTGTTTTTGGACTTGCAGCCTAGTCTTCTAATCTGTTTTTTATCCTATGCAATGTGTTCAATATCATGGATGGAATCCAGCCCAGCACCTAATTGGCAAATCGACCATGTGTACCTGCGGACAGGCACCTGAGACAACAGATCACATCCTCCAAGGCTATCCCAAATTCCACATTTCTAGGCAAAACCTCTGGCCAAGAGAGACACTGTAGCAGCCAAACTTTACGAGTCGCTTAGTGAATTACAATAGACAGCGAAGATCATACTATACAGCATTGCAGATGTAGATTATTTATTTCAAGCGAACGAAAGAAAAAGTCCAGCACCTTTGGCCTCTTTCACCACCCTTTGTCTTAGAGCTTATCTTCAACATCCTTGTTTCCTCAGCCCATCTCTTTCCCATTTTAGTGCCTGTTTTCACGATTGCCCACTTTTCCTCAGAATTTGCCCAAGATATTACCATCTTCTTTGTCTTATAACAGTTTATACTAGTAGTTGCCCAAATATTTATTTAATTTCTTCACCGTTCTTGAATTCATCCCTTTTATGTTCAAGTGTCCAAAGGTATAGATTTTCCAATGGTTCTCCAGCTATCACTAGCTTAGTTAGTTGCTTATCCTTTACTGATCGTTTCAGAATCAATCCAAGCATTTGTTAGCTGTTGTGATTTTTCGTTTAGTAGTTTGCCATTGCTTCCTGAAGGTCAACTCTCGGTACCACTATCGAAAACAGCGCAAGACAAATTTTTCGCAGCGGTGATCCAACCCGACATTATGAAGCATGGTTGCAACGCCTAAGACACAGACGCTGACCGTCACTAGCATTAACTGTAAAAATTGAGATGACGATCAAAATCGCTAAGTAGGTATACTTAACTTACGTTTTTTGGGGGGTAAACATTAGGGTTTAAGATATTCAAAACAATGTTTTCCCGTATTACTCTGTAGTAACGCACCTGATGAGATACAGCGAAATATGCCTGGCAATAAATTGTGCAATGTATTGTTTGTATCAGCATTATTTAAAACATTAGGGCTACATTCTCTTATCTGCAGCTGTGTATACATAACAACTTATGTCAACAACAGCAAAACCATTGTACCTGATCATTTTTTTTAAACTCCAGTTTAAAAAAAACAGATTTCTCCAGACAGAAACAAGAAAACCACTGATTGTATGTCAGCATTTATTCATAACAAAATATGTGGACAAGTTGACAACAACAAAGGCAGTGCTTGTCTTGAAGTAATAATGTACAAAGACAATGTCAGCCTGCAATGTGTGTGATTGTTAGAATCCAGCTAAGTACAGAACATGCATACTACTCCCTGACACAGGAAGTAGGCATCACCAACTTGGGACAAAACAACAAATACATTTGCAGGGGGATAAAATAGACATGAACCATTAGAGAACTGTATTAAAAATGTCACAAAGCTACCTCACACAAATAAAACAAGAGTCATGTACAGAATAAAACATCTCAGACAAGTGTAACTTCTTCTTCACTTCCTCCAGGGTTTGAAGGGGAGGGAGGGGGGGGGGGGATGTCAGGATCTTCTGTGTGCTCTTTCTAATGTCTTTTCTTTTCATTTTTTTCAAGGCTGTTCTTGATGCCATCATGCCATCTTCTGGATAATCTTCTTCTTGCTCTGTCTCCCATTCTATTTCTTTAGCCTGGCTCTCTGTGACGGCTTGTACCAGAGCATTCTCATCAGATGACCAAACCCATCTATTGCTCTTTAATGAAATGTATTACAGGTTTTCAGTTTTTGTCTTCTAATTTCATCATTTTTTTTTTTTTAAATGTAATTTTTTTTTTCTACTCTGGCAATTCTAAAACATCTCATCTCTGCTGTAATTGTGCATTCGTTAATTTTAGTAAGGGCCCTTTGGCACCAAAAAACATGTCTGCTGAAACAGCAATGCAGCACAAACAACTACGGAAGCAATTTAAGACATGATGAAAATTTAAAAAATGGGTTCTTCACCACTTTCATCACCCCCCCCCCCCCCCCCCCCCCCCGACCTTTCTTTATCATATGCTTTTTTTTATATTTAAATTAGTAAATATAACTATTACATAGCCCAAATAAATGCTGCACAGGTGCAAACAGTACCGAAGCCACTATTTAGCTGTTGGGGGGAATGCAATCAGCCTTACAGAGAACTGTTACGGAGGCAAGGCCAAATTTACAGGGCAAACACAATTAACACATGAGTAGATTCTTGACTCTACAGTTACTACACAAATGACGCAGGTTTCCTATCACTTCCTGCACAAAACATGGATCAAAGACAGAAGCTAGATGACAATGAATCAAATATGTCAGCAACACTGTTAGGATGAGCTACTAGCGGGAAACTCTAGTGTGCTCCAGGAAAATGACTCAGCTTTCTTGAGATTGATCTCCACCTTGGTAGCCAGCAGCTTGACCTCACTCAGGGCAGGATCAATGGCCTGGTTCCAGAGTAGAAGCAAACAGAAGCAGTTACTTACATGTCGTTACAATTTCTCAACTCGACACAGGGAAGTAATAAGGGGGTGGGGGGGACAACAAACTCTGACCTCAACATAGGGGAGTGGGGGCAACAACAAACTCTGACCTCAACATAGGGGAGTGGGGGGCAACAACAAACTCTGACCTCAACATAGGGGAGTGGGGGGCAACAATGAACTCTCACCTCAACACAGAGGAGTAGGGGGCAACAACCAATACAATAAATGTACCTCTCAACGTGGAAGACTGGGTCACAACAACAAACTCTCACACCAACACAGTGGAGTAGGACACACCCCAATAAATTCACACCTCAACACATGAGAGATGGGCATGTCATAACAACAAACTCTCAATTCCTTAAGATAAACATTTCAATAGAACAAACACCTCCCTCAAGCTAAATATTTCACAAGAACAAATACTTTCCTCATGATAAACACTAGAACAAACAAACAATACACTATAAACTTTTACAACAACAAACAATCCCATCAATGTAAACATTTCACATGAACAAACACCTCTCCCTCATGATGATCATTTCACTAGAACAAACATTTCCCTTGTAGAACAAACACATCCTTCAAGATAAACATTGCATTAGAACAAACACGTCCTTCAAGATAAACATTTCACTAGAACAAACATGTCCTTCAAGATTAACATTGCACTAGAATAAACATGTCTTTCCAGAGACAAACATTTCACTAAAAGAAACACCCCTTCCCGAGACAAACATTTCACTAGAATTAACATCCCTTCCTGAGACAAACATTTCACTAGAATAAATACCCCTTCCCAAGACAAACATTTCACTAGAATAAACACAACTTCCCAAGACAAACATTTCACTAGAATAAACACAACTTCCCAAGACAAACATTTCACTAGAATAAACACTCCTTCCCAAGACAATCATTTCCCTAGAATAAACACCCCTTCCCGAAACAAACATTTCACTAGAATAAACACTCCTTCCCAAAACAAACATTTCACTAGAATAAAGACCCCTTCCCAAGACAAACATTTCACTAGAATAAACACTCCTTCCCAAAACAAACATTTCACTAGAATAAAGACCCCTTCCCAAGACAAACATTTCACTAGAATAAAGACCCCTTCCCGAGACAAACATTTCACTAGAATAAACACCCCTTCCCAAGACACACATTTCACTAGAATAAACACCCCTTCCCGAGACAAACATTTCACTAGAATAAACACCCCTTCCCAAGACACACATTTCACTAGAATAAACACCCCTTCCCAAGACAAACATTTCACTAGAATAAACACCCCTTCCCGAGACAAACATTTCACTAGAATAAACACCCCTTCCCGAGACAAACATTTCACTAGAATAAACACCCCTTCCCAAGACACACATTTCACTAGAATAAACACCCCTTCCCGAGACAAACATTTCACTAGAATAAACACCCCTTCCCAAGACACACATTTCACTAGAATAAACACCCCTTCCCAAGACAAACATTTCACTAGAATAAACACCCCTTCCCGAGACAAACATTTCACTAGAATAAACACCCCTTCCCAAGACAAACATTTCACTAGAATAAACACCCCTTCCCAAGACACACATTTCACTAGAATAAACACCCCTTCCCAAGACACACATTTCACTAGAATAAACACCCCTTCCCAAGACAAACATTTCACTAGAAGTTATTAAAATCCAACAAATACTCACCTCCCTTAATATAAATGTTTTCTGGTACACGCTGTTGCCATTCTCATACGTCAAACTGACCTCACATTTAACCTGGTTGGCTCTGACGTGAGATTTACCAGGCAGGGGGTGTTTAGCAAAGATGGAGATACACACAGTCGTAGGTGTCTGGTGCCAGTCCATGCGGACCTGCTTCTCCTCAGCAGTCTGTAAAAAAAAAAAGATAGAAGAAACCTTTCAGTAAGAAACATGAAAGTAGGTTTCTTCCTGTTGACAAAGGGCATGGGCTATCGAATGGCTGCATTCTGTATATGACTTACCTGAAAACACTAAAACTACTGCCAACAATCATATCTCTTAATAATAATTGTGAAACAAGATTCTATTGCTTTTGCTGTGACTACAAGTAGTCTCTGACTATGGGGTCATGGTGGTGACCGAGGCAATAACACGGCTGGAGACTTCTTTAGCTTTCCGAGCCCTTGAGGTTCAATGCTACAGACTTGACCCGGCCTCTACACATCTCTCTGGCTGGCCTTCTCTTTCCAGTTAGTTATCTATCTATCATCTTCTTGGTCTGCCTCGTGGTCTACGGCCATTCATCTCCCTTTTGTATAGTTTTTTACCTCTCTGCCATTTGACATTCTTTCAATATACCCAAGCCATTTCAGTCTATTAGAACTCATGATGCCAGTGATCAATGTAATTTAAACAGATTATGAATTTCGTTGTTGCTTCTCACTCTCCATTCCCCGCTGTTTGCATCTTTGATGGATCTAAAGATTTATCTGAATACTCTTTTTACGAAAATGTTTAATGAGGCTTCATTTTTTTCAGTTGTGCTCCAAGTTTCAAAGCCATATAAACTTATTGGTCTTATCAATGTTTTATATATTTTGATTTTGGTGTTGCGAGACTTTGACTCTTCTACTTCTTCTGCCTTTCTATCCCCCAATGGAGCATAGGCCCTCAACCAACTCACGCCAAGTCGTTCTATCCTTCGCCATCGCATGGAGCTCTCCCCATGTCCTCCCGATCTTTCTAACCTCATTCTCCAGCTCTCTTCTCCATGTGTTTTTTGCCCTTCCTTTATTCCTATGCCCTTGTGGGTTCCAATGCAAAGACATTCTAGTTATGCTGTTCTTCTGTTTTCTCAGTATGTGCCTTATCCAACGCCAGCGTCTTTTCCTCACCTCCTGATCCACTGGAGCCTGTTTAGTTCTCTCCCAAAGTTCCACATTAGTTATTCAATCATACCATTTTATTCCCTCTATTCTGCGCAGGCACCAGTTAATGAATGTCTGTAATTTATTAGTTATTGCCTTGGTTGTTCTCCATGTTTCCGCCCCATACAATAGTACTGATTTGACATTAGAATTAAAAATTTTTAGTTTAGTATTTCCTTTAATTTCTTTTGACCACAAATTCCCTAGTGCTATGAAAGCCCCTCTTGCCTTTTGTATTCTTATTTTAATATCTCTATCAGTTCCTCCATCTTTATCTACATTACTGCCTAAATAGGTGTACGACTCCACGTCTTGGAGTGGGGTGCCATTAAGAGAAACCACATTACTATTTGCCTGATTTATTCTCATTATCTTTGTCTTTCCTTTATGGATTTTCAGACCAAGCTGCTGTGATCTCGCATTAAGTATATTTAATTTATCTTGTATCTGATTCCGTGAATGGGACAGAAGAGCAATATCATCAGAAAAGTCCAAATCATCAAGTTGTTTTGTATGGGTCCACCGAATTCCATTCTTGGTGTTAGCAGTTACTGTTTTCATAATCCAGTCTATAGCCAGTAAAAATAAGAGAGGCGACAAAAGACATCCCTGTCGCACACCTGTTTTTATTTCAAATGTATCTGTTAGCTTTCCCTCATGAAGAATTCGACATTTCATGTCTTTATATGTTGCCATTACTAAGTTGATAATTTTCTGTGGGATTCCATAGTGCCCCATCAATTTCCAGAGAGATTCCTTATCAATGCTGTCAAATGCTTTTTCATAGTCTATAAATCCAATGTAAAGTGGTGAGTTCAGTTCAATGCTTTGCTCTATTATAATACGTAATGTGGCTATCTGATCAGTACAGGATCTGTTTGACCGAAAACCTGCCTGCTCATCTCTTAGCATTTTATAAATAGCATCTTTTAATCTTTCCAAAATAATTCTACTTAATATTTTTCCAGGAACTGACAGCAACATAATTCCTCTATAGTTTTCACACTCCTGTAGATCACCTTTTTTGGTCAGTTTCACAAGATATCCTCCTCTCCAGTCTGCTGGTATTTCTTCGGTCTCCCAGACTTTACTGAATAATCTATGTAGCAATTCTGTTGATGTGTTTATGTTGGTCCTGATGGTTTCAGCTGGGATACCATCTGGGTCTGACGCCTTTCCTTCCTTGAGAAGATTTATAGCTTTTCTAATTTCCTCTTTGGATGGTATCTCACAGTTGATATCCAGTTCCATTTCTAAAGGCTGGATATCTGGGGGAACCTCTGGGCCTGGTCTATTTAGAAGCATTTCAAAATATTCAACCCATCTGTCCATTTGATCTTTAGTGTTAGTAAGTACCTTTCCTTGACTATTTTTGATTGATCCAGTGGGCTGACTATGTTTACCTACTAATTTTCTTGTGTTACTGTAAAGTTCTCTCAGGTTTCCTTTTGCTGCTGCTGTCTCCGCTTCTTGTGCTAGATCATTTAGATATTTCACTTTATCTGCCCTTATATGCCTCCTAACTTCTTTGTTGGCTTCTGTGTATTTCTCCTAAGCTCTAGCTTTAGCAGCTCTAGTTTTGCTATTGTCAAATTCTGCCTTTTTACTTTTCCTATCTTCAATCAGTTTAATGGTTTCTGGTGTTATCTATGCTTTATGTTTCCTTTCTTTCTTGCCAAGAACTTCTACGCAAGATTCATTCCAGATTCCTTTGATCTGATCCCAGCAGACTTCTGTGTTGACATCTTCAGCTAACTGCTGCAACACCTGGTACTTATTAGAGACCGTAACTGAGAACTGTTCCCTAATTTCTTTACCTCTGAGAAAACCTACATTATATTGGTTTCTATGATTATAAGATGTTATATATCTTTTTAGTTTCAACTTGATTTTACTTATCACCAGGAAATGGTCAGCAAATACATTGGCACCTCTGAAAGCCCTAACATCGTAAAGGGATGATCTAAACTTTTTGTTAATACATATGTGGTCAATTTGATTAGCTGTCTTATGGTCTGGTGATTCCCATGTTGCCTTGTGTATTCTTTTATGGGGAAAAATACTTCCACCAATAACATACTGGTTACCTGCACAAAAATTTGTGAACAATTCTCCATTTTCATTCATTACTCCTAGACCATGTCTCCCCATAATTTCTTCATAACCTGTATTGTCTGATTCTATCTTAGCATTCAAGTCACCCATCAAAATTTTTAAGTTGCCCTTTCTTTCATTGTTTATAATATTTTGAAGCTGCATGTAAAATTCTTCCTTAACAGATGCAACTTTATCATTTGTTGGTGCATAACACTGTATTACTGACATGTTCACCTTCTGTTTTACTGTTCTAAAAGATGCTCTTATTAATCTGGGACTCACAGCTTTCCATTCTATTAGTGCCCTGTCTGCTTCTTTTGATAGCATCAGGGCCACTCCTTCACTATGCGGCTAATTTTCCTCTGTGTGTCCTTAGAACAAAATAGTTTCTCCTGAATTAAGAATGCTTTTCCCTGTCCCAGTCCATCTAGTTTCACATGACTTTGACTCTGGCAGATGTTAAAGGGTATAGTATAATTTATTTCCAGATTGTATTCTAGATTGTATTTCTTCTCTCAGCAAGTTGAAGCAGTTGAAGTTTGCCCCCAAATACTTATGTTTCCATTCGTTTGATTTTCATATTATCGACTTGTATGTGGCTGGACACACAGACCTTTATTTACATGTTTTCTCAGTGACTCAGTCAGTATGCTCAAGAATACAGAGATAGGGTGGGTCTGAAGACAGGGTTGGGGTCTCTGAGGCTGTTGGGGCTGACGCATATCAGTTTTATATTCATCCCAGGGCATGCAAGCGTGCAAGGAAATGAGCCAGATGATAGCCTTGCAGGTAAAGCCACTGTAAAGGTTGGACGATTTACTGAATGCTCTACGAGAAGTAAGACATTTGCGAGAACTAAGTGATGACTGTGAAAATGCAACCATAATCAGATTGCAAGTCAGCATGCTAAAAGGACAGTGGCCAGACAAAGGCACTATGCAGGAAGCCAAAGAAGAATTAGAAACTAGGGCTGTACCGAATAGTGATTTTCACTATTCGACTGAATATGAAAAACCGAACTAACTATTTGGCTAAATATGAATACAAATAGTGTATAAAATATATCTATAAAAACACACACACACACACATTCATAATGTCAAATGTACGTTGAACTTCTACTTCACAAAAAGTAGCACAGAATAGTCATCTTCTTTAGCATTCTGAGTTCTTGAGGTTTACTGCTGCAGATATCACTCGTCTCCATTCATCTCTCTGGCTGGCCTTCTCTTCACAATTTGTGACACAAGTTGTTTGCAGCTCTGGCTGGATATTATCTCTCGAACTTCTTTTTTGTCTGCCTCGTGGTCTACGCCCATTCCTCTCTCAGGTGTATACAGTTTTACTTCTCTGTCATCTGACATTCTTTCAATATGCCCCAACCATTTCAGTCTGTTAGCTCTCATGATGCCAGTGATCAATGGTGATTTAAACAGATAATGTGTTACGTTGTTGCTTCTCACTCTCCATTCTCCGCTGTTTGCATCTTTGATGGGTCCAGAGATTTGTCGTAAGAATGTTTTCAAAAACCTGTAATAAGGCCTCATCTCTTTTATTTCTGCTTCAAGTTTCAGAGCCATATAAAACGACTGGTCTTATCAACGTTTTATATATTTTGATCTTGGTGTTGCGAGACAGACACTATGACTTTAGCAGATGCTGAAGGGTATAGTATACTTTATTTCTAGATAGTATTCTAGATTGTATTTCTTCTCTCAGCATGTTGGAGCAGTTGAAGTTTGCACCCAAATACATTTAAAAATATTCAATGTTTTGCATCCTTCAGTCAGTCTGTGGTAACTAATAACTAGGAATGAAAGAATCCTAAGTATTATAACAAGTAACTAAACTTGACAATTGTCACTGACAGCTTAGTTAATGCAGGAAAGCTATTCGGTCCCGAAGCGAATACGAAGCGAATATTCGGTACAGCCCTATTAGAAACCAACAGAACTGATGTTGTGTGCCGCTACCAGCTGCAGGATTGACTAAAGAGGGGATCTAAGCATGCAAGGACTGAATCCTTTGATGTGCAAAAGAGGATATCCTGTTGACTATCTCTTACAACAGAGATTCCCAGTGACTGCGTACGCAGTAAACCTACTACAATTGTTATTCCACTTTAACACGTTATAAATGCATGTAGTAAAGGACCCTTTTCCACACCTTCAGGCGTAGCGGGCATACAGGGCTAGGCCTATATTTTATAGACCAATCGGCACTTGGTGGGTGATGTGGTCAGCATCACGTCAGCCACCTTTAGTTCCCAGTATTATACCTGGTACCAACTCATCTGAGTCGACCTGGAAGCCAACGTAATTTATTTATATTTTTAATCCGCTATGTCAGGGCTCAATCCCACAAGCTTCCAATTGGCAGGCGAGCATCTAGCCATGACACCACAGCGGCTCTAAAGCGCTTTTAGTACTCAAAGCGAAATTATGAAGCATGTCAAGATTTTATTAAGACCACAGTTTTTGATGGATGGATAAATGGCACTGAAGCTAAATCTTTGTTGTACTCTAAATCCAGAGGTGGCCAACTTTTTGTTTCAAGAGGTCTGAGAGGCAATGATACTTTTAAGGGCAACTACAACATCAGAAGAAAAAAGAAAGATGCAATACCTTAGCTTTATGCCAGACATGGCTACCAGTCTCACAGCCCTCTTGGTTTAAAAATGCATCAAAGTCTGTCGTCTTGCGCTGGCAACATGTCCAGTACTTCATGCTGCAAAAGAGAAACATTTCCGTCACTGCCAATACACAAAATAACTGTCACCACTTGTTATGCCTGGCTGATTTGTTGCTAGATTAGAACAGATATGTAAGGCTACAGAGTATAGCAGATAGGTAAGGCTACAGAGTATAGCAGATAGGTAAGGCTACAGAGTATAGCAGATAGGTAAGGCTACAGAGTAGAGCAGATAGGTAAGACTTCAGAGTAGAGCAGATAGGTAAGGCTACAGAGTAGACCAGAGATATGTAAGGCTACAGAGTATAGCAGAGATAGGTAAGGCTACAGAGTAGAGCAGATATGTAAGGCTACAGAGTATAGCAGATATAGGTTAAGCCTACAGAGTAGAGCAGAGATATGTAAGGCTACAGAGTAGAGCAGATATGTAAGGCTACAGAGTAGAGCAGATAGGTTAGGCTACAGTGTAGAGCAGATAGGTAAGGCTACAGAGTAGAGCAGATATGTAAGGCTACAGAGTAGAGCAGAGATAGGTAAGGCTACAGAGTAGAGCAGAGATAGGTAAGGCTACAGAGTAGAGCAGAGATAGGTAAGGCTACAGAGTAGAGCAGAGATAGGTAAGACTACAGAGTAGAGCAGAGATATGTAAGGCTACAGAGTATAGCAGAGATATGTAAGGCTACAGAGTATAGCAGAGATATGTAAGGCTACAGAGTAGAGCAGAGATATGTAAGGCTACAGAGTAGAGCAGAGATATGTAAGGCTACAGAGTAGAGCAGATAGGTAAGGCTACAGAGTAGAGCAGATAGGTAAGGCTACAGAGTAGAGCAGAGATAGGTAAGGCTACAGAGTAGAGCAGATAGGTAAGGCTACAGAGTAGAGCAGAGATAGGTAAGGCTACAGAGTAGAGCAGATAGGTAAGGCTACAGAGTAGAGCAGAGATAGGTAAGGCTACAGAGTAGAGCAGATAGGTAAGGCTACAGAGTAGAGCAGAGATAGGTAAGGCTACAGAGTAGAGCAGAGATATGTAAGGCTACAGAGTAGAGCAGAGATATGTAAGGCTACAGAGTAGAGCAGATATGTAAGGCTACAGAGTATAGCAGATATGTAAGGCTACAGAGTATAGCAGATATGTAAGGCTACAGAGTATAGCAGATAGGTAAGGCTACAGAGTAAGACAGCTAAGACTTCAGAGTATAGCAGATATGTAAGACTTCAGAGTAGAGCAGATAGGTAAAAGACTTCAGAGGACAATTAAAACTACATCGTAGAGAGTAGGTGAGACAACACAATAGAATAGACAGGTTTGTGTAGAGATTAGAACAGGCAAGCAAAACTACGGGTCATTCTATATTTAATACTCTTGCTGCTTTTTATCACAAACAAGCACTATATCATCTTCTTCTTCTCTAGTTCTGTTCTGCCTTTCAGAATTAGGTTCTGAAGAGGCATCCGGTGCAAGCTTAATATGGGCTCCTACATGCCGTCATTTACGCCCATAGATAGTCCATCTTTCTATTTTTTATGTAATCGAACTTTAGTTCTGCTTCCGTTATATACACTTTCATATTTAAATTATTAGTTTAACCACTTTTGTTACACAGCATCTCTACTGAGCACCTTTCACCCCAGAAACACTATGAACAAAAAAAAAAGTCTTGACCTCGTTATAATTTCTAGAAAAAATCTGTAAACAAAACACAACAAATTTACACTGGGCACTAATAAATTTATTAAAAAAGGAAATTATCTAGATTTTGTGCTCAATATATATATATATATATATATATATATATATATATATATATATATATATATATATATATATATATATATATATATATATATATATATATATATATATATATATATATATGAAAGCAGCAATCAATAAACATTAACAGGGTGAAGCATTAAATCGAATACATCCTGGGATCTAAAAACACACACGCATCGCTGAAGCGTGCAATGACCTGGTGACCTCTAACACTGAGGCTTAAGGGACACCGATGTCAACTTGGCTTTTAGAAAAAGCCATTTAGCTCAAAGGAAAAAAAAATGTCCTTAAATGCTATTGTTAGTTAATATAATCACATCCTGACCTTCAATGTACTGCATTTTAGGACCACATCTAGGAATATTAGGCATTGAAGTAACAACTTCTTGGTACTGAAAGACTTCACATACAACCCCATCTATCTAGTCAAAGAACCACTTTCCACACCTTCAGGCAAATTAGGTCTATAGTGCTAGACCTATATCTTATAGATTAATCGGCATTTGGTGGATGATTAGATCAATGCCATGCTAGCTGCCTTTACTTCCCAGGACTCTACCTGGTGCCTATTTAAGGTTTTGTGTCAACCTAGTAGCTAAGGCCATTTTTTTTTTAAATAATCCTGTTCCACCCAGATTTGAACAAAAGACCTTCGGATCCACAGGTTAGCATTTAGTCGCTACAATACAGCAGCTTCCCCAATCTAGTCCATTCACAAAACTTCCAGCCACCCCAACCCCTCCTCCCAGCAGAGAACAATGACACACCCAACGCCAGTAACACCCCAGGTGTACACTTACCCCTCATGGAAGACGGGGACACCAGGGTGATGTACACAAACATCCGAGTTGCTGTGCTCTCCCTCGTAAGCCTGGCAACATGCAGACAGACAAGGATGAAACATCATGCACACAGCACATCTTCAGCTTCTGAGCTCACATTTTATTTAATGGCACTTCAACATCTTTAGTGGTAAAGTGGCTACAGAGTCGGATAGGTAGGTGAGATTACACAGTGGAACAGGTAGGTAAGACTACACAGTGGAACAGGTAGGTGAGACTACACAGTGGAACAGGTAGGTAAGACTACACAGTGGAACAGGTAGGTAAGACTACACAGTGGAACAGGTAGGTGAGACTACACAGTGGAACAGGTAGGTGAGACTACACAGTGGAACAGGTAGGTGAGACTACACAGTGGAACAGGTAGGTGAGACTACACAGTGGAACAGGTAGGTGAGACTACACAGTGGAACAGGTAGGTAAGACTACACAGTGGAACAGGTAGGTGAGACTACACAGTGGAACAGGTAGGTGAGACTACACAGTGGAACAAGTAGGTGAGACTACACAGTGGAACAGACAGGTTAGATTTCAGAGTAGAACATACACAGCTAAAACTACAGAGCAGTAAAGACAGAAAATCAGAGAACAGAACTGACAGTTAAAGGTAAGACTACAGAGTAGAGCAGACAGGTAAGACTACAGTAGAAACAAAACGTATGGGTAGAGATAAGAACAGGCAGGCAAGACAAGACAGCAGAGCTGACAGTATAAGTATTATGATGCTGCAGAGAAGTACTTTATGTTAAGTTGCTGAGAAGACAGATACAACATGCACAACTATAACCATAGATAGCAGCAACACAGTCTGTCTAGACTAGAACTTAATGCAATTTACATGTGCATGACATCGGCAATGGCTCTGTGTTAAGGTTTATCAGCAGGAGACATTAGGACTCAATGTCCAAACTCTGATGGTTCTGTTCAACACTCTGAGGGGCCTGTTCAACACTCTGACGGGCCTGTTCAACACTCTGACGGGCCTGTTCAACACTCTGATGGGTCTGTTCAACACTCTGACGGGCCTGTTCAACACTCTGATGGGTCTGTTCAACACTCTGATGGGTCTGTTCAACACTCTGATGGGTCTGTTCAACACTCTGATGGGTCTGTTCAACACTCTGATGGGTCTGTTCAACACTCTGATGCCTCTGTTCAACACTCTGATGCCTCTGTTCAACACTCTGATGCCTCTGTTCAACACCCTGATGCCTCTGTTCAACACTCTGATGCCTCTGTTCAACACTCTGATGCCTCTGTTCAACACTCTGATAGCTCTGTTCAACACTCTGATGGGTCTGTTCAACACTCTGATAGCTCTGTTCAACACTCTGATAGCTCTGTTCAACACTCTGATAGCTCTGTTCAACACTCTGATGGGCCTGTTCAACACTCTGACGGGCCTGTTCAACACTCTGACGGGCCTGTTCAACACTCTGACGGGCCTGTTCAACACTCTGATGGGTCTGTTCAACACTCTGAGGGGCCTGTTCAACACTCTGACGGGCCTGTTCAACACACTGATGGGTCTGTTCAACACTCTGACGGGCCTGTTCAACACTCTGACGGGCCTGTTCAACACTCTGACGGGCCTGTTCAACACTCTGATGGGTCTGTTCAACACTCTGATGCCTCTGTTCAACACCCTGATGCCTCTGTTCAACACTCTGATGCCTCTGTTCAACACCCTGATGCCTCTGTTCAACACTCTGATGCCTCTGTTCAACACTCTGATGCCTCTGTTCAACACTCTGATAGCTCTGTTCAACACTCTGATAGCTCTGTTCAACACTCTGATAGCTCTGTTCAACACTCTGATAGCTCTGTTCAACACTCTGATGCCTCTGTTCAACACTCTGATGCCTCTGTTCAACACTCTGATGCCTCTGTTCAACACTCTGACGGGCCTGTTCAACACTCTGATAGCTCTGTTCAACACTCTGATGCCTCTGTTCAACACTCTGATGCCTCTGTTCAACACTCTGATAGCTCTGTTCAACACCCTGATGCCTCTGTTCAACACTCTGATAGCTCTGTTCAACACTCTGATAGCTCTGTTCAACACTCTGATAGCTCTGTTCAACACTCTGATAGCTCTGTTCAACACTCTGATAGCTCTGTTCAACACCCTGATAGCTCTGTTCAACACTCTGATAGCTCTGTTCAACACTCTGATAGCTCTGTTCAACACTCTGATAGCTCTGTTCAACACTCTGATAGCTCTGTTCAACACTCTGATAGCTCTGTTCAACACTCTGATGCCTCTGTTCAACACTCTGATGCCTCTGTTCAACACTCTGATAGCTCTGTTCAACACTCTGATGGGTCTGTTCAACACTCTGATGGGCCTGTTCAACACTCTGATGGGTCTGTTCAACACTCTGATGCCTCTGTTCAATACTCTGAGGGGCCTGTTGAACACTTTGACGGGCCTGTTCAACACTCTGAGGGGCCTGTTCAACACTCTGACGGGCCTGTTCAACACTCTGAGGGACCTGTTCAACACTCTGACGGGCCTGTTCAACACTCTGAGGGACCTGTTCAACACTCTGAGGGACCTGTTCAACACTCTGATGGGTCTGTTCAACACTCTGATAGCTCTGTTCAACACTCTGATAGCTCTGTTCAACACCCTGATAGCTCTGTTCAACACTGATGGGTCTGTTCAACACTGATGGGTCTGTTCAACACTGATGGGTCTGTTCAACACCAGCTGGTGTGCTCCCTCGGGAGACTACTGACATGGAACTAAAGAATTCACTGAGGAGCCAGAACATAAACATACAGTAAAAAAGAGACACACACACAGAAAGAAAGAAAGAAAGAAAGAAAGAAAGAAAGAAAGACAAGGACAGAGGTGTCTTATACTTACCGTTTTACATCCCTTGTTGTTACAAGCAGTCCCAATCTTAACCTTCCCATCTGAAAGCGAGAACAAAGCAACAACATAGTCTGCAGCACAGAAAACTCCCCTTCTTGTGAACATATTAATTCTCACAAAGAACCTACAGCACTGTTGTTCCCCTTACCACTAAATCTACATTTTGTAGCAGAAAGAGGATGTCATCTCAACAGCAGTAAGGGTACCACAACAGCTACGTTATGTTCTCACAATCGACGTCTTTGCACACATGCGTGCTCAGTCCTTCGATGTAGCAGCCAATTATTACAATTTTCAGCTAAAGTGACATCTGTAGCAGCTTGAAAAAAAGGTTTAAAAATTGCTGGAGCGTTGTTTCCGATAGACAAAGTGCCAAAATAACATCCATTCTATTTCTACGACTTTTTTTTCTCTCAAATTGACATTCCTGAGAAAGTTCTTTCAAACTTTTGAAGAACACTGTTACAGCTGTATGTTTGGTATCTATACTGTTAAATATGAAAACTCGAAGTTTCAAAAATAAAAAAATGAATTCACACAAAAATATGAAAACTGCATGAAAGCGCATGTTGTTACTTCTTTTTCTTCAAATTCTTCTTCTGCTTTGCTTTATCTTTTGCCGCTTCAGATATCAAGGGAGATACAAGGTTTTGCTTCGTGCTCTTCTGCCACCTTGACCGAAGACATACTGTGCTGTTGTTGAGTTTCTCTGACATTTTCTTTGCATCTTTTTTTTTTTCAGTCTACCTTGTGCTGTACATACTTCTCTTTCGGTGTATCCCTTGTATAGTTTGGCATCACAAGGAATTCTCTCTAAGTGGGCAAACTACGTGATTTTAGCAATGACCGGCAGTAAACGTCAGTGGAAAGTTCTGATTGTTTGTCCACTTTTTGACTTTGGTCTTATTTAAGGGGCTTGAATTTTGCGGGCACATCCATTTTATAGATCTGGCTTATTCGTAGGTAGACTGTTGGTTCCTCGTCTCAAGCAGATGAACTCTCTGTGAAGAAAAAGCCCCCTAACTAGACGACTTTTACAATATGCTTTTAAGGGGTGCAGGGGGTCTATTCTGGTACCCCCCCCCCCCCCCCCCACACACACACACAAACATTGGGCTCCAGAACCCACAAAGTGAACATCTTAACAAGGATGAAAACTCTCAAAATTTCACAAGCTATGACATTTATACAACAAATAAGCACATAAATGAGATGACATCTAGATAAAGCAGTAAATACGTCCTAATCTCTGCCAAAAGGGAAAGCCTACCATCGACTCCTTCAACTTCCTCTGTTGTGTTCAGGTTCAACTGTTCCAGGTGAGTCCTCAGTGATGCCCCAACAACTGTCTTCAGGTCAATGATTGGTTCATCTTCTGAGGGCCGGGCCTTGGGCTGCGCCACAGGCTGTCTGTGTTTAGGCTCCACCTGCAGCTGGTACAGTGGCTCCTGAAAAAGAAGCATAATGACTCTATAAGCAACAGTACAGTGGCTCAATAAGCAATGGTACAATGACTCAATAAACAATAGTACAACAGTTCTAGGCAACAGTACAGTGGCTCCATAAACAATGGTACAACAGTTCTAGGCAACAGTACAGTGGCTCCATAAACAATAGTACAACAGTTCTAGGCAACAGTACAATGGCTCCATAAACAATAGTACAACAGTTCTAGACAACAGTACAATGGCTCCTTAAACAATGGTACAACAGTTCTAGGCAACAGTACAATGGCTCCATAAACAATAGTACAACAGTTCTAGACAACAGTACAATGGCTCCATAAACAACAGTACAACAGTTCTAGACAACAGTACAATGGCTCCATAAATAATAGTGCAACAGTTCTAGACAACAGTACTATGGCTCCATAAACAATGGTACAACAGCTCAATAAACAATGATACAAAAACTCTTGGCGATGGTACAACGGCCTAATAAGCAATGGTACAACAGCCTTGGCCCACTAGATCGACGTAGTTTCCAGGTTATGTCCTATGAAATAAAGGCAGTCGGTATAATGTTGACTGAATCAGCTGCCAAGTGCAGATTGGTGCATCAAATATTCATTAAGCTGCATGTATCTAATGCACCACCGATGTGAAAAGGGGATCCTTTACTGTACGTAGAATCTACCCACAGCTCTAACCACACAGACTTCTTCTTCTTTGACTTTACCAGCTGTAAAAGGGCTTGTTGTTCTGAACTTTGGTCTTGTCCTAGTGAGTTTTGTGTGCACATCCATTTTACACATTAAATCTGGCTTATTTGTTGGTTCCTTGCTTCTCAGCCAGACACACTCTGATTTTGAAGAATACACCTCTAAATAGTCACCTTTTACGACATGCTTCTTCAGGCAGTTGTTTTATTCTTTTTTTTTTTTTCTCTTAAACTGGTTGGAGTTGTTGGACCCACATGGGGAAGACACACAACCACAAGCTCTGGAGAAGCGCTAACCCGTCATACAAATGCCTGATGAAGTGGGATGTGTCGGCCAAAAGGCACAAATATCACAGCTATGCAGTAAACAGACACAACCTGAATTATGTCGCCGAACGAAAGATGAACAAGAAGACAACCCAAGCTGACCGATACCGACCTTACTGGATGGTTTAGTTGGCTCCTGCTTCTCCGCTTCTGGTGGTTTGATGTTGCTGTGGTAACCGACAGTGCAGCCCTAGAAACAGGAAGCACTGATATTGTCACCTTAAATATACTATTTTCACTTTAATCCTTTCTAACCAAACTGGACAGTTTTCAAACCAAACTGGACAGTTTTCAAACCAAACTGAATGATTTTCAAACCACCTAGGACTTTCAAACCACACAGGACTTTCAAACCACCTAGGCCTTTCAAACCACCTAGGACTTTCAAACCACCTAGGACTTTTTCAAACCACCTAGGCCTTTCAAACCACCTAGGACTTTCAAACCACCTAGGACTTTTTCAAACCACCTAGGACTTTTTCAAACCACCTAGGACTTTTTCAAACCACCTAGGACTTTCAAACCACCTAGGACTTTCAAACCACCTAGGACTTTTTCAAAGCAAAAGCAAACGGAATGACTGTCTAATAAAAAAAAAGAACATTTCCAAAGCAATGTGGACAGAGTTTATTTTCAACAATTAACACCTCTTTTAAAAAATAAAAAACAGTGATGCATTCTTACACACACAAAAATAAGCCATTTACAAGAGAATAAGTGACAACAAAGTTAAAAATCAGTTTACAATAAGCGGTCCTGCTGCTGCTGTAGCCAAGTCCAGGGTGGTATGAAAATCGTCCACTTTGATTTGAAAAACGTCCAGTTGAAAGTGAATATTATATATATAAATACACACTATATATATAATTGTATATTCACACACTGTACTGTTATGATCAACACAAACTGTACAACCCACATGAAATATGATGGAAGTAGTGTTATATTTTCACTTTACAAAGTGTGGCTTTAGTATATGCGCCCCTGTTGCAGCTCGGATTCGGTCCAATCATGCATCAGAATCAGAAATCATGCTTCCCTCAGGGTTCTTCAAATCTGAGGGATGGATGCGTGTGTGTGTGTGCAAGTCTGAGCAGCTGACATTGTGAGATCCTGGCTGTGAAGGTTCAAATAGAATGATTTGTAACAATAGTACTAAGAAAAGTATTTCTGATTTTTTTTTTTAATCAAGAAAAATTCTCACAGCACCAGAAATATTCACACAAAAATGCTGCCACTACTCTCGCTCTGATGATCAGCCGCCTTGATCAAAACATCAGTCTAATCTGTCTTAGACCTGGGAGCTCATTCAAATAATTTGTTTAAAATTCACTCTGAGCTATACAGAATTGTTTCATTAAAGACGCGTAGAGAAATAGATGGGCGAATAATTGGTAACTACACGGATCACATACCATGCGATTTCTGAATGGCAGCGAGCGAACACAGTTATGACAGAAGGGGGTTCAATAAGAGTAGCAAGGCCAATTGCATGACGTGTGATTGTGGTAGTCAGTTAAGCCGGCGTTGAGAAGTGGGCGATGCTAGATGTTACCTACCCTGATGCTGAGAAACTTGTGAAGCTAGATGCTACTCATCCTGATGTTGAGAAACTTGTGAAGCTAGATGTTGCCGATCCTGATGCTAAGAAACTTGTGAAGCTAGATGCTACTCATCCTGATGTTGAGAAACTTGTGAAGCTAGATGCTACTCATCCTGATGTTGAGAAACTTGTGAAGCTAGATGCTACTCATCCTGATGTTGAGAAACTTGTGAAGCTAGATGTTACCGATCCTGATGCTAAGAAACTTGTGAAGCAAGATGTTATCTACCTTGATGTTTAAAAACTCAGTGAAGCCACATACTTACTTTGATATTGAGAAACTCTGTGAAGCCACATACTTACTTTGATATTGAGAAACTCAGTGAAGCCACATACTTACTTTGATATTGAGAAACTCTGTGAAGCCACATACTTACTTTGATATTGAGAAACTCTGTGAAGCCACATACTTACTTTGATATTGAGAAACTCAGTGAAGCCACATACTTACTTTGATATTGAGAAACTCAGTGAAGCCACATACTTACTTTGATATTGAGAAACTCTGTGAAGCCACATACTTACTTTGATATTGAGAAAACTCTGTGAAGCCACATACTTACTTTGATATTGAGAAACTCAGTGAAGCCACATACTTACTTTGATATTGAGAAACTCTGTGAAGCCACATACTTACTTTGATATTGAGAAACTCAGTGAAGCCACATACTTACTTTGATATTGAGAAACTCTGTGAAGCCACATACTTACTTTGATATTGAGAAACTCAGTGAAGCCACATACTTACTTTGATATTGAGAAACTCTGTGAAGTCAGAGACTCTTTTCTTACAGCAGGACCAGCCTTTAAGAGCATCATGGAATATGGGGCCTCCAGGATGGTAGACACACGCAGCTGTTGGAGAAACAAGAAAACTGTATGTCATTTATGAAACACCAGTACCTTCCTTGTATCTATTATCCGTGCATAATGTTTGCTAATTTACAAAATACCAGCATTTTGTCTTCCATCTGTGTCCACTAACCAAAACCTTATCCCCTAATGCAGTGCTTTTCAACTAAGTTTACTGAGCCCAACATTTTGAAAATAAGAATCGTCAAAGGCCGGAGGTCTGAGCCTAGGCATGGGAAGATCATTAATACAACTGGCAATCATCCGTTGGCCAGATCTGACCTGTGTGCGACCAGTTGAATAGCCCTGTCTCAATGTGTTCTCTATTTCTCAAGATTTCAGTGTCACCATGTTAGTTAATCATTCTTTCCTCTTGAGCCTAGGGTGGTGCATAGCTCTTCATGTCTGGCAGTTTGTTGCCACCTGTTGTCACTGTGTACCCATAACTTTACTGAGCTAAGCAGCTGACGAACCAGGCACCGAGTCAGATATTTTAACTGTCATTTTAAAAAAAAATCAGATGCAACTTTTTAAGCCAATTATCACATCAATTGTAGATGCAATTGTATAACTAACTAGTCTAGCATTATATGTATACATAAAACATGAATAACTAACAATATATACACACACACACACATTTTATATACATATATAATTCCTAGTAGTAAAAAACTAGACTGACTTGTGACTTGCAGATATAAGGTTACTTCTCTTCCACCTTGTACCTTATCGAAGTGTCGGGGGAAGATGTAATGTTCGTTGATAAGCTCTGTTAAGAGCACTATTAAGACTGATGTTCATTTCTGTAAGGCTGTTTTTAATGCCATCACTCCATATTTTCTATCGTCTTCCACTCGCTGTATACCCGTTGTAACCTTTTCGTGTGGCTCACTGTGGCAGATAGTACCAGGGCATTCTTGTTGGGTGTCCAAACTACTTTATCTGTTGTTCTTTGATGACCTGTAAGACTGGCTTTATTCCTAGCATTCGTCTGATTTCATATTCTGTCTTTTATTAATTACCTGCAGCTCTTCTTCTTCTACCTTTCTATCCCCCAATGGAGCATAGGCCCTCAACTCACGCCAAGTCGTGCTATCCTCCGCCATTACATGAAGCTCTCCCCATTTTTTAACTTCATTCTTCAGCTCTCTTCTCCATGTGTTTTTTGGCCTTTCTTTTATGCCTATGCCCCTGTGAGTTCCAATGCAAAGACATTCTAGTTATGCTGTTCTCCTGTTTTCTCAGTGTGTGTCCTATCCAACGCCAGCATCTTTTCCTTACCTCTTGGTCCACTGGAGCCTGTTTAGTTCTCTCCCAAAGTTCTACATTAGATAATCTATTGTTTTCATAATCCAGTCTATAGCCAGTAAAAATAAGAGAGGCGACAAAAGACATCCCTGTCGCACGCCTGTTTTTATTTCAAATGTATCTGTTAGCTTTCCCTCATGAAGAACTCGACATTTCATGTCTTTAACTGTTGCCTTTACTAAGTTAATAATTTTCTGTGGAATTCCATAGTGCTCTATCAATTTCCAGAGAGATTTCCTATCAATGCTGTCAAATGCTTTTTCATAGTCTATAAATCCAATGTTGTTTGTTTTAGTATCCAAAAGCCATGAGTTGTCAACCCTTAGGATCGGTATTATGGATATCGCAACCTTTCGGACTTGATTCCATTTTAAATACCGTAAATCTGGGAGAAATGTGGCTTTTCTGCCCACCCTCGGTAGTGAACCCGGACCACAAGGAGTTTGTCACCCGCTCACCGCGCAATCCGGTTTAGCCAACTACGCTAGAGAGATGGGCATAAATCCAATGTAAAGTCGTGCAGCTCTTCTAAGGCATTTCCCAATTTTATGTTCACTTGGGGATGTAAGTGTCCACGTTTGGCACTGATAGCATAGTGTTGGCCAAAAATTAGTTCTGATAAGATAAACTTTAGTACTCAGAGGTATCTGCTTGTGTGTCAACAGGGAAGATAGTTGGTCCTAATAACGGTCCCAAATTATCGAGACAGAAAATATACCCTAACAGAGCCTCAGTCACCTGTCAATTGCGCACTTCCGAGGGTATCCCCCACGCTGCGTGAGTGGCATGGATTGGGACTAAATTAGATGGCTGGGACTCACGAGCAGCAGCTACCGCATTTCCTGCAGCTGCCTTCATTTTATTTGCTCCTTAGTCCTAGCCATCTAGTTTAGCCCCAATCCACGGCACTCACGCGGCGTGGGGGATACTCTCGGGGTGGCAGTATGGTCCCCGAAGTACGCAAATCAGCGGTTGCGGTCTAGTCCCCGGAAGTGCGCAACTGACCCGTGACCGAGGCTCTATTAGGGTATATTTTCTGCCTTGATAATTTGGGACCATTATTGGGAAGATAGCCGATAGTTGCCCCATTACTTGATTAGCTTTGGCACATTTCGAGCTAATTTCTCTGTCCAGTTTTCCAGTCGGATTTATATAAGATTACTACTAGTGCATAAATCAGCAATCCTTGCAATGGCAACCAACCCTAGGGGTCAAATATGTTGTAATTTACCATTACTGTAAGTAGTGTAAGTGCTGACCCCCAGGCAGTAATCTACTGTTTGTGTGAGTTTGCATAATACTTATATTATTTCATATTTTGCTTGAGATTAGGGTTAGAGTTAGGGCTAACACTAACCCAAGCACTAATCCTAAACCAAAAGCTCACTTTTAACTTTAATCTCAAACAATATTAAACATGAAAGAATATTATCATTACGTCAACGTACACGAACTATGGACTGTCAACCTCACTGTCGCCGCCGTACGTACTAAAGTACTAACAAATTAACCACCGACTGACTGTTACTGTTACGTCCTCTAGAAACTCTAGTCTAGGAGGACTACTAGGAGGGTCACCGTTCGTTGCCAGTATTGCCAATAAATTACTACAACAAACGTTCGACCGATGTGAAGTGGGGAAAAAAAACCATCCAGCAAATCTAGAAAAAAATTATTTTAAAAAAAAACAATAAAGTGAACAAATATCACAATGACAAAGCTGGCAGAAAGTTCATCTTCATCTTCCTTAGGGACTTGACGTGAATGTAGACTTTGTGTCAGTAGTGGCCGGCCGCAATCGCCAGAAGAAGCTGAACACGGGGTAGAAAAGAGAAGCGACACAGATACACATTTAAATTTACGACTTACTTTGTGAATTATCTTCGAATCGGAACTTCTGCCCACATCCCTTGTTGTAGCACAACGACATTTCCGAGTCCATGCTGGAGAAAGAGAAACGCACGTAGAGCGAGTACACTTATATTATAAGTTTATAACGATGAGAACTTTCTCGAGTCGTCGACCAGATTCTGCTTCTGCTCGGATCTTCCCCAGCCGGAAGTTACTGTCAAAACTTTAACCCTGGCAACACGCAAACGAAACAATACGTTTTGTTGTGTCCCTTACCCTTCTTTGATGATTTGCTCATCCACCTCGAGTGCTGAAGGTCCTGGGTCCAGACCATGGGGAAGGTTGGGATTTTGTCACGTGAACTTCTACTTATTTCGCCTGGTCTCTGGATAGTAGGAATGCACGCCCATGTGTATTGTTGCGTACATAAAAAATACTTTGGCAGTTGGAAATCGAAAAGAGTAGCCTAAGTGGCAAAATTTTGAGTTTTAAAAAAAATCTACTCATCAGTATTTGAGGATCTTCGCCGGTGGAACGGAATTCGTGCACTGCGCTGAGTTTCTTTAGACTCAGGCTTGAGTTAGAAGTAGAACGGAGCACTTATGGGTTTACACCCTTGTGCCATGATGCTGATCCGCTGACAAAACTAAAAGGATTTCTTCTTTCTGTTCTCCCTATCAGGGGATTTCAGATAAGAAGGCCACAGGCCTCTACGAAGTTTGTGGAGAAATACATATCTTTCACTTAGAGCACGTGTTCAGTATTCTGTTGTACATGTCCAATGCGCAAAGCTCTGATCCCCAATCTTGAATTTCTTGTACGTATGGCAGCAGTCTGCTGTGTCCATCACATAGTCTAAATTTAATGCCCCCCCCCCCCCCCCACCCCCAACCATGTAAGGAAGTTCATGAGACTTCGGCGTTTGTGTCCTGGATGGGAAGTGTTCCAATGGGTTCTAATGCGTGCCTTTATCTGAGTTTTATTTTCTTCATAAGTAATTGGATTTGAAATTGTCTGATCGACTTTAGCTGCGACTCGCTGCAGCCCATAGCCTGTGTTCGAAACCGGGCGGTTCCCAGGTTTCACCCAGCCTCTAGGTAATGGGTACCAGAGTTAACACTCTGGGGTAAATGGAGGAAAGTCGCTGTAGCTACGGAGTTGTGTGTGGACGGAGACACAGGCGGACAGTTTCTTATCAGCTGTCAATACTGGTGGCAGAACACTTATGGTTTATAACCGTGTGCAATGACGCTGGTTCACATCTCCCGATTTTACCTTTACCATTTTATTGTCTCATTCGATCCTGGTTCTGGATAGTGACTCCCTGAACGACGATGTCAATTATTCAGGTTGCAATTAAAGGGGTGGAGGGATGGGGAAGTTCGCGAAAAAGCACCACCACCCCCCCCCCTCCCCCTTCACCCACCAGGGCAGTATGTAACGTCTAGCTTTCTATGCCAGGAAGGTGAGGACAGGCATGTTTCGTGGAGAGTGGCATGCTTCGCTTCCGAGATCACGGGTGAGGAGCATAATCTGGATCTTTTATCTGAGAGCTGCCAGTGTGTTGGGAACTGAACAGACGGACAGATTGGCTGGCTCCGAATAACCTGGTGGAATATTGATAGATGATAAGGCAGAGAGATGCCAGTGTGTTGGGAACTGAACAGACGGACAGATTGGCTGGCTCCGAATAACCTGGTGGAATATTGATAGATGATAAGGCAGAGAGATGCCAGTGTGTTGGGAACTGAACAGACGGACAGATTGGCTGGCTCCGAATAACCTGGTGGAATATTGATAGATGATAAGGCAGACGTGGTTACGGCCTTGTGTATAATTCGGAGGAGCAAATGGATCACCACGGTCTGGTGAAAGTTATGCAGTGGGGAGACAAGGGGATCTAGTGGTACTCGACGTTCAGAGGAAAGTCAAGACGAATGTAAAATCATGCAACTGGCACCATTAGTTTGGAAACTGCTCTGGCTGTGAAGATGGGGACGGGTCGCTTGTGGGAATGCTCAGAATTCTGTGATGTAGATTCTTGAATCAACACATCTTAAGCCAGTTTCTGAGTAAAGAACCTTTATCAAAGCACTTGGAACATTCCCATAAACGTTCCGTCCTCATCTTCGGCAGCCAGCGCAGACTTCAAATTCCGATGCTAACTGTAACTGATCGTATGTCCGTCTCTGCGTGTTGCGCATCGGCCAGATCCCCAGGTCACTCCTTGCTGTACCACTTTCTTCAGTTAAAATCGACAAGAAGAATAATTTTCTTCCCTAAACTAAAAACTCTATCCATCATAGAAGTAAAGTCGTCATACCAGTTGTTACATGCACACGGATTCCAATACAGGTAACAAATGAAAAGTGACAGCTGACTTAAAGGCTTGACTTCCAGCCAGACGCAGTCGACAACCTCTGATTCTAGATCAAGTCTACGGGAATATGTAAGAGACTTTTAAAACAATATAACCCACTATGCCTGTCTCTAATTTTTTCAGTGCGTCTTTACGAATTACTGTAAACCCACTAATAGTGATTTCGTTGTCGTTAATTTTATCGTTGGGGCGACTTTCTGTAATTCCCAAAACATTAAATTGATTACAAAGCCTAACTGACAACTCGGATAGTTTGCCTAATAAATTATCATTAATTAGATGACTTATACAGAAGCCCTGTTTTTTAAGCCACTGATTGGTAGATAGACTGACTGATTGACAGATAAATAGATTGACTGACTGATTGATCGATAGATAGACTGACTGACCGACTGCTTGATAGACAGACAGACTGACTGCTTGATAGACAGACTGACTGATTGATAGATAGATAGACTGACTGATTTATTAATAGATAGACTATCTGACTGATCGATAGACAGACATAATTTCAGACTGATAGATAGACAGACAGACTGACTGACTAATAGATAGACAGACTGACAGATTGACAGACAGAATGACTGAATGATAGACATAAAGAACTACTCACTGAGTGGAAGACAGATAGACTGACTGATTGATAGATAAATTGACTGACTGATAGATAGACTGACTGACTAATAAATAGACTGACTGAGTGACAGATAGACTAACTGACTGACTGATAGATAGAATGACTGACTGACTGACTGATAGATAGAAATACCGAATGACTGACTGACTGACTGACTGAGAGATAGATAAAAAAAAATAGACTGACTGACTGGTTGATCAACAGACTGATTGATCGACTGATAGATAGATTGATTGACTAAATAAAAGATAGATTATTTGATTGACTGACTGACTGATAGATGGACTGATGGACTGATTGATTGACTGACTGACTGATTGGTTGATTAACTGATTATATCTTAATTGACTGATTGACTGACTGATTGATTGCTTGATTGATTGATCGATTGATATACTGATTGACTGACTGATAGATTGACTGACTGGATGATAGATACTGACTGACAAGTAGAAATATTGATTGACTGACTGACTGGTTGATCAATAGACTGGTTGACTGACTGATAGATAGATTGATTGACTAACTGATAGATAGATTATTTGATCGATTGATTATTTGATTGAGTCATAGATGGACTGATTCACTGATTGATTGACCGATTGGTTGGTTAACTGATTTATTATTTGAATGACTAGTTGATTGACTGATTGATTGACTGGCTGACTTATTGATTAACTGATTGATTCATTGAATAATTGATTGACTAACTAATTGATTGACTAACATATTGACTGACTGACTGACTGACTGATAGATAGACTGACTGATATATAGACTGACTGATTGACTGACTAAAAGACTGACTGATACATAGACTGACTGATAAATAGACTGACTGATTAGTTGACTGATTGATTGGTGGATTAACCGAACAATTAACTAATGTATTGACTGACCAATTTATTGACTGATTATTTGATTGACCAACTGACTGATTGAATATTTTACTAATTGTTTAACTGATTAATTGGTTGATTGATATATTGATTGATTGACTGACTAAATAACTGACTGACTGATATATAGACTGACTAACTGACTGATATATAGACTGACTGATTGACTGACTGATTGACTGACTGATAAAAGGACTGACTGATTGACTGACTGATTGATTGGTTAATTACATGATTGAATGATTGATTGACTGATTGACTAATATAATAACTGACTTGTTGATTGATTGACTGACTGATAGATGGACTGACTGATTGATAGATTAACTGACTTTTTGACAGAATGATAGATATACTGATTATTTGGCTGACTGATTGACTGACTGACTGATCAACTGACTGACTGATTGACTAAAATTTTACTGATTAACTGATTGGTTGTCTGACTGATAGATTAACTGATTGACTGACAGATTGGTTGATTGACTAACTATTTGACTGACTGACTGACCTAATAACTGACTGACTGACAAACTTACTGATTGACTAATTGACTGATTAACTAATTGAATGATTGACTAAATAACTGATTGATTGACTTATTGTTTGACTGGCTGACTGATTGATTGGCTGACTTAATCGCTGACTGATCAAATAACTGATTTATTGGCTGATTGTATGATTGACTGACTGATTGTCTGATTGATTGACTGGCTGATATATAGACTGATTGACTGATAGATAAACTGTTTGACGGTCTGGCTGATTAATCAATAGACTGATTGATTAATTGACTAACTGTGGATGGAATAATTCATTGACTGACCGACTTACAGCTAGACTGATTGATTGACTGACTGATTTACTGAACGGTTTATTGATTACCTAATTGATTATTTGATTGACTGATTAATTGATTGATGTATTGATTAACTGATTAGTTGACTGATTGACTTATTGAGTGTCTAACGGATTGATTAATTGACTGATTGATTGACTGACTAAATGTTTGACTAACTAATTGATTGACTGACTGATTGACTGAATGATTGACTGACTGATTGACTGACAGATAGACTGACTGATTGGCGGATTTACTAACTTATTAGTTGATAAACTGATTGACTAAATAATTGACCGATTTATTTATTGACTGACTGACTGATTGACTGACT